AGAAAATCGTTGCTGGTTCAGGTTACGTATGCTCCTCGTTAAGTGACCAGGTCTGACCTCTTCCTCTAAATCTTGATCTTGGTGAGGCAGAAGATGATGGATCATTTTCAGCAGGTGAAGGGCTATCCATTGACATCAAAGACGATGATCGGAAAGGGTAGGTTGGTGAGATGAAAGTTGGGGATAGTAGATTCAGGGTTTTAACTGCCAGACATAATAAAGAGAAGTTTAAGAGTCAAGGTTCACTTCACAGATACAATGCATATATATATTGAATTATAACCCATTTATTGTTAGCAAAGATAGCATGGAATGCTTAGAAAGTGTTGATATGAACAAAGAGTTGACATAAAGGTTGTTGACGCGGTATTTACACGGTTTAGTCGGCGCCGTCTATTTTACACGGTTTAGCAGAAATTTTGACTCGCCGTGTAAATTGACTCTGCTCTTGACTCCACCATTGGGGATCGAACCGTGTAAAATCGGAGTCAATTTGGCACTTAAGATAAGCGGGTGGAGATGCTCTTATAGTCATACTACTTTACATTAAACAAAGACCACTCTTCATATAACGCGTCTGGCATTATATAAACATGAGGAGGAAAAACACATCAGGCAATGAGCCAGGGTTTTATTGAAACAATGGACTCGGCTTAGTCAACAGCACCTTGTGTGAAAGTTTCACGTTGATCGGCTGATCCCGAAGTTCGCAATGTCGCTGCCAGCCAAACTGTGGATCTGGCGGGTCGACCTCTTCGACGACGACGACCAAAAAATATTTTTGGGCTGGTTGCGACATTGAACGTGAAACTTTCACACAAGGTGCTGTTGGCATGGCTCCCGCATTTCTCGGTGTACAAAAGTTTGGAAAGGTTCTTTTGTTTTTTATGTTTGTAAGCAGCTGTTAATATGACGAAGTGGTCTTTGTTCGAGACCAATCAAGTAGCTGGACTTGTTAAAGAACAAGATGCAGAGGTCGTGTTGTGTAACACAGCTACGGTTTATGAATGAAAGGGTCAATGTCTGTCCCCCTGGATCATCTAAAATTGGCATCATGTTGTAACTTAACGGCACTTTTATCCAATCATCATTGTTGCGAGATCCTACGCAAGAGACGTTATTTGCTAATACTTGGACGATTTCATTTCCACTGTGATTAGAGATGAGACCCGGCCAAGCTGACCCAATGAGCTTCCCGGTCAAAGAGGGTATCATCTGGACGCAGAACACGCTCGATGGCTCAACCGATGCAATCTTGTGTAAGGCGTAACTCAACCAAATCAGCTCGGATCAACCTACTTTAATCATGGAAATGTCTAGAGCAGGAGCATCGTTGCTACAATAGAGATACAAAAGTTGGGAATGCACAAAAGTGGCCAGTAGCTGCAATGTATGACATAAAAGTGAGGGTTGCGTACCTGTCATGCATTGTCCCTGAAGTCCTGACTTTTTCATGAGTTACTGCAAGAGTCCTTCTGCATCTTTTGCTCTGCCAGGGTCAAAAAGATACTTGACAGTGAACAAAGACCACTCTTCATATAGCATCACGCTTACAAACATAAAGATGCCAATCTCGGACTTACAATGAAACGTGGGGTCTTTGATAGAACAGTGTGCTCGGCTTGGCCAACTGCACCTTGTGAGGAGGTTTCACGATCAAGCTTGCCAATCCCAGATTTGCCATGTATTAACCTGTGAGCTGGATCAGAGGGTCAGTATCCTTGGCGCCTTGCCAGGCAGGCCAGAATAGTGCTGGGGCTGGTTGCAAGGATGGAACAGCAGGCAGCGCCATGCAGGGTGCTGTTGGCCAAGCCGAGCCCATTGCTCTAATAAAAACCCCACGTTTCATTGTAAAGTTCGGAAGTGCAGGCACCTTTATGTTTGTAAGGGTGATGCTATGATAGCCTTTGTTCATTGTAAAGTAGGTGGACCCTGGCAGAGCAAAAGATGCAAAGGACCTCTTTGGACAACCTCAATATAAAAAGTCAGGACTTCAGGGACAATGCATGACAGGTACGCAGGCCCTCACTTTTATGTCATACATTGGCATTGCTTTTGTGCATTCCCAACTTTTGTGCATTCTATTGTAGGTGGACGATGTACCTGCTCTAGACATTCATTTCCATGATTAAAGTAGGTTGATCAGGCTGATTTGAAAGTTTGAGTTACGCTCACACAGATTACATCGGTTGAGCTACATCAGGCGATGCTTTTATGTCCAGAGTAATGTAATCTCTCTTTGATTTGGTGACTCAGTCAAATCAGCTCGGGTCAACCTACTTTAATCTGGAAACGAATGTCTAGAGCAGGCCTTGTTCCTGCAGTGGATGATTGGATAAAAGTGGCGATAGCTAGCAATACATGCCTGTTCCTAGATGATCCATAAAGTAATTATACGTGGGCCATTCATGCAAACGTAGCTGTGTTGCAACGACCCTCTGCATCTTTTGCTCTTCTGGGAGTCAGAGCAGAAAAAAAGTTGACAAGGGCCCACTTCTCATATAGCATCACGCTTACAAACACTCACAACAAGCCTGTATCTCAAAACTTGCACAATCGAACGTGGGGTTTTGAAAATATGGCAATGGGCTCAGCTTGGCCAACAGCATCTTGTGTGAAAGTTTCGCGTTCAATGTCGCAAACAGCCCAAAAAATATTTTTTGGTCGTCGAAAAAGTTTCAAAGTCGACCCCCATCCCGGATTTAACTGAGTTTGCCGTTTTGCCGGCAATTGAGATCTGGGATTGGCGTCGTGAAACTTTCACACAAGAGTGGCAAGCCAACACACTGTTCTATCAAGGCCCGTTTGCATTAATACTTCGGAATACAGGCACGTTTATGTTTGTAAGCGTGATATATGAAAAATTGGCCTTGTTCATTGTCAAGTACGTGGACCTATTTAAGAAAATCAAAATGCAGAAAGACCTCTTTGGGTTACTCAACAAAAGTCGGGACTTCGACAGGTGCACAACCCTACATGATAATACATTGGCAGCTAATAGCCACTTTGTGCATTCTAACTTTATTACATTCTATTGCCAGGTGGACGTGCTCCTGCTCTAGACATTCATTTCCATGATTAAAGTGATAGGTTGATCCGAGCTGATTTGGTTGAGTTACACCTCCTACGCGGATGGAACATTCCCGTCGCGTTGTGATGGGGCGATCTCTCTTTGACCGCTTGCTCCAGTCAATCAGCTCGGTCAACTACTTTAGTCAATGAAATGAATGTCTAGAGAGCGTGATTATCGATTCCCTTATACAGTGGATCTCATAACAATGATGAGATGATTGGCCGTTAGCTGGCAATGCCTGATTCGATGATCCATAAAGTAATTATACATTGACCCTTTCATTCATGCAAACGTAGCTGTGTTACACAACACGACCCTCTGCATCTTTTGCTCTGCCAGGGTCCAGCTACTTGACAATGAGCAAAGACCACTCTTCATATAGCATCACGCTTACAAACATAAAGGTGCCTGTATCTCCAAACTTTACAATGAAACGTGGGGTTTTTATTAGAGCAATGGGCTCGGCTTGGCCAACAGCACCTTGTGTGAAAGTTTCGCGTTCAAGGTCGCAACTAGCCCAAAAAATATCTTTTTGGTCGTCGTCGTCGAAGAGGTCGACCCCCAGATCCAGTCTGGCTGGTAGCGACATTGCGGAATCTGGGATTGGCCACGATCAACGTGAAACTTTCACACAAGGTGCCGTTTACCAAGCCGAGCCCATTGCTCTAATAAAAACCCCAGGTTTCATTGTAAAGTTTGGAGGTACAAGTGCCTTTATGTTTTATATATGCGCAGCTGTAAGCGTGGTGGAGTTGCTTTCTCCTAGTGGATGGCGTCGGCTGCATTAACGGAAAGATGGAGAACTGAGTGAAATGGCACGTGGTGGTTACACAGACACGTCCTTGACAGGTTGCTGCACAAATGGATGATGATGATGATCGCCTTTTGTGAAGGTACATAAGTAAAACAGCATTCAACCATGAAGGTGTGTCAAGGTTCCACATCACATTTGGATACTACACACACACAGTCGACATGCATAGGTAATCCATCACTAATTAGAGTGGGTGATGATGCGCACATGTGTGCATTAGGATTGGTACATAACTCACCTCTTGAAACTCAATGAAGGATCACCCTTTCTCTTAATCTCAACCCCTCACTATTTATCTATCAGGTACGTGTTATGTATGTATGCATATTCATGTCCTTACACTGCCGATAACGGAACCGTTTTTATTCTATCAAAGCTACCACATTGAATCTACAAACAACTAAGAAGGGAATAAGCTACACCAAAGTCCAAGTGGATAATAAGCCATCCTTTCTTCTGGCTACTTGGCCAGCACCATGATCCTCGTCTTCATCATTATCCTCGCTCATCATACCATAATCGTCATCCTCGTTTCTATAAATAAGAAACGCCCATCATCAACAGACCGGGTACATGTTGGAAGGATGTTGTTCCTTGAAAACCACAGGGGGATGCAAATAGGTAGGAACCACACCATCCTTTGAGAAAGCACTGCACACGATCCACGCAAATCCAGTTCGATCCAAGGACATCGCTTCCGTAGTTGCCCAAACTTGTACTTGTTCTCATTCATCCTTTCTAAAGAAAGGAGGACTCCTTCATCTACCCAATCCTCAAAGAGTAACCACCAACATATCACGAGAAGGGCCTGTCTTGTGCACTGATGATGTCAAACGGCCAAAAGGTACAGGATTGCGAGTCGCACTCAAGGGGACGATGATGATGATGATGCCCAAAGTTGTATTGTCTGAACGAAAACCTATTCAATTCATTATTAGCATACATATACAGTAGACGCCTCTTTCATTTTCTTTGTTCGTTGCACTTACCTTTTTCATATACACGAAGACCTTTGTTGCTGGTTGCCTGGATACCGAAGACCATAGTGTAGTGTAGTCGAGTCGAGCCAAAAGCCAAATGAGCCAACATACATCTTTGCGATCGAATCTCATCGCCTATACAAGCTAACACCTCAATGGAACAAGTTCTACTACAACGTTGGTCCTGAATGTACCTGGTGGCACCAAAGCGTGGAGCGGCATAGCAACGAAGAGAGAGCGATGGTAACTCCGTTGTCACTCCTACAGTGATAAGAGCATTCCTCAAGCCGTGCTCTTTACCTTCCGGTGGTCAAGGAATCTGTTGGTTGCATCATTGATGGCCCGCAGTAGTCGACGTGACAACGATCAATGTTGACGTCCTGAGTGAACGTATAAGGCGTCTTGCAGATCATTGACTCTGTAGTGATTCTTTACAAGTAGCGCTGTGCCAGATAGGATAATGGAATCAAGGATGTAGGAACAAGCCAAGCTACGACAATGACCAGCAAGTTTTATCATTAAATTTCGCGTATTGATATGATTGTTCAATGATCCACTGCCTCCATTGCTTGTGTGACGGACTGCGCTGGAGCCTCATTATTGATCCACGTCCATACCCATCATGTCATCCCACTTAAGGATTTCTTGGTTGATAGCCAAACATACGCATGTCGTCGTAAAATAAAGACGCGTCGATCCACATAGACTCATCATTGTCATCTAAAAGCGTTCCTGCTTGTAACGACTCATGCACAATGGATCCTTGTAAATGACTATTGTTGTTGGTGCATGATGGTTGGTGCTAATACGGGTATGAGTGTTGCTGTTGATGATAGAAAAGTGCGGCCGGTAATACAGATGTTGTTAAAACGAAAACGAGAGCTGCTGCTTCAGATGAAAATCTTGATCCTTTCCATAACCCATCGCCTTATTCTTCCATCTTGCTTTGATCATAAGTAACGTGATGATGATGTAGATGCTGCTAATACGAGTGTCGTTGACCAAGGTACGAGTACTGACAAATATTCTACCTTTAAAAGGTACTGTGTGCATTGAAAAGACCAACCCCGTCCTGCAATAAACCACCATCTTGCCATCTTTATTGCATTCGAGAGACATACACTAGAGCATTGCGATTAGCAGCGATTTAATAAATGGCACACCATACATAAGACATACCTTATAATCCTATCTATCACATCACGTATGTGAATGACCTCTTGCTCATCCTGGAATATGTAACCAATCAGTAAAGTCGGTGTATCATCACCTCGACCATGTAACTTACCTCATTGACTTGAAGCATCGTTGTCCTCTGTGTGCTTATCCTTCTTGATAAGACGCATGTCATCATCCCATCCGGTCTCATCGGCCACATTCTACATATCATTCTCGTCATTTCCATATCCATTGCCATGCTTATCATCAAGGACTCTACCTGCCCACTAGTGTAAAGGAAAAGAACCCTCGTGCGTGCCGTGCATGTTCGTGTGAGTTGCCAATATCAAGTCTACAGCCTTCTCCACCTTGTTTGAGCACGCTTTGGCATGTAGAACTTGTCGCTTGTGCTATCCACTTATTCTGCTGGTCATCATTGCCGGCTTCAGTCGTATATTGGGTTGTCCATCTCTGTGTCTTGTAGATTGTCGCGTTTGTGAGGAAAGGAGGATAAATAAAAGCAGCCGTTCGTTTGTAAGAATCTTTGGCACAATTCACATCGTAACCATCGTGCTGTGTTCCACCGGTTCATTTGGTCGTTCAAATTCAAGAGGGTGTTGGTCGTGTCATGTTGGGGATGGAGTGGAGCAAAAAGCCGGGGGGTGATGTGTGTAGCCGGGATCTCTGAACAACCGGGTCTCATGCATAATCCTCTTTCAGGCAACAGTAAACAAAGCTGTATCACCTGCAATTCTCTTCTTGTTGAAGATGCGACCATAATATTGGATTTGTCTTCCCTTCAAAGTGAGTAACATGTGTCCTCATAGTGCCACAAGGAACCGTCTTGGAGAGAGAGAGAATAAGAGCGGTGTCGGGAAAATGACAGTTTTTCATGCATCAAAATGGGCCCATTGTTTACACTTGGTCCTCGTTATGGACAGCACAAAAGCATATTGCCTTCATCCTTTAAAGCGCATATCAACACAACAACACCACCACCCACAACTTTTTCTCTTTCTCTTTTCTTCCTGTTGCGCTTGCTTTCATCCTGTAATTCCAAACGTATCATCATGACAGACCACGAATACTACTATCGAATCGATGATGAACAAGAACTTCTGCCACCCGATGGACCACCACCACCCTATCGCTCCGGGAATATGAGAAGCACCAAGACCCTGCATGCACGTCCCACATTTTGGAGCCCAAGGCAACCTCCCAATAGAGATTGGAAAACCATGGCCATGCGTGGTAAACGGCTAGTCAGCACGTTACGACAGCCATCACCTACTTCAGCTCATCAACCTGTTGCCACCTTGTTTGATTCACCACCTGCTTATGAAGACATCACTGCTAATAGGGGTTTCAATGGCCATCCAATGGATCCTAGAGCCATCCGTGAGACTCTTACTAATTCAGGTCAGCATCATAGGCAGTCAGCAACACTGCAACAGCATTTCACTACACGCCCAAGACGTGCATCAACGACGTCACCGGCCATGACAATTCCCTCCGTAACCTCTTCTACCCCCACTCGAAACCGCCATCATAATGATAAATGCACAATCATGTAATAAACAACCCTTCTGCTGCTGTCACACAAATTTACTATCCATTGGGGTCTTTGTTGCCTTGTATAATCTTATTTATCCCCTCATTCATATAGCTAAATGATGATGATTAAACATGGTCAATGGAGGAGGGAGAAGGTGTATATGGGAGAAGCTCACATCATCATACTATGTACAATGCTGGTTGTCATCATTCTTCGCGCACGCACATCCCCTTTATTGAAGGGATCCGATGAAAAGAGAACAAAGGGTCCAGCCATTCATTAATTTTATGGGTGACAGCAGCAGTCTTGCAGGGTACATTGTCATAACCACTTTTATTATAGCCATGTGCACAACCGCTCCACTGATAAACAATACCCAATAGCATTCATGTATACCATTGTTGGTCACATTGCATCATATTTTTATACGTAGACGACAACGATGTCGTTACGGCTCTAGTAATCTTTTTGAAAACACCTTATGAAGCAACACTGCAATTTGGAAGCTTGCTTCTTTGTGGTGGTGTAATATATGCGAATACCTCTATATGCATTACTTGCATGCGTGCAGCATCAAGAAGCAACAATACCCCTCAATTGGTTGTAAACGGCTATAACAACGTAGAATGGATTGATGCCGTTACTTGACCTTAGGAGACTACATGTTTTGCTACCATAGGTGTTTTAGCGGGAAAAGAAAACGTGATGGCATGTGAATAGTGGAAGGATATGGCCAGATCGAAAAGTAAGGAGCGTTGATTACAAAAAAGTTGGAGCGGGAGATTTACTAGCACCCCACGTTAGTAACGGATGGTCCAGCGACATGGAGCGTGCGTGCGCGTATATGTGTGTGTGTGCGTATGAGTGGTTATTCATACGTTTATTTGACCAAAGTAAGCTGACCATTCCAGTCAACTACTGAAAAGGGGATGTTCCCCCCCCTTTTTTTTTATCAATGCTTGCACTCACTCACTCTCTCTATAATCCCACCACTTAATAACTCCCATATATGGGGTTTTCATCTTTCTGACAGATCCCTGATAGCACTCATAGGACACAAACAGCAAAAAAGACAAGATGTATAGAGTCAATTAAGATTTTTAATCACACAGGAGTTTTCATGGCATTTGCGCGTGTGTTTATTACACGAATGAGAGAGCAAACTACATGTATTTTTGCGCACTTTGGCAAGTATCGATGAGAGTTTTCATTTATCCTCTCTGATTACAGTTCCATCCATAACGGCCCAGCATATACGCAACACCCAACAGGCTCATCCTTTCAACAACATATAAATATGCGATTATCCAAACTTGACCCACCATTCCCATCCATTTCACAACACCTGCTTAACCCATTTGAATACACACAACACCCATTCATTCCATCTTTCTTCTTCCTTTTTCCCACACACCATCATGTACGAGCAAGGTAAAATCAAAACTCCCCAATCACATTGTAACCATACTCACGCGTGTTTTACATACAGCATCATCCATGTCGTCTTTGACAGCAGACCTAATCCACCCTACATCGACAGCCGTGGACAACGGCAGAGACAACACTAGCAGTAGCAATTCAAATACCAATGTCCGATTCCCAAAGAGACATCAACAACAACAGCAGCAGCAGTCTCCTATCCAACCACCCACCACGCCATTAACAGCGTCATCCTCTTTTACAACGCAGCATAGCAACAGCAGCAGCACAACAACAACCACACCCATTCACGAGTATTCATTATTTGATCAACACCCAGCTGCATGGGAATGGTTTGGAAACAATGACAATAGCAATGTTTGGCGTAAACATTCGGTGGCAGCAGATGGAGCTGATTTTGGATCATGCCAACAACAACGACGTGGTAGCGTTGCCTATCAAAGTGGTGCTACAACAGCAGCAGATTGGCGTCGTGGATCGGCTGCAGCAGCCGCAAGTGGTCTGTGCTGTGCTTTGTGCTCCTCACCGCAAGCTGGATCCCAACTATGCGGCCACACCATCTGCCACGTATGCCTCTCATCCCTTGGTACATCCTCATGCCCCCTTTGCTGCACTCAGGTACGTCCATCAATCACATTTCCTTAATTCCTAATTAGTTAACATGACAATGTATATAGACTGCATCCGTTTGGGAACAGCTATCAGCACAATATGATGCAATTCAACAATCCACTACCACCACCAATGCACATCACCAGCACCCGTTTGCTGCAAGCATGATGCAACAACAACAACAACAATTGTTGACACCTCCTCCTTATTACCCATGTGTCAAATTAGCTAATGTAAGTGTGTGTCATGACAAAAAGCAACAACAACAAACACTCATGCATTCATCATGCAGATCCCTTGGGACGTTTCACAAAACGATGTACGCCAATTTTTCAGTCACTGCCGATTGCCAAACATGTCCGTGCATGCTCAAGCAATTCATATTATGATGGATCGTACCACCGGCAAAACACTTTCAGATGCCTATGTTGAATTTGCTACCTATGCTGATTTGCGTCGTGCCATGGAAACGCGTGATCGTAAACCTCTCAAAGGCCGTATTGTCACTGTCAATGAATGCACCCAAGAAGAATTACTCAAAGTGGTGTTCCCTAAATGGCGTGGTCAATTTTGTGGCATGTCAGCCATCCCACCTGCTTCGGATGTTGTTAAAAACATGTCGACCGCTGCTGGTGGTGGTGGCTCTGGATGTCCACCTTTTGTCACTCGTGAAGAAATCAACTCTTTGTTGGTCGTATGCAAGAATTACAAGCTCCATTTCTCTCGTAAATGTGCAGAGCGGCCATTCGAAAACATTATCAGCGTCATTGCAAAGTATCCATGGCATCAAGCCCACCTCATTTCGGCTATTCATCGTGATCATATCTATGAGATGCTCAAATTGTCTATTGGTAAGCATTGCAAAGGATGATTTCATGTACGTGAAGATTAACCCATGGCATGTATTATCATTAGAATCACTCAAAATACATCTATCCAAGGATTATGTACAGATTGATGGCACCTTATTGGAACGTCTCGTACGTGTTGGTATCATGTGCCCAGCATTCACCGAAAGACAAAAAACAACCTTGTTACAAACCGCCCGTATCGGATGCCCACCCGATTTGATGCACTATTTGCTACCATTACCACCTCCTATGCCATCTACTGCCGGCCTTTATACTACACCACGTGTAATGCCTTCCACTTTACCCTTCATTTCTCAACCACCACCAAAGCAACAATACAAGCTTGAACAACTCCAATCCCAACAACGTATCAAGCAGCAATATCAACAAGGTGCCAATGATCTCGCCACATGTTTTCCTGATCCCACCAAAGATGTGCTTGAGCAGCTGAACGCTTTATCGATCCATAACAACGGTGGTGGTAATGATTACTTTTTTGGTAATTCCAAGTCTCCAAGCTCAGCATCATCATCCCTTTCGCTGCGTGATCCAGTGTTGACTGTTTAAAGCTATTATCTATCTATCTAAACACACACATAATACTACTACCGTAGAAACCCTCCTCACACACAAACACACAACCCCTTTAATCTATGCACGCACCAATATCTAATGTTACATCTTCCCTTTATACAAAGCATATAATGAATACATGTGCACATATTACAAAGAGAGGTCTAATAGTAGCCTGGCAAGATGTAATCGAGCTTCTTGACGGTCTCAGGGTTACGCTTTTCTTGAGCGGTCATGCCAGCGAACTTCATGGAACCCTTGAGGTCAGGCTTGAGGGTGTTGTTACGCACGGCATCATCGAGATGAGGAAGGACAGCCATGAGCAAAGTCTTTGCGTTGGTGGAGTTGTTGACCATGTTTTGCATGACTGTTTCAACTGTAACGGAGCCTTCTTCTTCCTCACGCCAGCAATCATAATCGGTGGACATGCAAACCATTTGATATGCGATTTCAGCCTCACGAGCGAGCTTGGCTTCTGGGAGGGCACTCATGTTGATGATATCGGCACCCCAGCTGCGATACATGTGGGATTCAGCCTTGGTGGAGAATTGAGGACCTTCCATACACACAGCGGTCTTGTTGCGATGAAGGGTGCTGTTGAATTCAAGCACATGGCGTTGTTCATAGACCAAATCAGCGATGCCCTTGTGGAAAGGTTCAGCAAACAAAGCATGGGCCACCACACCGTTACCAAAGAAGGTGGAGGGTCTCAAACCACGCGTACGATCAATCAATTGGTCAGGAAGCACGAAATCACAGGGAGGAATTTCTTCACGCAAGGAACCAACAGCACTGAAGGCAAGGATGGCTTCAACGCCCAAGTGCTTGAGGGCAGCAATATTGGCTCTGACAGGCACTTCAGTAGGTGTCAAGTAATGGCCTCGTCCATGACGTGCAAGGAATGCAATCTTGGTGCCGCTTGGAAGCTTGGCGATCGTGATCTTGTCACTGGGAAAACCCCAAGGCTATCAATCAAGCAACTATGAGTTGACCCATTTCCTTCGTAAACCCCCCTTGGTCCCCAATCGACATTTACAGTTTCAGGGTGCACTTCTTCGACAATTTCAAGGTTGTCCAAATGGTACAAACCAGAGCCACCAATGACAGCAATCTTGACGTCGTGCATTATGGAAAGAAAAGAGCAATATTTTACTATCACGCGGAGACCCAGTGCCTGAGATAATTGCGCCATTCACAGCCCCAGTTGGGAAATCATCTCACCATCTTGTGTAAGTATCCATGGTAACCACCACCTTGCTACATGACGACGATAACAATCCATCTCTCTCTCTATAATAGTGATCCCTCTCTTGACAAGTTGTAATCATCATTGTTGTTCTTTGAGACATAGTAGGTAAGTTACCAAGGCCACACTGATAGTAACAGATACATGTACCTGATAAGCATTGGGCTGGTCATCGCTATCCTATCTATCACTCGTAGTTACCATAACCGAGATACCGCATCCATATTCTTTCAATGGTGCATTATGCATGTATGCATACGATTCAAGAAGGGCCCAATTATCTAAGAAGGCAATATCCTCACCACACAACAAAAGATCCTCTCAACGCATGCTCACACAACTCATCCGATACCTCCTCCTCCTTTTGCAGACATCATAATGACCCAGCAGCAGCAATTTGGATGAACCCACTGATTTTTTATCATTGATGGAAATAAAAAGCTATGTACGTGTGTTTGCGTGTGCGATAAAAGGGTGGCGGTAGCGATGGTGGTTTACAGGTGATATAGATGTAGGTGTGTTGCGCGTGTGTTGTAATAGTATATGCAAATGGATGTCATTTTCAAATGCTGCGAGCAGCCGATCGTCTACCAAGAAGCCTTCTTGACACCAGGAAGCTCACCGTTCAATGCCTTCAAACGGAATTGGTAACGACAGAGTTTGAATTCTCGAAGGATACCTTGACCATGGCCTGTTGCGACGCAACGGTTGCTAATGTAAGCCTGGGATGATTGCTTGGGCATATTGTTGAGTGCAAGTTGAGCCTGATGGCGGACACGGGCTGGCAGAGTCTCGTTGCGTGTAATGTAGCGATAAGCTTGACGAGTCAATTCGTTGTCGGCGACCAATTGACGTGCCTTAATGTCACGGAGTATACGGCTTCTCATTGTTGCGGTGAAGTACGTAGAAGGAAGGAAGGGTGGTAAAGAAAGAAAGGAACAACAAATAGCGACCGCGGGGTAAAACCAAAGCCACTGTGCACGGGTTGACACTTTGCTTGTGTCTTAATCTCATATCCGACAACGACGCACCCTCCAACCACTCACTCACACAATGTTCTTGCCTCTCTTATCCAAGCGATGCGCATCCGCCGCACGATCAGCATACATTAACCGCAATGTTATCTTTCGACAAACCCGTCAAGCTGAAGTAGTCAGTGTCCCTTCCTCTGTCTTTTTCGGTCACGGTCGTCTTGGTACTACCCACTCGTCTCCATTTCAAAAAGTCGACATACTCATCACCGTAGCATAGCTCGTGTGCGCCAAATTGCAACTGAGGCTAACCGTGTCAAGGTTGACTATGACGCTAAATATGCTGAGAAGCTGAAAAAGATGGCTGAAGCGTATGTATACTCATGTCACGTGGATTGAATCGTTTTAATTTACATTGCATGATATATAGCAAGGGTGTCTCTGTTGAGGAACTCAAGTCCAAGGCAAAGGAAAACTTGAAGCAAGCCCAAAATGCTGTCAAGTCATCGGCTGAAGCTCCCAAGGCTAAGCCTGCTACTACTACTACTACTACTACTACTACCGCTACCACCACTACTGCTAAGCCCAAGGCTGCCGCATCTCCTGAAGCTGTTGCTGCTCGCTCCAAGATGCCCTACGAGTCATCAGCCCCTGTAAGATCATTTCTTATTGTTGCATGAGAAAGAAGGATGGTGATGCTTATCATAGGTGGTATAGACTTTGGATAAGGTTGTCAAGTTGGATCTTTTGGAAAAGGAGGATGCTGAGACAGTGGCCAAGATCTGGACCGAGTACCACGCTGACAAGGATTGTATTACTGCTGTCATCCCCAAGGAAACATACGATACTATTCAAAAGCGAAGCCAACAGTACCCATTGGTAAGGACATGTACAACCTAAAGAGTGGACAATGGCTAATGGATGGCATGATTTAGTTTGTGGTGCCCATGCCTCGCGAGAGCGGTGTCGAGTTCTTTTTCATGCAGTTCAACTTTACCCAAGTCTATTTCACTTCTCTTCTCGAATACAAGGCTAAGGGTGCTGAAGCAAGACCTTTCCTTACAATCACTCATTATCCTGAATTGGCTGATTCCAAGGGCATTGTTTTGATGAAGGGCGAGATCTCTGATAACCCACGCATGATTGATACACAAAACGCCCAGTTCCTCGCCTTTGTATTGCAACAATTCTACGCCACTGGTGGTGAGGAAAAGTTCAAGCTCGTCGAAAAGTTCCACAAGGAGCCCCAAAACTTTGATTACCAAGAACTCATCAATGAGGTTGAGCGTGTTGTTTAGACCATAGAACATATCTTCCCCACCTCATCCCTCCCATCCCATCCCATCCACATAATAAATCATCTCCCTCTTTTCCTGCTGATCGATTCAAATGATATCATGATGGCTCGACTTTGTAAGAGAATATTTCAATTCGATGATGGTGACGAATATACGATCAACTCTAACAATACAATGGGGGGTATCAGATTCGGTCTTCTTATTTGCGTTTGAGAGCTTCAAGTCGCTTTGCAAGAGCGTCAAAATCATCGTCTTTTGGCTTTGGTGTGGTAGGTTGAGATACGTTGTTCTTTTTTGGAGCTGGTGGCATGTTGGATGGGATTTCTGGTAGGTCAAAGGTGGTCTCGCTTTCATCGACGTTGGTCACCTATAAAAGCAACGTTAGCATTTACTACTACTACCACCCATACATCATCCTCTTTTGATTTACCGGTTGGGGAGAAGATGTGTCATTATCATTTGATGCGAGCAAGGGCGCCTCTGTTTGTGCAGGGTATACCTAATCAGCAAGTTGAGTATGCTTTCATATAACGTAGGAAATGATTGTTGTTGATGTACCTCTTCTGCCAATCCACCTCCACCACCACTTGATGTATCATCGTTATCGTCATCAGCAGCCAATACACTGGACACCCACATGATATCGTACGACTTTGCAATTTCTTCCAGATAACGCTCGACTAGGAATGGATCGGGTGCGCTTACTTGTAGCTTGCAAACAATCTACCCCTCCACGTCAATCTTTGAATAGTCCTCCCTGCCCAAATGATATACGACTTACTCGTTCATTCACCACATTGTCCACGTTATCGAGAGCATTGTATACAAACTCCTTGCCATACTTGGCAGCAAATAGATCTCTGACCTGAATGAATGATGATGATGCATGTGTTAGAGCAGAACACAATATGAGTATGCCTGGTCTCATACATTGAGCAATTCCTTGATCTCATCCGTACGTGGTGCTGCCCAAATGATAGTGTTGACAGCCTCGGCAATACCAGGATCACATGTCCTACATATCAAGTGGTTCTTTTGGTGAGACCTTGAAGGGGGCCAAGGATCTATACTGTAATGCAAACGCTTACTTGTACTGTTCAATAAGCCCAAAACGCGCCAGCAACAAGTCGCAATACAACTCCAATATCTCCATAGCTTCAATAAATAGATCCTCACGAATAACATGCTCGACACGCACACGTGCGCTTTCTTCTTTGCCCTTGTCCAAAAGAGTTGCAATTTCACGACGCTGATGTTGACAAAGCGATGTCTTTTTGGCTTGCAGCATCTTGAGTCGATTGATGGCAAGTTTCAGTTGTACTTTGAGTTTGTTGGGTTGGAATAACATAGTGCGTATGTGTTGTGTGTGTGTGCGTCGTCGAAAAGAGAAGTGGGCGGCAAGAAAGAAGAAAGAGAGAGCGCTACTCGGAGATGCAACCATCCTTTGATGTTGTAGACATAATCCACCCTCCTCCAATCCATCCTATTTCGCTCAAGACTCTATTACGAATGATTGACATGTAATGTATTTAGTGGTTATTGTTGAAAAGATCTTATATGCTCAAGTCATCGCCTATTCTTGTCAACTAGCACCTTGTCTACCGAGGCATCATCCTCATGGCTTGCATCTCCGGTTGGGACACAGCTTATTCTTGATCCTTGTGCATGGTGAAATAAGGTGTAAGACCATGGATAGCGATAGTAGCAGCACTGATACAGAAGAATTCGAGGCACAACGACGTATCGATCAACGTATCACTTTTCGTCCTCGACCTCAAAGCAATGGTGGTGGCAGTGGTCGTATTCAGATCTCATCTCGCCCATCGAGCATTGATTCAAGAGCAACAGCCTCTTCCTTGTTACGGCAGCAGCAGCAACAACAGCCTGTTTTGTTTGATGGAACACATACGCCACGTAATATTGCTGCTATCAGTTTCCTGCTGGGTCTTGGGGGTGGCATAGGCGTTGCTGCAGCATGGCTATCAAGCACTCCTCAGATGGGCCTCTTTTTATTGGCTGTGGCCCTGTTCCACTTTGCAGACTATCTTGCCACATCCATATACCAGGTGCATAAATTGGATCTGCAAGGTAGTATCCATGAGCCCTTTCTGGATCATGCACCTCATTACTAAGCTATGGTCAATAGCCTATCTTTTCATGAACAAACAACACTGCTACGAAGGATACCACGCGATTGCATGGCTGGAATTCGCTATCGAATATTATCATTTTCCATCTTTGAAACGAATCGGCTTATTGAATTATATGGGTAAGGATCAACCAAGCAATGGATAGGAGTACGTCCGCTGATTTCCACATCTCTATAGGCTTTGGATTGGTAGTAATTGGATTATTATGCAGAGTCCTTGCAATCATGTCACCGAGATATCAGAATGCTTCAAAGAGTGCACAAAGGCCCTTGGATACCAATGGCATATACAGGTACAATAGCAATGAGACAAACTGAAATGCATCCCACTCAACGACACGTCACGTTTTAGGATGATACGACATCCTTATTTCTTTGGACTCTACTGGTGGGCGATTGGGGTTCAAATCACGCTACTGAATCCAGTAGGCTTGGCGATCTTTGTGTTTATGCTCCATGATACGCTCTCTCAACGCATCAAATTAGAAGATCAAAACTTACAAAGGCTGTATCATGATATTTGGAACAACTATAAAGCAGCAACACCCACGTGGTTACCATTTATTCCTTGATGAACATTGATTGTCGCATACATACATATACGCAAAGGCAACGTGTGGTGGGAAATCTAGAGGTTCTATGATTGGGCAGAGACATAAAGAGCGAGAGAGAAAGCATGCGTATACACGACGTAGCGTTTAATTGTTATCCCCCTACTTTCATTGTCATTGTAATGTTTGGCTCTTTTCTTAAGGTAAACCCCACATTCCTTTCGATGTAGTTACTCCCAGAGATGCATCTGCAAGGTTGCATTAGGTGGCACAGTCTACCGTCCGCGCAGGGGGGGGATCCTTCGGCTTTCATTGTAAATGAAACAGGGCCTAAAAAATAAAGCCGTTACACAACCAGCTTATGTAATCGATGTTTGGGTGCTACAAATTGTCATTCAACCCATTGCTACGATTTGCCAAAAAAGACTAGGGCCATCAATGACGACATGACACCACTACCTGGTGGATCCTATACTTTCTGTGAATTCGCCAGTGTGACAATACCAGAAGCAAAGCGAGACGTTGTATTCAATGTCGATGAGGAGCTTGTCTCCTCCATATTACCCAAGATACATCAAGCTATAGCCTTAAACCAACGAACCAATCCAAAAAGCACCTATTCTTCCTAGGACCTCCATCGACGCGACAAAAAGATCACTTCAGCTGAAGCAACGTCTCGATGAGTTTAATCATACATAAACACATCAAGCAAACATGCAATACCATCACCTCCCCATGTCAACCATCATGCTTCATTATCTTTCATTGTCAGCTAAAAGTGTTCCTTTTGTAACAATGACTCACTAGTAATTCAACAATGTAAATGCTGTTACTCTATCCATTGCATCTCACCGGGCAGTTGACTACAAGTGGATGATCTCATTCCTGTACCATGTGAATCCATTGAGAGCGTAATAGCATGTCCTTCTTATTCTCTTTTCAACCATTTCATCGTCATTTCTATACAACGAGGATAATCGCGTGTTTGGTATATCCTTTTTGATGGCACTGGTATGCTTGACGGAGAAGTAGTAGTGTTGAATCTATAATAAGCCCACCCCACGCCAAATCAGATATCCGGTTACCAGGCTATGCCTAAAGTGCCATACCGAGAACCGGGTTCTGGTGTTAATGGGGAACGTTTGTAACCAGGATTCATGCATTTCGAACACAATGAGCCTATATGAGTCAAGGAAGTGTGTTATCGTTCTATTTCAGGATGTTGTTGTTGTTGTTTGATCCGATTACTGCTACGAAAATAGCCTTCTTCTCCACACGAACAATAATAGCAACGGTAAATACCGGATCATAAGGCATTGATTTATAATCTTGATTACTCATTTGTATATTGTATCGCGATTGAGGTAAAGAAGAAGTCCATCATAGATTGACAGCCGATATACCAATGATGGAATTATGGGGCGGGTGGAAGCAGCTGACGATAATTATTAGTGTGGATAAACAAAGGAACAATAAGCTTGCATGACACCATGATCGTCCTGCATAATGCGAAATGGTCTAATCTCGATCGTTTTATCCACGAAACATGACTTCTTACATAATCGAAGACAGCATGGATGATGAAGCACCGCGGAAGTGGGCTTATGTAAGAGACGTCAGGCGGCGGAGTTGTTTCCGATATAAAGCTTGGATTGCCCCTGATAGCCGAGCTGCCAATCTTCTCTTTCTCTTCACTCCACTCAACTCGGTTTACACAACCTCCACACATACACACTATCATGGTTCAAAAGGCTGTTCTCGTTACTGGTGGTGCTGGTTACATCGGTAATGCGACACATGACACGCGAACAACATAGCATCAAGACTCATCATCTCTCTCAATTAGGCTCGCACACTGTCATTGAGCTTCTCGAAGCTGGCCATCAAGTTGTTGTCGTTGACAATTTGACCAACTCTTCCTATGAAGCTGTTCGTCGTATCAAGACTATTACCGGCAAGGATTTCACCTTCTACAAGGCTGACATTCTCGATAAGAAGGCATTGCTCGAAGTGTTCAAGCGTCATGCATGCGACTCCGTTGTCCATTTTGCCGGTCTCAAGGCTGTTGGCGAATCGACTCAGATCCCATTGGACTATTATCATAACAACATTACTGGTACGGTGATGCTTTTGGATGCCATGAAGGAATCAGGTGTCAAGAACATTGTGTTTTCGTCTTCGGCTACTGTGTATGGTGATCCTGCTATCATTCCTATTCCCGAAACCTTGCCTACTGTAAGTGTATATCTTGTGTGAGAGCATATGGAGAGAGAGGAAACGGGGCTTGGATGATGTTGAGGGATCTATTTTTTGCATTGGCAAAGATATGATGGAAGCTGAGCAAGAAACTATTATTAGGGCGCAACCAATCCTTATGGTCGAACCAAGCAGTTCATTGAACACATCATTCGCGATGTTTGCACCGCCGAGCAAGGATGGAATGCAGCTCTTTTGCGTTACTTTAACCCCGCTGGTGCTCATCCCTCTGGTATCCTTGGTGAAAACCCTCTCGGCATTCCCAACAACTTGATGCCTTATCTTGCTCAAGTTGCTGTTGGCAAGCGTGAATTCCTTTCCGTGTTTGGCAATGACTATGAGACCAAGGATGGCACTGCTATCAGGTAAGACAAAGAATTGTGACATCCCCCCTCCCCAGAATAGAATACTGATTTATGTTGCACATATAGAGATTACATCCATGTTGTTGATTTGGCAAAGGGTCACTTGGCTGCTTTGGAAAAGTTGAAAGAAGGCACCGGCTGTGTCGAATACAACTTGGGTACGGGTGAAGGTAGCACTGTACTTGATATGGTTCATGCATTCAGCAAGGCTGTGGGCCGTGATTTGCCTTATAAGATCGTCGGCCGTCGTCCTGGAGATGTCACCAACCTTACTGCCAACCCTGCCAAAGCCAATGCGGAGCTCAAGTGGAAGGCGGAGAAGACTATGGATGAGACCTGTGCTTCATTGTGGAACTGGCAAAGCAACAACCCTAACGGCTTGGAAGATTGCGATGGCGACGCTCCTGCTGATTCTATCATCAAGTTTATCTAGACAACAATCCTATCTCTCTTTTACAATTATATAACATTATACACTATGATTCTGCAACACCATCTGCATGATATCTCGCCCATCAAATTGCATTTCTTTTTCGCTTGTTACCACATGATGTGTAAATAAAGCTACAACTTAGATATCCTACATCCATGATCATCGAACGAACCTCATCATTTGAATGCATAAATCACCTTCACTCTTATGCAATCACAACCATCACCAGGTACTATCTTTTACCCTATCGGTCTTGGAACATGGTTAAATTTTGTGTGACATGCTCAACAGTGATCGTCCAATAACTCAAAATAGGATTTTGATTCAGGGGAATATACGAGGCATACAAAGTTGCCACGTGATGCATTGTTTATTAGAAAACGTAAAATGTAGCAGCGTGTGGAAAGAAATTACAAGCCAACGCAGTAGGTCTTGCCAGTGTCAAGGTTGTCACAGGTGTTGGGAGCCTTGCTGTGGAGGTTCTTGTTCAACTTGAAGAGGGTAGCTTGATCAATGTTGTTCTTTGCAGAGACATCTTCACAGGCAACATCATCGGGGGTGATGGTGTAGAACCACTTGCAGTTGGGGTTGATCTTGTTGACCAACTTCAAGCCTTGGGACTCAACTTGCTCCTTGGAAAGAGCATATTCAGAGGGAGCACCAGAGTTGGAGGCGGGCTTGGAGTCAGCTTCAGTGGAAGCGGCATCAGCAGCAGGAGCAGCTTCCTCATCGGAAGAAGAAGAGGAGGAGGAACCCTTCTTTTCAGCGAGGCAACGCTTAGCCTTGGTCTTGGGAGCTTCAACGCAGACCTTGTCACCAGCGTTGATAGTGCAGGCTTGGTCAAGGTCGACAATCTTGTTGACGGTAGCAAAGACCTCAGGGGCAATACCTTGAGCCTTAGCGAAAGCATCACAGGTGGTGGTTTGAACGGCTATGTATTGAACAATGAATGTTGGTTAACAAAGAATAAAGAAACATGGGCTATTCATTATACATACCAGTGACGGTCTTGCTGCAGTTGATGGCAGGAGCAGCAGAAGCCATACCGGCGAGAGCAAGGGAAGCAACAGCGACAAGAGAGAACTTCATGATGAAAGGAATAGGAATGGGTTTGTGTTGTATAAAAGAATGGAATGTGTGGGGAGGATTGGTTGTAGTGAAGAATTGCCACAGCAGCTTTAGAAGCGTCCCTTTTATAAGCATCGTGAGGCTCATTTTGCTGCTGACGCTTTGATCTCACGAAGATTTTCCTTGTGCTCGATTTAGGTAACGAAGCATGATGTGCAATTGAAGCATCGCAAGCCCGCCATAAAACATGTGGCACGAACAACGGGAAATCAGCTATCTTTGGCATAATTCATATTGCTTTGCGACACCTTGATGCCTTTCATGGTCAAGTTTTTCCACATTTGACTAAAAATCGTCCTTGCCAAAAAGGAACAATTTGTGCAATCTTGGCCTTCAACTTGTTTTCCATCGTCTTGATTTGGGCACACACCATGTTGTTGATGCTCCTGCTGCCCATTGCACATCAATTCCGCTCCGTGCTTTCCGGAGTTCAAGTAAGGCTGGCTCATAATCACAGGTAGACGCGTTCTTTTATGCTCACCAGCTTTTTGTTTTATGACAATTTAAAGGAGCAGATGTTTTAATCTCTTGAATACGAGACGCTATTACTATCATGGAAAGGCACAAAGATATTAAACTTTTGGCTGTCTATACCTGGTTCACTCATTCACACCAACCAATATGACTAGTAGATGTATGGTCATTGATCATGTGTTACAGGCACCACTTGTGGGAGAGGATAATGAAATATCACGCTATCATTAGTTTAGACAAGCGCAAACGAGATGTGATGGAAAGGTGCATATACCAGTAAGAGCAGTGTGTTACATAGCGGAAAGCAAAATGCTAAACATAATGGATCAACATGATGATGTTGTGCGCGCATTAATTAGTGGGGAAAAAGAGATAGGCCCATGGCGGAGCAAAAAAGTGCTCACTGCAGCAAACGATATACACACGTGCTCAATACAAGATGCTTGATGATACAAGAATAGACCACGGGCTCAACCGATCTCGACCAACAACATGCAATGCCAAGAAGAATATCAATGGATTACAACAGTGGAAGGTGAACATGGGCATAGCTGAAGAACAAAAGCACAAAATCGAGGAAGATCAACAAAACGGTAATTACGTGCTATGGTGTCACGGCAACAAAATGACGTGCATTTGTCACCTGCTCAATTTGATTTTCTTTGTCGTTTTGAAACGACTATTTTTGTGCTGCAAAAAGTCATAATGAAAGTAGGGAGAGCAATAAGCGTGGTTGTATTGGTCCACTCAGGTTTAGAAGAAAGGGGTAAGCATTATCCAGATTGTGTGCCACACAACGCCTTTGATCCACAAGATGGCTTCCTTTCATCTTTACAACAGCAGCATCCTTTGTTGTTGCACCAAAAAGTAATACATTCAATCTATGTATGTATGCGCACAGACATTTGTCATTGAAGGGAGCACGACGTGTCGTTTCTTTTACTACTCATCTCTCACGCAAATATGATGTATATAGTGCTTTGCATTGTAATGTTATAAGAGATTACTGGATAAAGATGCTCCATCATTCCCAACAGCTGCTACGCGTTCAATTTTGGAGTTTACGATTACACGTCTTTTATAAAGTTGATGGTATAAAGATGATACATTGATAAACAAGGTTGTATGAGTGATGCTATAGCTCTGATTCCTCATCGATTGTGGGCATTCTCTTCTTGTCTCCTCCCATTGACTCCTTTTCGAGGTCAGCTGTCGGCTGATTTTTTCTTGTGCGGTGTGTGGCAAACGAGCTTCGATCCCTTTCTTTATTAAATCCAACAGGTGAGTAAATCCATCCATCCACTGAATGGGATCCATCCATCATGAACGGCATCTAATATGCATCATCTATAGTCGCCATGGGTAAGGAGAAGACTCACGTTAACGTTGTCGTCATTGGTCACGTCGATTCCGTAAGTACTTCATTGAACAATGGGAAGCCCTTGATTGCAGGAAATTGACTCTTTTGTGATTGCAGGGCAAGTCCACCACTACTGGTCATTTGATCTACAAGTGCGGTGGTATTGACAAGCGTACCATTGAGAAGTTCGAGAAGGAAGCCGCCGAACTCGGTAAGGGTTCTTTCAAGTACGCCTGGGTTTTGGACAAGCTTAAGGCTGAACGTGAGCGTGGTATCACCATCGATATCGCTCTCTGGAAGTTCGAGACTCCCAAGTACCACGTTACCGTCATTGATGCCCCTGGCCATCGTGATTTCATCAAGAACATGATTACTGGTACTTCCCAAGCTGACTGTGGTATCTTGATTATTGCTGCTGGTACTGGTGAATTCGAAGCTGGTATCTCCAAGGATGGTCAAACCCGTGAACACGCTTTGCTTGCTTTCACCCTTGGTGTCCGCCAATTGATCGTTGCTATCAACAAGATGGACTCCACCAAGTACTCTGAGGCCCGTTACAACGAAATTGTCAAGGAAGTTTCCACCTTCATCAAGAAGATTGGTTTCAACCCCAAGTCCGTTCCTTTCGTTCCTATCTCTGGCTGGAATGGTGACAACATGTTGGAGGAGTCCACCAACATGCCTTGGTTCAAGGGATGGAACAAGGAGACTAAGGCTGGTGCCAAGACCGGCAAGACCCTTCTTGAAGCCATTGACAACATTGATCCCCCTGTTCGTCCTTCCGACAAGCCCCTTCGTCTTCCCCTTCAAGATGTTTACAAGATCGGTGGTATTGGTACAGTCCCTGTTGGTCGTGTTGAGACTGGTGTCATCAAGCCTGGTATGGTTGTCACCTTCGCTCCCGCCAACGTCACCACTGAAGTCAAGTCCGTTGAAATGCACCACGAGCAACTTGCTGAAGGTGTTCCTGGTGACAACGTTGGTTTCAACGTCAAGAACGTTTCCGTCAAGGATATCCGCCGTGGTAACGTCTGCTCTGATTCCAAGAACGACCCCGCCAAGGAATCCGCTTCCTTCACCGCTCAAGTTATCGTCTTGAACCACCCTGGTCAAATTGGTGCTGGTTACTCCCCTGTCTTGGATTGCCACACTGCTCACATTGCATGCAAGTTCTCTGAGCTCCTTGAAAAGATCGATCGTCGTTCTGGTAAGTAAATCTTTTGATTTGGGATATGGGTATTGGGGCTTAATCTCTTGATTTTGCTGCAAATCCTCTTCCTTGATCATTCTCAATTACTTTTTTTATCATTTGCTAATCCAAACACTCCCCATTTCATTCAAAACAGGTAAGAAGCTCGAAGATAGCCCCAAGTTTGTTAAGAGTGGTGACTCTGCTATCGTCAAGATGGTTCCTTCCAAGCCCATGTGCGTTGAAGCTTACACTGAATATCCTCCTCTTGGTCGTTTCGCCGTCCGTGATATGCGTCAAACCGTCGCTGTCGGTGTCATCAAGGCCGTTGAGAAGGTTGATAAGGCTGGCAAGGTTACCAAGGCTGCCCAAAAGGCTGGCAAGAAATAAGTTATTTCGCCCTTATGACTGTTGCATGATTAAAAAGGCTCCTTTGTCTTTTGTACAATAATAAATGACTCCTTTCATGGAGGAAAAAGTACATACTATTCAATTCGTGTCATTCTATTGTAATTGTGGATAGGAAGTAATAAATGGATCAGCTCATTCAAATGTAACCTTGTCCACTTGCAATTCAAAGACAGCCTTCATAGCTACTACAACTTTGCCATGTAGACATCGCAGGCTTATAAAAGGTAGGATGTGGTTGCATAAAGCGTATCCATTTTATTGTGTACGATATTGGTACAATGAGACCTTGTGATCATTCTACTTGAGATTAGAGACTACCTTAGAGCACGCAGCTGCAGCAATTCGTCCTCAGCCCTCTCTATCATCAACTTGCCCAATACCACGATAAATGATCCTTTGTATTGATATCGATTTCCCCCATCAATCCAATGACCAAATTGATTGCCGCAAGATAAAGAATCGAAATGTATGCTCTTTTGTACATGTTCGTTGTTTTATTGTTCATTTTGGTGATACTGCTTAAACGACGGTACCGGCAGCAGAAGCAATACGGGGCCAGAGATCAGCACACTCCTTAGCAACGGGACCAGTGATAGCAGAACCCTTCATTTCACCCTTGGGCTATAGTGTATATACAAAAAGAGTTGAGTATGATACCATAGCAACCATGTATCCAAGGAAACTTACGTTGACGATAACACCGGCATTGTCCTCAAAGTAAAGGAAAACACCATCACGACGACGCCAAGCACGACGTTGACGAACAACAACGGCGGGCATAACTGCAATTGAGTATGAGTATTGACATTTTCTCCAATGCTGCTGTTGCTGAATAATAGCAGTAGTAGTAGTAGTAGTAGTAATTACCCTTCTTTCTCAATTCAGGCTTGCCCTTCTTGACGGAAGCGACAATCATGTCACCAGCGCCGGCAGCAGGAAGACGATTCAAGTGACCCTTGATGTTGCGGACGGCAATAACGTAGAGGTTCTTGGCACCACTGTTATCAGCGCAGTTCATGACAGCGCCAGTGGGCAAACCGAGAGTCATGCGGTACTTGGTGCCGGAAATGCTAACTGTTGTATCGATTCATCCGTTAATCCATTATGTTCATCCATCCATCCATCGATTGTTATGCTTGCCTTTAGGCATGATTGACTAGGGAATAAGGAGGGAGCAATCTTCCGGTTGTGGATGGTACTTTGATTGTGGCCAGCAACAACTCCCCCACCCCCTCTCCCCCAATTTCCCTCCAAGGCTGCTGCGGAGCAAGAATATGAGACCATCATCCCTACAAGATCCTACATCCCTACCAAGCTACGAGAATCTAATAGTCTTACTCTCCCTCGAATACGTAGTTTTAGATTCAAAATTTACTTTTATGCATTAAAGCCATCATCAGCCAGTATACCTCGTCTCATTCTTCTTATCCAACAAAGACGCCTTGTTCCTTTTTTTGGGCCTTTGTAGGTTAAGGCATGTAATGCTATGCCATGAGTAGCTTGCTAACGTGTATAAGGTCGTTTATTGTATCCCAATGGCATGTCTCTTTTTGAACTTGCTCAACAAGGATGGTGGTCGTCTAGGACGTTTGGGCTCTCTTTTACCATATACATTGTTTATTACTTCTGGTTTGATGAAATGGAAGGAGTAGTGGATACCTCTATGTATGCTAATCGATGATTTATACTCTGGACATGGTTGGATGAGGCCATAGATGTATCGTAGCAGCTTACTGGTACTGAGGAATGATGCCTTTAGCGATCAAGGAGTACGCATGGTTAGCTAGAAAATGCCTTTAGTGGATAGCAATACGATGTATGCGACAGCAATTGAACACGTACAACATAGTCATCATCAGCGCTAACATTGGCGAGTGGATGCTCTTACACATTGATGGATACGAGCGTTTCATGCACAAAAGCCAAATCACATGAGCATTTGAATTCTCATTGGTTGCTCCACCGCTCTTGAAACAAACAGCCTCGCTTGCAACGCCAAGCTTTCTTGTTCTCAACTCCCACAATGTCCGATGATCGATATGGTCCCATTGCACTGAGGGAAGATGCAGTATCGAATACCCAAGTCCCAGCAAACGACGATGACGATGAAGAAGAAGCCCACGAATTTGCAACCTATGTTGAGAGTGACGACGATGACGAAGACCCTTATTTTATGCCTGAGCATAACCGAAAGTCAAGCACATTGTCATTTAGCCGGTAAGGATGGCTTTACATGAAGGGTGATGATGCATGGATAATAACATTAAGGGGGCGGTGCGATATAGGTTGACATGCTCACCAGTACAACTCTTCCGGTTCTTTGTTCCAACCTTTTGCATATTGATCATCTTTGTATATACCATCGTCATTGCCGTTCTTACTCATCAACGAAAAGCACCCAACCCACCCACTCTGTAGAAAAAAAAACAACAGCATTCATCATATGGCAGTGATACGGATTCCATAGCAACATTCAACACCATCCTTGATCATGTGATTATTCCCCTCCACCTCCTCCCATCAACGTACAATTACAATTGCTTAATACCCAAGGCTCTCTATGTTATTTATGATTGGATTCGTGGTATGGAGTCATGGTGATTGGTAGTAGCAACAAGAAGGTTTACTACGAGTTTGGGATCGGGATGGGATGGCCAAGTGGGTGGTTTTTTTTTCATTAAGTTTGGATTGTGGCGTACATTACTTTTGACACATGCATGCTTGTAAACAGGTAAACAGTGTTATTGTGCCTTGTTTGGTGGTGGACACGTGCGTCATTTTCCCACATGCATTAAAATTAAGCTTTGGTGTACTTGACCATCATATCACATCAATGCTAGGGGTGAAAGAAATGAACGAAACGTGGTGATTGGTATCGTCGTCGTGGCAACGAGATCGTAAAGAGCAACAACAATAGGTGTCGGTGGGGCGGAAGTTGAATAAGTCGGTGGTCGTAATGTTATATCAAGCGAAAGTTGAGCAACTGATACACTTCCTCTTTTTCAGCCGATATAATCAGAAATGGTATGTGTACAACCAATTGATCCACCCAAAGATCAAGGCAATGGATGTGATGGATGGGTTAAATCAAGATGGATGAATCAAAAGATGAATGGATGGATGTGATAAATCAAGGATGAAAGAATGGATGGGTGGTGGCAAATAGTATCTATGTGTGTGTGACCAAATAAGCTTATTGTGTATATACTTTTTGTACATAGGCTCCTGCTAAGAAGTCCACTGGCAAGAAGGTCGCTCCCGCTCCTTACCCTATCAAGGGCAAGCAGACTTCCAAGACTGCTTCCAACCCTCTTCTTGAGAAGACTCCCAAGAACTTTGGTATTGGTCAAGATGTTCAACCCAAGCGTGATGTTTCCCGCTTCGTCAAGTGGCCCGCTTATGTTCGTCTTCAGCGCCAAAAGAAGATCATCTACCAACGTTTGAAGGTTCCTCCTGCAATCAACCAATTCACCCAAACCTTGGACCAAAACACTGCTGCTCAGCTCTTGAAGCTCGCTAACAAGTACCGCCCTGAGAGCAAGGTTGAGAAGCGTCAACGTCTTCGTGAGGCTGCCGCTGCTAAGGCTGAAGGCAAGGAAGCCATCAAGACTGACAAGCCTATCGTTGTCAAGTACGGTTTGAACCACATCACCTCTCTTATTGAGAACAAGAAGGTTCAACTTGTTGCTATTGCTGACGATGTTGACCCTATTGAGTTGGTCATCTTCTTGCCCGCTTTGTGCCGCAAGATGGGTATCCCTTACTGCATTGTCAAGGGCAAGGCTCGTCTTGGTCAAGTTGTCCACAAGAAGACTGCCACTGCTATCGCTTTCACTGATGTCGCTGAGGCTGATAAGGCTGAGCTCGCTTCTTTGGTCTCTGCTGTCAAGGCTAACTACAACGACAAGTGGGAGGAAACCCGCCGTCACTGGGGTGGTGGTATCAACGGTCCCAAGTCTCAAGCCCGTCTTGCCAAGCGTGCTGCCGCCGCTGCCAAGGAACTTGCTGCTCGTCAGTAAACAAGATAGACTATTGTGCTTGCGATCTCATTGCATCACGCTTAATAAAGAATCCATTTTCTTGTACCAAATTCATAACATTTGCAGGAATACCCAGTGTAACATAGATCATGTGGTCTGCATGCTTTATTATCATTTGCGTGTGCTATAAAAGTAACTAGCTCATCATGCAGCAGGTGTCTAGAAAAATTGCCATGGCATTGGTTGCCATGATATCGTAGCATGGATACGTTGTTGAGTGAGTAGTCTATTATGTAGCAAGCAGGCAGGTAAGTAGTAGGAGAGATAATATTATAATGTCGCGTGAGCCTCGGAGATTCCTTCAAGGGAACTGCATCTCTTTCTTGTTGTATAACTCTTACTTTATTCCATATGCCTCGACTCTACGACGAAGAACCACGATCGATATTCATCATTCCCAATCCCTTCCGGGCACTCTCTCACAAGGCACGACAAATTGGTGTCTATTCAGCAGGTGTCTTGGTATGTGACCCATTGGTAATGGCCATCGCTCTACACACACCCCACTTACGGAGAGATTGCATTGTAGTTTGCACTTGGCTGGTGGGTGTTTATTGATGCACTGGTAATGTCTGCAAGAGCTGAAGGTGACGTCAAGGCACATATGGGATTTGAAGACTGGGTATCCGGTATCCTTTCTACCTTGGGTATGGTCATGTAAGTTACATAAGGACCTTATTATGGATAGCGATGCTTATTGATTGCTAGTATCAACCTGATTGACAAATCTCGACTCCATGGTGAAGAATATGCATATGCTGGCAGTAGCTTGGTGTTCAAGGCACGCCTTTTCTTGTTTCTTGGCTTTGCATTGATAGCGGGAGGATTTGCTGGTTCATTCGTGAGTAGTGTTACAACATTTGGCTAAGCGAAGCGTGGGATGTTATCATTTGTGCTTATGATCATGTGATTTAGTGCGTGTTGATTGTCAAGTATATCGTGTACTATGAATCAGCACAACCATATACCTATTATGGAGCAGCAATCGTGATTCAATGTGGTTTAATTATGGTTAGGTAGGTCATACATATATATATACATGGTGAATGAGGATGAGGATGGATGTATACTAATCTTCATGAATGGAACATCATAGCACGATTGTACTCTGGGTCGCTCAAAACACTCAGGGGGTAAGTAATGGAATGGCCACCCATCATGACGAATTTTGTTTCTTACATTGAATGATTAGGAATACGAGTATGGTGGAATAGGATTATAGTGTGTACGATTATAGAAGAAGATAGTTAAAAGTGGATCATATATAAAGTGACCATGTGTTCGAGACATGTGCCTTGAGATTGGAAGCATCAAGCGAAATACCTGGATCAGTGATCGGCATGTCATTTCAGTTGCCTTTTCGGCAGACAACCCTGTCTGTGTGTGACATGAACGTAAAGGCTGCTTTTCAGTTGTACTCCCTTTTTTTGCTTCTAGTATAGTAACTTCTTTTCCTCTCTCTCTCTCTCTTTCTCTCTCTCTTTCTTTCTCTTTCTTGGCTCATTCCCTCATCTCTGTTCATTCATTACCTTTTGTTGCTCTTCCATACACGCAACTCATGTCCACTCATACTTCAGTAATGACCGATCGACGTAGTGGCATGATCCCTTCACTCAGTTATCGGCAAACCACCAGCACTATTGTCAGTCGAGCCGTGGCTGCTGCTGCTGCCAACAATCATCATCATTCAATCCGACGTGGTGGCGGCACTGGACGTGGCTCCAAGCGTTATTCAGTCTCTGCATTTTATTCCATGGCGGCTGAACAGGATGTTGAAGTGCATGATGAGCTGGCCAAGGGTGAGAAGAAAGGAGGATGAGGGGCATCCATAATGTTGTTTATGTTGAATGGGTAACCATGGATATCTGATCATTGCTTTTAATTACAACAGCTCAATGCACTCTACGCGAATTGAAATCAAACATCTCAGCTCAATCCAAGCAAAACTTTGTCCTCGAACGCGACGTACGTTTCCTTGATTCGCGTATCGCGTTACTTATCAATCGAGCATTGGATGTATGTATTCTCTATTACTATTTATATGCTACTGGGTTTTGACATTTGTATATATATATATATATATATAGCAAAATGAAGTAGCTTCCCATCTCGATGATGCAGATGACGACGCGAGTGGCCATTATCTCGAAGAAAGGCGCATGCAACAATATGGCAACTTGTTCTTTTTATTGCAAAGCGAACCTCGTCACATTGCAAGTCTATGTCGTCTCGTCAATCTTGCCGAAATTGACACCTTGCTTCAAACCGTCATGTTCACGCTGTATGGTAACCAATATGAGAGTCGTGAAGAGCATTTACTGCTCAGCATGTTTCAGGTACAAAAGCGAGAGAGCGCGATACAAAATTATGCATCGGGGATTATCATACGATTAAAACCAACCACACATCACTTATTAGAATGTTCTGGCTGCCCAATTCGAGACCACCACTGAATTCACTTCTCTATTACGTGCAAACACGCCCGTATCACGCATGCTCACCACTTATACACGTCGTGGCCCTGGTCAATCCTATCTCAAATCAGTATTATCGGAACGGATCAATCAAGTATTGGAAAACAAGAATGAGAATTTGCAAATCAATCCTTTGAAGGTATTATACGTGTCATTTCTTTAATGGCTGCCGGATTTACTTATATGGATGGTGATGATGATGATAGGTGCAAGAAGAGATTTTGGATCAATTGGAACAAGAGCATGGTGAATTACCTGAAGGTGTGAAGAAAAGTACTTCAGCAGAGGAAGCAGCCACTGATCCAATGGTCAAGGCTATGGTTGAACCACGTCTCAAACGTTTGATGGAGATTGCAGACTCGTTCCTGGATACGATTATTGCATCCTTAGACAGCGTTCCATATGGAATCAGGTGGATCTGCAAACAAATCCGATCTCTCACTAAGCGCAAATACCCTGATGCCAGCGAATACGCCATTTGCTCACTCATTGGTGGTTTCTTTTTCTTGCGTTTTCTCAATCCTGCCATTGTCACACCACAAGCCTATATGCTTATTGATGGTAATCCAAGCAGTCATCCAAGGACAACCTTGACCATGGTAATCTTTTGTTATTGGGATAACATGGATGAGCATACGATGCTAATGGGGATATCTATGTAGATTGCCAAGATGTTACAGAACCTTGCCAACAAGCCATCTTATGCCAAGGAGTCATACATGATCCCAACCAATGCATTTGTGGAGAGTAATAAGCAACGCATCAACAAGTTCCTGAATGATCTTTGTGAAGTGGGTGATTTTTATGAGACATTGGAAATGGATCAGTACATGGCGCTTTCGAAGAAGGATATTGTCATCAGCATTACACCCAATGAGATTTACAACACGCATTCACTGCTTCAACAACATATGGATGTATTGGCACCCAACAAGGAGGATCATCTTCGTATATTGTTGTCAGAGGTTGGCCCAGCACCACAACAAGTACCCCGTAAACAAAACAAGGCATTTGAGCTGCCACTCTTTAGTCGCTGGGAAATGCCAATTCAAGGTAAGGAAGGAGGATGGCATAGGATGAAAGAAGCAAATCCTAAATAACCCCAATGTAGATTTGACCACGACGCTCATGTCTGAAAACAACATTACGCAAAATGATATCCTGTACATGGAAGCCAAAGCGATCTTTGTTCAACTGCTACGTTCATTACCTCACCTTGCTCGACAACCTCTAAGATTGGAACGCATCGCAGAAGCGGCTGGTACCGCCAATGATGCTACGCTTGTGCACAAGGGTATCAAGGTCAAGGAAATGTTGGTGGAATTGGAACAGGCAGGCGTGGTAGAGAAAAGTGATGGCTACAGCGTTCTTGTGGAGGAAATCATGCAGGAGCTGGCTCATTTGGGTGATCTCAAAGTCAAGGTCATGGAAGAGATGCGATCACTGCAAAGCGTCTACAAGACTATCCAAGATCACAACAACTACCTTACAAGCCAATTGGAGACGTACAAGGCATATTTACAGAACGTGCGTATCCAAAGTGGTGGTGGTGACAAGTCCAACAAGAACCAAGTGGGCATTGGTGTCCAAGTGGTGGATGGCAAAGTCAAGCAAAAGGCAAACAAATCACATACTCAGGGTCCTGTCAAGTTTTCCCATCAGCAGCTTGAAAGAGAAGGCATCATTGTTGAGACCGAAGTGCCAGAATATAGGTAAGTTATGGAAAAGGATGTAAAGAATGGGGACCCCATTTGCTTACATAGACTTGTAGGAGGAATAATATCTTTTTGAGCATTTCATCACCCATCCCGGGTACTTTTATTATCTCGATCCATTACAAAGGTAAGCTACCACCAACATCAGCTGTTGACTTGTTTACTTATACACTTTTCTAGGACGTGACAAGCCTATCCTGGAAATTGATCTCAAATTGGATGATTTGTTGGAGAAGCAGCAAGATCATGCACAAGTGTTGGACCTTGAATACATCAAATTGGACATACCAAAGACGCTCAATCTCCTTACCAAGACCTTTTTGTCCAAGAGCAAGTAAGTATCCTTCTTTCCAACTAGAGGATCGGTATTCATTGTTAATGATGCATCATTGCAGAGTGGGTTTCTTTTCGTAAACAACATGTCTCCTTATTTAGTATATCACTTTATTGTTACTACCACCACCCAATAACCTCACCCTTATTGTTATTTTCTTCTTCCCCATGCTGCCTCATGCTCTATGTTAGTTAAGACTCTTTTTGTTCTAGCACAGTATTACATATGTTTGTTTCGGTAATCAGTAAAGAAAAAAAAAGCGCTCAGGATCCTGAGCATCAAATTCACTGCTGGCCACAAATGTCTTTTTAGAGCTCCTTTGAATTTGACATTTACTTTCTTCCTTCTCCTCCCCGGCCCCAGTCATGGAACAACAGCAAGAGCTGCCGTCAAAGCGATCGCGTGAATCTGACGAGACAACAGCAACGACACAACAGCAAAACAAGAAACCAAAATCAGCTCCTCCAACAATCCCCATTTCACGAGGCAAATTCAAGCAACGATGGCTAGCAAAGCATTCAAGTTTATTGAAACGAAGCGACAGCGCAAGTGGTGTCATGGTCAGCTGCAATATTCACGCAGAGACACGTGCATTGGTAAGTGAGGGAAAAGGACAAGAGGTGATATCATCTTTAATAACACTTGATGCCATAGGGACAAATACAAAACATGTTGGAAGGCACTATTACACCATTGTTTCCTGGGCATGAGATCACATGGGAACGCTTTGAAGGAGACTTTGAAGTTGAAGAAAACAGCAACAACAACAACAATGAGGAGTCGTCATCACCACCATCCAAAGCTGTTGAAGGACGCAAAGATAAACGATTCCAAGCTGTGGATGCTGCTTGTGGAGGATTGATCTTTTATCGATTTCGCATCAACGTTAAGCCTACCGATTATGTTACACGACTGATGGATCACCTTCGTGCATTACCTGAAGAAGAACAAAAACAAGAATTGCACAAGATACGCCATTGCTCGGTAAGATTCATATGGGTAGGGTGAATTAAAGAAGAATAAGCTGACATGGGATGGTGGAATAGCGATGGCTGCCTTTGGATTATCTGTGCCCAGCAACAGACGATCGAATGACCCGTTGTTTCCAAGATCGCGTCTTTATGGAACGTTTGGAAGGACTTGAAAAGGGTACATCCATTGCCATTGTCACTGAGATCCGCAACAACCAAACATTCAAAAAGGATACCATCATCAAGATTCTTGATCCTCTCATTCCAAAGGACAAGTTCAAGTAAGTGGACAACGTGTATCATTCGATTTGCACGTGAGACTGATTGAGGATGGTGTAGAGTGGATCTCAAGAACCCAGACCTGGTTATTTTTGTCACAGTGTTCAAGAGTGTATGCGGTATGAGCATTTTGCACGACTATTACGCAAGAAAAAAGTACAACATCTTGTCCTACGTGGAGGCTGCATCCAAAGAAGACAACGACCAAAAGCAATGAATAGAGGAATAGATAATAATTGTATTATTTGTCCATGTTTAATAAAATTCAAACATAATAGTAAAAAGGAAGGAATATTGGATAAGACTATGTAAACTACATCAATAAGAACAAAGGGATAAAAAAAAGTACTCATATCAAACTTTTTTGTTTAATAAGGCGAGAGATAGGGTGGAATGCCACTTAAGCCAGCTTGAAGGGGAAGAGCCATCCAATGCCATCATGCTTGTCACTGCTGCTGTTGTCATCGGATGATTGAGAAGAAGGTTCTTCAGTGGTGGTAGCATCTGATGAGGAAGAAGCCTTGTCATCCGTAGAGCTTGGTTCAGGCTTTTCAGATTCCTTGGTGGCATCAGCAGAAGAATCATCGCTTGAGGAAGAAGAGGATTCGGCATCATCGGCATTGTCGGAGGTAGGCGTTGGCGTAGGTTGAGAATCACTGCCCGATGCATTGTTGCTGCTATCGCCACTGCTAGAAGGTGCTTCAGAAGAAACAGGGGTGGATGATGCTGCTTCACTTGCAGGTAGGGATGATGTTGAATTATCAGCATTGCCACCTGGACCACCTGGAATGGTAAAGCCAAGAAGCTGGAAGTCAAGGGTCATTGGCACTTGGTTCTGGTAATAATACAAGACGGCATTGAAACCATCACCCACAGTGATAGTAGCATTTTGCGTCAAGTCAATGGTCAACCCATCCTTGCCAATAAGACTAAGCATGTCCAGTGGGCTTGCATCGAGAGTCACGGGCCAATCATCCGTTGTCACTTGACCACCAGCAGGCACCGTTAATGCACTTGGCAACGAATAATCAATATGGCCGATTTGCTGATACTTGTCCTTGAGGTTCATGAATACAGCAGCTTCCACCTTTCGAAGAGCGAATTCGGTGTCGAGAGGATTGTGGAGCACAATGGAAGTCTTGGCCTTTCCTGCAAGTGCTTCAATGGCCTTAGCCTTGACGGTGGCGGATTGGATCAACTTTTCAGTTTGGCCGGTCATGCTTGTATCCAACTTTACGGTCGACATGGCATCCTTGAGCGAAGCGATTTCGGTTGACTTGTCAGAGCCTGTTACAGTCAATGGCACGTGAGCACCGGTCATGTAATTGCTCAACAGCTGCAACAAGGCTTGTGCATTCGATCCACCCATATGCATCTCACAGCTCAAAGTGTTGTTGCCAGGCTTCAATGTAAGATCCTTGAGAATAGTTTGACCCACGAGTGCGTTGAATTCATTCATGTTGACATCCAATGTGATATCACCCAAGTTGATAGTGATCTGGGAGGGGTTGTCCAAAGAAATCTCGAGGCCAACCTTGATGTAATCCGAAGTAGCACCAATGACCTTTGTGCTCAAGATTTGGGTCTTACCGTTAAAGTTGTTGAAGCCTATATAAAAGAAAATGAGTGAGTGATATAGCGCAAAGAAAAGAAAACAATAAAACACCTACCAGCCAAAGAAGTATCAACGTCAAAGGTGATGTTGTCCAAGCTGAGAGCACCGATAGCAGTATCCGCAATGGCATTGCTGGAACCAGCCAACTCAAAAGTGACGTTGGATTGAGAAGTGATCATCTTGACAAAGGTATCAAATGCCTTGTGAGCGTTGTCGAACACCTTGAAGGGCACATCGCTGAATTGAGTAGTGACAAGACCCGTTTCGCTGGTGGTGGCCTTCTCATCGGGAATCTTGAGCGTAGCGATATCATTGCCTTCCATACCAGCGGTGACATCCATATTGAGTTGACTAACACCAAGAGGGAAACCAAATGGATTCTTCAATTGCGCCTCTACTTGCGTTGATCCAGCAGGTGTGGCATAAGGATCCTTTGTGAAATCGATCTGCATGTTCTTCATGGTGATAGCAGGAATCAATTCAGGGGGCGATTCAGGACCAGGCATAATGACATTCTCAATCTTGATGGTCTTGAATCCAGCAGTGAGCCAAGAGACTTCTCCATTAGGTCCGGAACCAGATTCACCAGTGATGGTCAAGGGCGTATCCTTGGCAGCCAAATAATTCTTAAAAACTTCAGTCACCGCATCAATGCCTTCCTTGGAATCTTGCTTGACAAGACGACCCTTCATCTTGAGATCAGCTGTGCCCTTTGGTGGGAAGTTTGCTGCACCATCGGAAGCCAATGGACCAAGAGAGATATCCTTGTAGATGGCATTGAATCCAGCACCCGATAATTGGAAACCAACTTGGCTAGGATTGACGATGGATGTGTTGGCCGTCAACGTGATACCACCAGCAGGATCATTCGATGGCAAATCGAACGAGTGAATAGTAACAGCATCCTTGAAACCATTGGCGCCATCCAAAGTAACAAACTTGTTCATCTTGATGCCCGTGAATTGGTATCCAAGTGCATTGACAGCAACTGAATCAGTGTAAATGTTCCATTGGAAGTCGGCATTGTTGATCATATAGCCTGCAAAGTCACCCATAGCACCTTGATCGGTCACTGTGAATTGGCCTTCGACATCAAATTGAGCACCCTTGTCGGCAACGGTCTGGATGGTTGGCATGCCCACAGTACCCAAAACACGGCCTTCCCATGCAATGGTCAACGAATCAGGGAACGAAATTTGGGCGGCCATGGGACCTGCATTGGTAATGCTGCCCTTCATTTGGACCTTGAAGCTCGAATCGGTGGGCGATGACAAGGTAATGGTCTCGAATCCAAGGATGGCACCATCGACGATTTGTTGCACAATAGGCTGACCAACAATGGGAATCAAGCGTGTAACAGTGGCATCGGTCTCAATGGCAACGGCGTTTTGGGAGAACTCCAAGGAGTTGACATACTCGCCAATGGTCAATCCCGATTTGAGTTGCAAGTCAGCCTTGAGTGCCTTCATAGCATCCATCACATAGGTGGAAATGTTGAAGCCGTCAAACAAGTTGGCACTGGGATCGATATCCTTTTGGCCGCTCACGGATAAACCACCCATGGAGAAGAGAGCATCCAAGGCATTGGTATCAAGATTGGCATCCACAGCAAGAGTACGTAGCAACAAGGCAACGGCTGCAGGCTCAATATTCATGGACATTTGCAATGGATCAGATTGTACAGTTGAGTGACCACCAATAACAATAGGATTGCTGCTAACATCTTGATCAATGTTACCCACAGGCATGCCATGATAGCTAGCAGAGGACTTGACCGAAGTGATAGTGAGACCCGCCGTAAATGGATTGGCAATCGATACCTGGACACCAACAATGCCATTGGATGGCGAATCTTCATTCACCGTGAGCTTGCCACCTTGGATCAATTGTGAAGTAAGGCCTGGGAGCGTAGTACCAATGTTGATAGCACCAAGACCACTAGCAAGGGATGCAATGTTTGTAGATCCATCAAAACCAGAAATAGAAACATCATTGTTCTTGCCCATCACAAATGAACTCAATAAATTTTGACCCACAGGTGACTTTTTGGGATCAAAGGTTGAGACAGCCGATTTGCTATTGGAGCCACGTGCAAGCGTCAAGTTCGAAAGCTGCACATTGCCAAGTTGCTCACCACTTGCAAGGAAAGCAAAGTTGACATCGCCAGTGGAAATCGTAAAATCGGATGGGTTATCCATGGTGACATTGATGGCCAATTGTAAAGCGTCCGAAGTGCCTCCAACAACATCCACAGAGTTCACAGTGGTTGGCGTGCTGTTGAGGAATTGTAAACCATGCAACGATGTTGGCACTTTAAAGGTGATACCCGAAAGAGTAATGTTGCCAATAGGCGTGCTGGTCTTGGTGCTAGCTTGGCCACCCACTTGGAATGTGTAGAGATCAGATGCCGTCAATGCATAAGTGAAGTCGTTGAATTGAGGCTCCTTGTTTTCCAAGGCACTAATAGCCACTTGGTTCATAGCGAATTGCAACTTGCCAGCAGCTTGATCACTTTGAGCAGGTACAAATGGCACTGAAATGCTTGCAAAGTCACCCGATTCATTGGTACCAAGCTTGAGCTCCTGTGAGACTTCGGTGATGTTGAGCGAGAAACCAAATGGAATTGAATAATCAGCCACCACAGCAGGTGCGGTTGTCACAGGTGCATAGGGCGCATCAGCATTGAAAGCAAGATCGAGATAACCCATATTGACGGCCTTGATAATGCTCAAGGGCTCATCAAGTCCAAGACCAACATTGAGACGCACCGATTGGAAGCCTTCGGATAACCAACCAATGGCATTGGTACCATCAGGAGCGCATGAGACACCCGTTGCTGATGTTGTTGACATTTTGCCGGAAACGTAGTTTGAGAACAAGGCACCAATCTTGTCAAGGTTGGCAGGATCCGATTGTGGTACAATAGTACCCTTGAGATTAAGATCATTGGGGCCTTGTTTCAAGTTGACGCCATCAGTGGTCACTTGACCTAGTACAACGCCTTCATAGCCGATTTGTAAAGCAATGGTACCCAATTGGACACCAATGGGCGAAGGGCTGACGAGTTGTGTACCAAGCTCCACTTGAATACCACCCTCAGGTGCATCGGCTGGCAAATTGAAAGATGTGATCTTGACTTCAGGGAAACCATTCATGCCTATAATAAAGGATACTTCATGTTAGCTTTGAATGCAAATAATAGACACAATGGAGCCTTCCCAAACATTGGGACATGTGATGCAACGGCACTTGCCTTTTAGGACAATGTCCTTATCGAGATCTACAGTGGCAGTTCTGCAAAGTGGATGAGTACACATGTCATTGGATAGGAGGATGTTGTTGTATATGATGCTTACCTTGACAATGCGGAAATATCAAGCTTGCCTTTCATCTTCCAAACGAATTCTTCCTTGGCCAACATTTCTTTGGCGAATTCAGCAAAAACATCAGCGTCTTGGATCATGAAGGGTGTCACAGCTTGAAGTTTTCCAGAACCACCAGAGACATGTGTATCAGGTAAAGTCACCGTGCCCAGCAAAATGCTTTCGTTGTAGTACACATTGATGGGATTGTGGAACTTGATGTCTGCAGAAAATGGGCCTGTGTTGTGCAATGTGCTTTCCATGTCCATGTAAAAGGTCGTGTTCATGTTGAAGTCTTGACGCTTGGCTAAGTCATCCTTTGGTGGCTCGAATGTGATACCGGCACTATCCACACCGATGCTAGCCTTGTTCATGATGGATTGTGCAATCATCGGGAAGAAAACGAAAATGATCAACAACACCACGACGACCACAATGATGACTGTCAAGATGGAGCAAATGATCCAGTACTTTTTTTGCTTGTAAAAACGTCGTCGTGGAGGTGGTGGCGGCTTTTCAGAATACTCTTCCATGACACCTTCTTCGACGCTGTTGTTGACACTGTTGGCCCCATTGTGTCGTGCATAGTACTCGGAGTCGTCAGCAACGCGTGGTACATCTTGTTGAAGCTGTGGGGCATAGTGCTGTTGTTCAGTGGTGGTGGTCACGTGTTGTTCGTATTGATACGATTGCTGCTGCTGCTGTGGCACTTGCTGCTCCATTGAATGGAGGTGCGTGGCCATTGTTGATATAAATGTGTAGTTGTAGTAGTAGTAGTTGGCTGTAAAGTAAAAGAGCGGAGAGGCGAATTATATGGTAGAGGGGGCTACTTTTATATAGTGCTAGGCCTTTGCGTGTTGTAAGGCGGATTGTGTATCCCCAGAACCAATAGAGTAAAAAGAATGGAGCAAGAAGAAAAAGAGCGATGTAGGTCCGAGCAACGACAATGAGTACAACGCTTTATACCGCTTTGTGTACGCACCGAGATGTGGATAGAGCAACGATGATGGCACACCAATCTTATTCGATACACCTTACAATTTACCAGAAATAGGCCACAAACCCTTTTCGGTGGCATACAATGGTGTACAAGCTGAACAACCATTGGAAAGACTTTATCCACCATCCATGTGAATTACCCACAGCAAATGACTTGGCAACAGGAGACTTGGACATCGTGTATCATTTTTGTACCCACCAACTCCCATTTACTGGTTACTTTGCACACATTGTACCATGCGAAAAATATGTCAAGTCGATCTGCTTGGTGCTATGGTAGAATAGAAAGGATCAATCAAGGGGGTATGGGACGTCTTCTATTCAATGTCCACATCCACTACCGCCCAACTACATTTTGATGCCGCACAAGCAATAGCTAGTCTCACAGATTTTATGATGGAGGTTACACAATGCAAGAGGCAAACGTGGTTTTCCCTGGCAATGGCCAAGCCTTTTAAGACTAGAGCTGCTTCAATGTTTGTTCTTAACAATGACATTTAGCTATAAGTAAGCATCCTCCCACGCCGCTTTTGCTGTCAAAGCATCGGCTTTTTCCCGATGAAAGAGGATTTTATACAAGTGCAACGAGATATTGAATCATAACTCTTATGGAAAATGTCGGCGCTTCAACATCAAAGCAAATGTACCTGCACTAGAAATGTGGGGATGAGCCTACACAAAGGACGGCTGATAGAAGAAAGAAATACGAGAACAGGCATGAGTGCCCGAAACGATGGGACACAACCTGTCATTAACAGGTGGCAACATGTGCCTTTCCGATGACCCATTTTATTCCCATGGTGTTATTCTGTGTTTGCATTGGTCGCTTTTTTTCGCATGTTGATGGCCAGCCTTTTAGCAAAGGCCCGCTTGAAGGTGACAAGCAATGGTCTCTAACGTGTTCCATCCTTGTTCTGAGTTTCCATTGTACTATCCCAACAAACCTTGAGCACAAATCAGAAGAAATAAAATGACGCGCAATAACTCTACCAAAGAGGCAATCAACTTTTTTTTCTAGTTTACTAGCTATTCAACATGTAATGCCATGGCATGACATAAAACATGACGTTGCTAGAATGACAGCTATACACATATCCTGTGAACCTCGGCAATAGCGTGTTTTTCTTACGCGCACTAACAAGGCGGACATGGACACAATGGGGCGAGAGATATGGATCCGATAATGAGCTATGGAAGGATAACACGGTGGTCAACTACCATTTCAGGGATAGACCCATGCTGATCTGCTACAGTGCTGTGTTTGTGTTTCCCACACAATGAGCAAATGGCCATTGAAGGTTCATTGCTGGGAGTCCATTGGTGACTCCCTCCGCATTTCGTGCAAGGGCCACTAACATTGTTGTCAATGGCTATTGAGAAAAAGTCAACATTCATGCATGAAAAGTGTATGTATATATATAGCGTGTGTATATGAAATGGGGTATTGTAAAGGATACGTAGATCCGGGGAGATGCAATAATTTAATTAAGATGATGTGGTAGGAGCTGATAATGACTCGCGGAATGATGTCCATTGTTTTCGCAGCTCGGCATCAGCCCAGCATCGTAGCAATTTTCCCATCGAGCTATTTTCATCCATTATACCCTGTGCCACAATGAGCGGGCGGAATTCTGATTACAAAAGGACGGCTTGGTTTCACCACGCTGATCATCACCACCGCCGTACTGTACACGACAGCCCTTTTTTTTCTCGCTCAGCTCTACGATGCATACGTATGCAATGCATATTTGCATATACAATGTACGCGGGTAAATGATTCCACTCAAGAAATGACATTCCACAAATGGATGAATGCACGTTTTATCCTTCAATGTTGCATGACCACCGCCACCACCCTCCTCGAAAAACACTTCCGACATCTCTTTGTCGCCATTTTATCCCTCCTCCATTAATGCATAAAGTAATCGTGCATCATTTTGACTTATCTTTAAATCATCAATTACATCCTCCCCTGATCCATTGCTTCGTTTTTAAGTAGAACAACTCCAATTACTCTATCATAATGAGGGTCATTGCCCAATGATAACGATGCCGTGGTTGTTGTCCCATCATGCGAATGTTCAACTTGGTTCGACCAGGTGCTCAGATCAGCCGATAAGCGAAGACGTCTGATGACCTTGAACTTTGGAAAAATCGATACAATACAATCATTGTGCGTCGTTTGACGATGTGCTCCTCGAATTCATTTCTTTGTTGGCATGAGACGTGATCCATATATAGAAATCCAAATGATGTGATTACAGTGGCCAATCATCCTTTAGCAGTGTCAGCATCTTTCACCATGTGTACCAAGCCATTGTACTTACGATCATTAAAGGATACCAAGCTTGGCTCGTTGCTATAAGAGCCGTATGCTGTTGTACAGCTTCGACTTGTAAGTGTGCGTTACCATGCACGTACTTCTACTTCTTTTATTTGTGCCTACCCTTAGGCCCGAAACCAAGCACCATAATACAGACATGCAGCTCATTATAGCCTTTAAAATAATGTGATGTATGCTCTTCCTGCATAGGACAATGTCAATGGCCCTTGGCAATTTTGATAGAGCGCTGTGCGCCATTGTCTGAAACACTTTGGTTCATGCATCGCCGCTCTTTCAGGGGGATATCATTTTCTTTTCGTATTTCCTTTACTCTTGACTCCAATGCGCAATCGAGATCCCAACTCAACTTCTTAACCAAGCAATCGAGTCCCTTCAAAGGTGAAAGGTAAGGGATTGCATGTACACAGCTATTTGGGAAGCATTTCAACCTGACATTGAGGAACCCATCAGCAGCTTCTTTATTCCCAAGTTCAAGGTCTTTTGCTCATGTCAATAACACCTCGCATGAACAACGAACATATCCAAGATAACTATGCTGGTCCTTGTTTGTCTATCCGTAACGTGAGGAGGTGGTCATGGAAGCGCAGAGGTATCTTTTGGATGGTGGAATACAAGTAATGAATGGAAGGTGGCTGCCTTTTTCTGGATCAGGTACGTTGACATGGGAACGAAGGCTATATTAGCATGGCAATTCATGTCGTTATTGTGTACTTAGGCTTTTCATCAGGGATCCTCGTGATTGGAATCAATTTCTCTTGCACGCTGTGGCATTATCTTATATCAACACGACCATCAATTCAACAATCGCAACTCAATCTTGTATCATAATATGGAAAGCAGCAGCAGCAGCAGCAGCAGTGGATCATTGATCGATTACATTTTGGGACAATATCAGCAGATCCCCTACAGATCCTACTACAATGTCACTCCACATGTCATGATGATACCCACGATGTAATGCTCGGCTACACTAGCAGCAATTTCCATATATATGACATCACAACTTCAATTACAATACAAAATTGTCAACTTACCATCGTACACACCACCCTACTGGTCATTGACTGCAACGCGGTCGAACATGGATCACGCTTTATTTAAGCCAGGTGCCACCATTGCATACGCTACGCACAATGTTATCGAATAAAGGGCAGAAGGAATATCGCAAGCTACATAGACCCCGTGACAAGAAGACGCTTTGAGATTGATGATTACTATAATAAAGACGATGCTTGGATTGTTGTGAAGAATAATGTTAATGGGTGATTTCATCAATGTGTCAAATCATACACGCACATCACAAAATGTAGTAGCATTAGCGATCCATGTAATAAAGCGTAAGCATACGTATTCTATACTTGCATCCAAAAGTCATGAACGATCTTCATGAAGGCAAAGTCGTTGGCTCAAATCACGTGACCACAGGAATTTTTTCAAAAAACATAAAGAATTCGACAATCTCTATCTCTTCGAGATTGTCGAGCGTTCCCCCACCGGGAATTGAACCCGGGCCACCGGTGTGAGAGACCGGGATCCTAGCCACTAGACCATAGAGGACGTTTTTCTTCTTCTTATTTTTTATACCGCTCGCTGCTATATGAACCACACAATTACCATATAAGGAAGGTGATACAGTGGCGTTGTGGCTCGTTTCGTCGTCAGAAGCCAATGAAATCACTGGAAAATTTTCGGACCGAGAACTGTGCCACTATTGCGCCAAACGCCACACACGGCATTTTATTCATCCGTTATTCTCCTACTTGCATGTTGTACGTTTTACATACACCTCTTTTTTTATCACACACAGTCATTTAAAAGACATTAAAGCGTTTCCTACCAATCCACATGCAATCCATTTGATGATTTTCCTTCCTTTTAATTATATAACATGCTACAAACACCAGTAAAAAGATTTACATGTACAATGTTTTATCCTATCATCGACGTTGTGCATTCTCTGGAGGAGGAGCAGCCATGGAGTTGACCAACATTAAACCACCAGCAAGAATCAAATACCTATGAAGATGAAGAGTCAATCATCAAACGTATAATCCTGCATGCTGTAAATCATAAACCTACCAATACTTTTGAAAGAAAGTCTTTTCCTCTTCCACAGGCAATTCTTCCATTTCACCTGCCTTACCCGAAGGTCTTGGTTGTTGCTGTGCTGGTGCTTGCTGTGATGCTGCCTTGCCACCAAATTGACCGAGCATAGGTCTTGAATATGCATTTAGAATAATGACACCCCAAGTTCCCATGCATCAACCACTTACTTTGCACCAATGGTATGTCGTTCAATCTTGACCACAGTTGCAGGCTTACGAGGTGTCTTGACAGGAAGCTGTACAATGATTTGGTGTTAATGCAAAACACGTTGCCATGATACACACAACACTCCCATACCTCAATATCGGTGCATGCATTGCTTTGTGCGTCGTAGTCAATATGGTAAACTTGGTTTTGATCATCGAAATGGATACGGAATTCATCGGCCCAGTTGCTTGCGACGAGTTGGCACTAGTGTAGCGAATGTCAAGATAAGAGTGCCTTCAATGAGCCATTGCACTTACTGTTTTTGCAGAGGATAGTATAATCTGGTCGGTTGCTTCATTGCGAACTTTTACTTGGTATAATGCGCTGGAAACGTCAATGCCGTCATCCTGAATAGTGGAAGTGTAAACCAAAGACGATGGTGAGCCTGTAATCTCTCCACGCTTCTTGTAAGTGCCGTCATGATTATGGTAAACGAGTAGCTTGATCTTGTCAGCAGCTGAATTCGACGCGTTATTGTCTTCTTGTGTTGATGCCTGAACCAATGCAACGAGAACAGCAAAGGCGGCTATCGCAAATAGGCGAATCATGGTGGCTCGAAGGAAAGGAAAGGTGGAGAGCGGATCCGGTGGATGGTTGCTTTGAAATTGTTGCCCAGCAGTGAAATGGACATCATCACTGATCACTGACCTAGAGGAAAAAATCCAAGCAGCGCGCCATTGTCCTATGAGGCATCATCATCGACCATCCGTTTATGGCGATATGGATAAGCAAGGGGTGAGGAGGAGATATATTAACAGCGAATGTATATATATCCACTTTTTCATTATCATGTAATAAAGCGAGTGTCTTTATTGTTGACGAATGAGTTGGTTGGATAATCAAAGCATTGTGAGATTGGCAAAAGACAAGAATGAGTGAATCAGTTTCATGTTGTTTGAACGGTGAGATCTCCGTCTACATAATCCCTGGGCATTTTGAGCATGATGCATGTTTGTTGATTGATTTCTCCATACAACGTACTTCTCCTTTTTGCTTTTCTTTCAATTACATTTCTTTCGTTTATGCGAGCCATTGTCTTTTTGAACATTGTTCGATGTACAGTGTTTGTTGTAAGCGCACTTGCATTTGCCAGCCATGCATCCCAGTGTATCTTGTTTAACGTGTACCAAAATCAGGTAATCATACACGGCCGGCACTCCCCTAGTAATCAATACTAACACAATGATGGTATGTAGACTGATATACCAGATTGGTTCAAAGGAGGACATTGGCAGGTAAACAAGACGCTGCTACCACACGTTTTACTTTGTTACCTAAGACGACGAGCCATTTTATAGTATTTGCTATGGTACATTGCTCTTGGTCTTTCGTTGACCAGCTCTACAGCAGTGTGCATCCATGCAGGATGTTGTAGACGAGGTCAGCATGTACGTGGCGATAGGATTCTAAGCACCATCAACATCATCGTGTTATCATCCACCATCTTACTTATCACGTTTCTCGGTGGTCAAGAGCCATGGACAAACGATCTCGTCACATTTTCACAGCCTGCCAAAGGTTTCATACCCTACTGCAATCTACTCGACCAAGAACGCGATGCCTTGTATCCCTTACTATACCACAGGTATGTTATCCACTTAAATTTATTGCATTCCTAAAGTGAACATTGTAGGTGTGTCTTGGTGAATACGACTTGGATATGTGGCTCACTCAATTGTGTCATGTGGATATTCTTACTGCTCTCGGTATGGGTTGCGCGACCTGCAAAGCGACCATCATCCATTGCTCAACTGCCGACGGAACCAAAATGGGGTCGATACATCCCAGAGCCAACCATCCCTCGAGTATCTTATCCCACAACACCCCAATATCCTTCCGTTTACTCTAATGCAACGACAGCTACTCATCTCTCGGAACCTATTCCTCCTCCTATACAAACCACCAATGTGGATAACAACTACCACGGCAATCAGCAGTATTATTCTTCAGCTCATTCAGACACCAGTGATGGCTACTATTATAATGCCTATCAGCATCAGCCTATGACTGCTACAACTACATCAAGCAACAAGTATTATTATGAGGATGATGGCTATCGAGATGCGTCAGCTGTTGATAGCTATTGCTATTATCCACATTACAGATAGTAGATGTGCAACACTTTTTGTTAATAGATGCCCAGTAAAACATATTTAGAAATGCTCTATGCACCAATCCACTGCAAAGGTTACTTGTTGATGTTGAATGTTTATTCTGCAAAGCATGCAATTGAAAGGATGGGGTACAAAAAAGGGATATGGATGCGGTGAATCACACGTGTGTTATGATGATCGATATGCCAGTGTAATAGCATCACCCTGAACTCGTCTAGTGGTGGTGGTGGTGGTGGATAAGGTGATGGACATCGAGCACTCACTTGAATGAAAAGGAGGAGCGGTGAGTAAAAAAAAGCAATCCATTTCATGCAGCATTCTTTTCAACAATCACGCACCGCCCCTGGATCTCTTTGTTCTTCACAACTTGCGCTTTCAAGGTATCCCGCTTTCTTTGTTCTTGACAACTTACACATTCGAGGTACATTCCCTAAAATCGCCAGCTTGAAGATGACCCTGACACTTCCATAAACGATCTTGAATGCAGGTCGAGAAACAGGTGCCAATGTCGTCGTTCGTAACGCGATCCCAAGGATGTTCAATTTGACAAGGGAATCTTGTAAGGGTAGGTTTTTAGGACAAGGCTCTCATTTCATAACCATTGACCTGTTATTATACATAAAGACGAACGAGCATTCAAGGAGATACAGCATGGGATAAGACTACGTGGAGGATGCAGCAAAATTTATATATGGCGTATACGATTGGAGCCACTGAAGAGCAGCTGATTGTCATCGATGGCGAACACAAGCAGTATGACTGTATACACAGCGCTGGTGGAAGAAGAATCAACATTCAGGTGGCAAGAGGGTAGCAATGGCAATCATTCGACATCGTCTTAAAGCAACGGCATCGCCACAACATTGGAACGCTCTTTGGACAATGGTGGTATGGGTTTGGATGATGATACAGCTGCACCATCACTTGTCATGGAGATCGCATTACCATCATTGCTATCCCTATTCGACATGTTCTCTTGATGCAAGTTTAAATTCAAGCACGGGAGCAACGGGTCGCGATAACGCTGCACATCAAGAAATTGCGACATTTGGAACACATCCCTATCATCCAGTGGCCTCATTCCATCAACCATGTGCTGCAAGAGTCATCGTTCCTTGATTCAGTAACAGCCGTAGGAAAGCACCAATTGATGTCTTGTTCAGCCGATGCTTCATTCATCCACCAACATCCGAGCAATAACCAACAGCAACCATCGCCAAGCTATCCTGGTCAGAAGAACATGTACGAACCCTTCTACCACGGCCAAACGGCGTGCAAATGCATAATCACAACATTGCATGTGGTATTTATCGACACAACACCATGGCGATGATTCGAACAATGGAGCAAAGGCCAAGTGGGTTTTACCAAGACTGATCTTTGGTGGTTCGTTCGCCTACCAAAAGGCCCAAGCAGCGGCGTGTACCTCCCATATGATGGAACAATGAATGGTATAGTTATGAATCGACACATTCAAGATATTTGTGGACTGACAGGAGGACTTGTTGGGATAATCTATAGCACATTACTACTGCGAGTGGATCCAGTCATCTTCAACAAAATGGCAACATTGCTATTTTTATGGTATCAAGGCAGCGCCCATGAGATGACGCGAAGGATCCGAAATATGAAAGGGCAAATCATCATTGCTTTCTTTGGTGTGGAGAACTCGCTCAACACTCATTACGGCGACCATTTTGCTTTGTATCAGCCGTACTCGGCACAAATTGGATGTCTGGATCAATACCGATCATGTTTCTTTGGAATGTTATCGAGATGTGTATACGGCAAATGTGTGATCAGAGAGAATTATATGGTAAGTGATACTTGATATGGGATTTATTTATCAGAGAAGAGCAAGGAGGCTAAGATTGGATAGTAACCTAGGATGTAACAATACACGAGCTGAGTCCAGATGATGGGTGGATACGACAATGACAAGGAGACGCAATACGATCAACAAGCTTTACAGCCATGAGTAGTAGGATCGGTCAAATGGCGAGGACTCTTGAAGCCAGGCTCCTTGGAGACGTTACGTAGTCAAGAGATCCACTCGTGCTGTTGGTGGCTATACCATCTTTACCCTTATTGATGAAGAGATTACCATTTGCTCTGTATTTCATGCGTTCATGTTGGGAAAATAAAGATACATCTTTTTCCTCCATAGCGTGCCCTGTTTGATGGATGACACTGCCAGAGGCCTAAGCTTGTGTGCGTATCACGTTGAAGAGTGTTTTTTGATGCCCTGTGGATGAGAGTGGGTCTTTGTGTTCATTCATACCATAGTTTTCATTGTTATCCACCAACTTTCCCTTATGTCATGGTCGTCATTGTGATATTTGATTCTTGTAAAGAGGTAAAAGCATGAGGTATTGTCAACGAACATGGTCAAACCAACTTAAAAGTGATATATCGTAGACATGGAATACATCAAATGATTCAAGGAACAAAGGGAGGAGAATACAAGCTGTAGGCGTCAACAACCCCACCACACCTGATCCTACTAGAATGGTCATTACCCATCTTTAACTAGCGGCCTGGGTTGCTCGCTTCGCTCGTAGGCGTCGATTTTGTGTGGAAGGGCTTATTACTACCTATGGAATAATGCTTTGATCCACAGTGTGTAATAAGCATGCAGACACAATATGTAGCATCCATCTTTATGATCGTTATAGACACTCACGCTAATAACAGGCTCAACTTCTAATCACCCGACTCAGGTGCTGCCTTATTCTCTCTTGCCCCTGTGTCCTACATTGCACCCTCCCAATCTCAACTGTTTGCCATTCCATCGCATGCGAACGATTGCCCTGCTTCACCCCATCATGTCAATCCTACAACTCTCTTGATCCGATTGTCTTTGACAGAATGGCAACTCCATGGCGTGTGCACCCCACTACAACACCCGCCTTTCTTGATACTGTGTCTTGCACATGCTTCTGTCACAACCAAACGTAACAGCAATCATTCCAGCAGTTGTTATCTGAAGCAGTATCCACAGCCATGGTCACTTCACTACAACACGCACCCATGTCACAGCCAACGGCAACAGCTGGTGCTATTACTGCCTTGTCTCAAGTTCTTGCAGCATCCTGCTGCTTTACAGCCTTTATTTTCATATAACAACTTGAACCAATAAATACCGGTCCCTATGGATGATGCCATATCAGCTATCAAGTATGTCGACTGGTTGAGATGCAATGGATAAAAGAAAGAGGCTGACCAACAGCCGGATGGTAAGCAAGCATGTCAGGAGTCGTATTGGGTTACGATGGATGGATCAATCAATTGAAGTGATGAGAAACCTTGGAATACTGTTTTGGTTACTTTGCACGTTGACAGCAGGGAGGAAGGATCATATCATATGAATGCGATTGAGGATGATAATGGATGGGACTGGATTGACATTGACGTGAAGGCCTATATCTTCTGGATTTATATGTTTATGCGGCAGCAACTTGGAATGCAACGACGGAATTATCTCTGTTCATTGTTAGTATTGCCATCTTTGAATAAAACCCACCGTATCTCATGCAAATCGCACCCATTCTGAAAATGTATAATATGGAAATGAAGAGCAGGTGTCGGAGAACGTTCTATGATTAAGGCATGACATAGCTTGTCAACCAAACAAAGGCTTGAGTTACGATAATATTACGTCTCACGGAAAATGGTCGTATCTCAATCAAATCCCATCCATTTTGAAAAAGTAAAAGACCAAAATGTAGAGCACGTTTCAGAGAACATTTTCATATATACAAGTGATTATGAATTTTTCGTTCTTGCATGTTTTATGGCCTTCCAAATACCAACTTTGTTAGATTGGCTCTGATCAATGCGCTTGAAACGGTTTTGGAATCGTCTCATGAAAAGAACATGAGTTACAATGATCAGGGGAAAGGATTGCATTGAAAAGAAAAAAGCCAAGGGCAGAGGTATCATCAATGTGATGGCGTGCTCATGTCGCGTGTTACGCGCAGAAATGATTAAAGGCGACCCCCGTTCCGCAGCACCTTTTTTTTCACATCTTGCTCTCGTTCTTTTTCGCGTACACCCACACCCACACACATTCATTTGGTAAGTGGACAGCTAATAGCATTCATCTAATGCCATCTCATTCGTATGTACTTCTTGTAGGCCATATCTATGCTTTCGTTTCCTCGCTTCTCTTTCTTGTCCTCCTCCTATGCCAATATCAACAGTAAGTGCATGTTTTATTCATCATGTAATAGCATTTTCTTACATTCTTTCTATAGAGATTAACATCAAGGGTGACCTGCACGATACCTCGTAATCCTCTGCTTGGCCCCAACTTTTCAACAGCTTTGTCTGCATTCCTTTGCCCGAACCCACCCGAGCACGGTAAGTACACTTCTTTTTCTGCTTTCATCTTGCTGAACTGACCTCTTTTATTGTACATAGGTGAGGGGAGGGCACCCCGGGCGGCTTTTTTCTCTTCTTCTTTTCCCATCTTTCCCTCTTTCCTTCTTCCCTCCTCTCTTTCCCCGTTCTCTTCTTTTCTTTTGCCGTCTGGGAAATCTTGTTGGTAAGTCTATACGATGATGTGATGATACATTCCAATGCTAACAATGTCTTCCATTTACATTGACTTTGCTGGGTGCTATCCTTTTGCCTTTGTACTATATCCACCTCTTGCTATTATCCTCCCATTTCATTCCTTTCCTTTGTACTATAATCCTTTATCCCAAATTTGTAAATTACTCTATTTTTTTAATATTATAAAGATAAATGGAATCCTTATTGATACATTCTTGTGGTGCCATCATTCGATCGTTTTATTATTACACTTTCTATAAGAGTGCTGCTATGTCTAATTGTCAATGGGCGGTTGTTCATGTCAAAGCCAATCAAATCACTGTGACTACCTGGGATGGGATTTCATGTAAACACCAGCCAAACTTGCTCCCGCCTTTCTTTCTTGTCCGAAAAAACAAATATGTTCTTGCAGTTGGCACGACCTTTGGGCATCGTACGACGAGTCGCTCCACGGATACAATGCAACTTTCACTATGCAGCTGTCATTCGAAATGCTGAGGCTACTTCTGAAAAAGGTAAGAACCGCCATGGGACGATCTGTCAATTGTGCTAAATGAACCATGGTTAATAGAATCGGTCAAGCCAACCTCTTCTCGACCTGCATCGTCAGTTCCTAAAGGCACAGTGCTCAAGGGCATCAATTATTTGAAGGACGGCAAGGATCCAGTGGCCTTGGATGACAGCGAATACCCTGACTGGCTTTGGGATTTGTTGGATGAAAAGAAGCAAAAGCAAAAGACCACCAGACCCAGCAACCGACAGTATCATAGAAAGAAGAATCGGGAAGCTATCAAGGCCATGAACTTCATGAAGGATAAAAAGACTTAAGTGATGATGATGAAGGCGACCTACTCCACGATCTCTTTTTTTCGCTCCTTGTATTGTAGATATACACACATCAATCCACGCACACAACATATCATACAACGCGTATACACATATATACACACACACGCTCTCTCTCTTACACGCTCACCAATGATTCACTACATCAATGCGACCCGATTAAAAATGGCATTTCTCATCTATAGACGCCACTGTATGTCTTTATTCGGATTAGCGGCTCGGGCATTATTCGATTCCGTGAGTGATATGTACCCATGTGATGTACTGGTGTGCCTGGAAACTATGTCACGTGTGGGATGGGGGGGTGGATGTGAGTTGCTTGTTGCCATTGTACCACTGGATCAAAATGATTCGTAGATCAACAGCATGATTCATTATCACTTGAAGAATAAAAATGTGAGAAAAAAAAGCATGTTGAATGTGCTAATTAAGGTGAAAACTTGAAGCGGCCAAGAGAATGGGTTGCACATACAATAGAGAGTGGGAAAATACGGATGCATGGGATGAGTGGATCTTTAACTTTGGGTTTCTAGAATCCACCATACGGAGCTCATGGATGGATTACATTGTACGCAAATTCATAAAGTTCCACAGTGTTTCCATGGGAACGGGTTACATTTTGTGACCAGCCATAAAGCCATCATTTTGTGTATTTGAAGCTGAAGCAATAGTAAAAGAGATGATGTTGATGAAAACAATACACTTTTTATTTGAAGAAAGAGAAGGATGATTTCAAGTGGAATGTTGTGATTTCTGCCATATCTTCCGGAGACACACATCTTTGTACTACCTTCTTGGAAAGTTGTGGACAGCAGACATTGAACCTTAAAATCGATTGACAAGTGACTGGGATGCAACATGGATAAAAACTCCCAGCTTTACTGCTACAACTCCACCCAACACCTTCCGACTTTTTCTCTCTCGTTCCCTCCAGTGCCGCTTGCTTGATTCTCCCACTTGAATAACCATGGCTAGCACCAATGCCGAGATTGATCAAGGCGACAATGAAAAGCGCAAAGGCAACGACATGGTGACCACCGTACTGAAATCCGAGTCGATCGATTTCCATCAAGCCGAAGAAGAGGAGCAGTATCTCGGCAACGCGTCCTTTTTTACATACATGCTTGTCTTTTGTGTTGCGATTGGAGGCTTTCTCTTTGGTTATGACACTGGAGGTATGTCGCTTTAGGGTCACATGGGTGGATTATCATTTGCTGACCATTTGAGGAAACCGGCAGTTATATCCGGTGCATTACAGCCGATGCAAGAGGTTTTCCATATGAGTACGGTACGACAAGAAGTCGTTGTCAGTGGAAGTATGTATCAATCAATCACCTGTTTATAACCTTGAGGACTCATTTTTGTACCTGCAGCAACCATTGGTGCCATTGTGGGAGGAGCTGCTGCTGGTGTGGTAAGTTTTGGAAAAGAGAGGACCCTTGGGATATTAAAACAAGTAGCTGACATTGGAGATGCGTCTATAGCTATCCGATAGATTTGGACGAAAGGTAAACGGAGAAGAATTGGGATAATCATGCCGTCATAGCCATGTATCAACGAATGCTATTATCATAGCCATTGATTATCTTTTCCGATTTGGTGTTCATTGCTGGTGCCCTTTTACAAGCACTCGCCAAGTCATATGCGGTATTACTCCTTGGTCGTTTGGTGGTTGGTATTGGTGTCGGTATGGCGTCTATGTTGGTACCCGTTTACATCAGTAAGTAGTGGGGAGGATCATGTCATAATGATGAACGATCATTAACGAGGGTGATGAATAGGTGAGCTATCTCCACGCCATATCCGCGGTCGCTTGACTACGCTCAACACACTTGTTGTCACCTTTGGACAAGTCATTGCTTATGTCATCAACATTGCATTCTCCAACGTGGATGAAGGATGGCGATACATGTTTGGTCTTGCTGGTATTCCAGCCTTGTTTCAATTGGTTGGTAAGTGTTATCGGCATGGATATTAAAGTGGAATGATGGCTTACAATAGCACTACTAGTGATGCCTTTCCTTCCCGAATCACCTCGACGATCAGTGATTGTCAATCAACCTGACAAGGCCAAAGCATCCTTGCGTAAAATCTATGGCGATTCAGTGTCGGATACCTTTTTGGATAAGGAAGTGGCGAACATTGCACACGACGTTGAAATTACAAGATCATCAACTTACAAGGACTTTTTGCTTCGTGAAAACTATTGGCCACTTATCATTGGTAATGTTATATGGGAAGAAAAGAGGAAAAGATATACTTACCTTCCTAACTTCTCTTTTTTAGCATGCATGTTACAAGCTGCACAACAATTTTCGGGATTCAACACAGCCATGTATTATGCAGCAACAATTTTACGCATGGCTGGTTTCCGTAGCCATCAAGATTCGACCACTGTTGCTATTATCGTTTCTGCCACCAACATGGTGTTTACCATTGTCGCTGTGATTGTGATTGATCGTGCAGGAAGACGACGCATGTTGATCATCACCATGTTGATCATGGCAGCAGGCTTAATTGCACTGGGTGCGACATTTGCAGCTCAACAAGGATTTATTACTGCTCAGGATGACTGCTCAGCCTATACCACGCATTGTGCACGCTGCGTAATGGATGACAAGTGCGGATGGTCAATATCTCAAGATAAATGTATGCTGTTGGAAGGGCTTGGTAGCGATCTTTACGAGAGCAAGACTGGATGCCCTCCTCGTGGCAACGACACTGCTATTACCGCCATGTTGATCTTGTTCTTGATTATCTACGTTGCTGGATATGCTCTTGGTCTTGGTTATGCTCCGTAAGTGGTAGATGGTTAAACATCACATGATCAGCCGGCTTATTATTGCTTTTGCACACATTACAGATGGGTCATTCAGAGTGAAGTCTTCCCTATTGCATTGCGTGGAAAGGGCAATGGCGTTGCAACTGCTGTCAATTGGATCTGTAACCTTGTGGTATCAATTACCTATCTTTCGATGATCAACAGCATGACCACGGCAGGCACGTTTTGGTTCTATGCAGGATTATCGCTCATCTTTTGGCTACTCGTATTCTTTTTTGTTCCAGAGGTAAGTTAAGTTATGGCACATCATGGATGGAACGTCGTTTGGCTTATGGGTGTTGTATTATAGACCTCGCGTCATTCTTTGGAAGAGATGAAGGTCATTTTCCAAAAGAAAAAGTAAGGGCGCCCTCCCCTCCTCCAACAAGTGATATTTTGGTTACCATGTAGTTTATTCCTTTATTCCTATTGTTCTCTTTTATTCATCCTAATCTTACTGTAATATAATCCGCTACTGATAACGAAAGCATTGCATCGGGTCAAAGTGGGGGAACAAATCAAATTTAGGTGATACAATCATTGACAATGGCCGGAATTTCCCGCAACAAGTCAACGATATTCTCTTTCCTTCTTCCACAATTTTTTCTTTTCACTTGAATGGATAACCCCTTTGTCTCCAACGAAACCAGCAGCTGGCTACTCTATATCTTGACCGATTCAGCATTACCAACGGGTGGCTTCGTAGCATCGTCAGGCCTTGAGGCCATGCACCAAGCTGGATTGCTCAATGGTGACAACCTGGCGGATTTCGTAATCAGTGCCAACATGTCGTATGCTTCCAACTCGACTTGTTTTGTACGTGCTGGATATGAAGCCATGGACGACAAGGATCCTTTATCAAGGCTCAAGGAATGTGATTCTATATGCGAGGCTGTCATGGTAGCGAATGCGGTGGGACGGCGTGCATCATTGGCCCAGGGCGTTGCTATGATTATCCTCTATCTCAAATGTTTCACTGAGACGACCAAAACCAATGATCTTGATATCAGCGTAATGAAGAAGTGGAAGACTCTCATTCGTGCAGAAGAAGTGGAAGGTCATTTTCCTGTATGCTTTGGTCTCGTGTGTCGTTATCTTCAAGTGGATCTGGGTAAGTGAAAACAGCGACATTCTTTGTTCGAATTACCTCTAATCTTGTGTAATGATAGAAAATACATTGCATTTATGGTTGTACCTCTTTACTCGGACGTTGTATTCATCTGCCGTACGCATGAACATTGTGGGCCCTTACGAAGCTCAGCGATTACTACTACGATCCCGCCAACCAATCGAACGGATCATCAAAGAAACAAAGGACATCAGCATGGATGATTGTTGTCAAACTAATCCATTACTCGACGTATGTCAAGGCATGCACGATCGCTTGTATACCCGATTATTCAATAGCTAGACTTGGAGAATGGTCAACACCTTTGTAGTAGACGCAACACATCACTGTAAATAGAACTAGATTTTGCATCACATATATACCTCCTCTTGTGTACGTTCATTGACATCATAAATATCGTATCACTTGCTGCAGCATTCATTTGTATCATGTTTCCTGCTGTCAACAATAAGTTAGCTTTGACGCTTTGTGTACATCGTTCCTCTTTCTTAGACCAATCAGGGCCAAAAAGATGCTGAGCATTGTTGGGGGAGAACCAAAACTATGAATAACGCATAACGTATTCCGCCACCACGAACAATAAAAAGAAATCATGCTGCGCTGTGCTATTTCTATATGCGAAGGAGACACAATCTTGGAAAGAGTCTAGTAGGGGGAGGGGGGCGGAGGAGTAAGGGATTGAATCACACGACAGCAGGATAGCATACTATTATCCTTTTCGTTAACCCATGGAAACCGCACATGATTCCCGGCGGAGATGAAGTAAAGAAATGGTTCAGATGAGACTTTTTCCTTTCCACCATCGTCGTCATCATCCATTACGTATGCCATGGAAAGGTACATAGCGTGTATTTGTATATTTGTATGCATGATAATGCATCATCCACATCCACTAATGGTAGTATCGGCGGGTTATGCAAACAATCAATCTTTCAGTGTTGCACGCTTTACATTGTGCACAGACAATCAAAAACGATACTGCAACGGACCATGCTTGTGACCCCGATTAACACCTTTGTTGGGTCGAGAACGCTGAAAAGAGCCGTTAAAAGATATCAAACGAATCGATGAAAAGGCTGCGTGTGTGTGTAAAGACTCCTTGAATGTATCAAGAAACAAAAGTGCCTGTTCTCCCGGTCAAGGGCGGATGGCATTCATTCATCCGGAACGGAGGAGAGCAAGATAGAGGGTGGGTTTGTAAAAAGGGCAAGGTGTACAAGGGGGCGCGTGGCTTCTGTGGGGGGTGACCAATATTCTTTGTGTAACTAGGACCAACATTTTTTTGGAGATGCTCTTTGGCATTTCTCACCCAACATTTTCTCTTTCTCTTCCTCTTCTTTATCCCTTTCCCATCATTTTTCTTGCTATCTTTTGACGTGCTGGTTCACGCATTAACCTATACACGCCCACGCCTTTCGTTATAACACACAATGATCACAAAGAACACAACCAAGACTTCTGCACCCACACGCAAACGCACTCACCTCAAGCCTCACCAGTTGACAGTGCTTCAAAATTCATTTACTATCAACCCATTGCCAGATGGTACTGTACGTAGTCAGCTGGCTCATGATTTGGGTGTAAGTGAACGCACGATTCAAATCTGGTTCCAAAATCGCCGCGCCAAGGCTCGCAAAATGGAAGCTTTATCAAACGCTTTGGCTATGGGTGGTGCTATTTCTCATGGCAGCAACAATACAACCGCCGCTGTCAATGGCAACGGTTGCCATCCATTGTTGCCTCGTTGGACAGAGCGCGCTCCTCCTCGATATCAACCTACTTTCCGCACCATGATGACACCTAAACGTTTTGAAGAGTTGAGACAGCAAAGTGATACCCGCCGTCCTACAACTACCACACGTGCTGCTAGTTCCAAGCCTGATGAAAACAAGGATCATCATGATGTAGCACCTCGTGCCATGTCTGAAGGCATGTTGATTGCACCACCCTCTATTGTTGCCTCCTCAACAACATCCTCCTCCTCCTCTTCTTCCTCCTCCTGTTCATCACCATCATCATCATCCACCAGCAACAACAAAGGTAAGGAGATAATAGGAGATGAATGTATCTTTTTTTCTAAAACCGTACGATGGTATAGGTCCTGTCGTGTCACTCAAAGCCCACAATCTCCGCATCGGCACATGGACCCGCTTTGCTCAAGGCCATGAATGGGATTTGATATGTGAAGCCGACCCTGCTTTACGCCAAATGATTTGGCAGATTCAGGCCCAGGGTCATCTGTTTCGTATTCAAGTGCCGTTTGATGCCATCCAACAACTCACATTTTTGGATGATCAGCTTGATCAGTGTCAGCTTCAAGTGAATGTTATCGATCCCCAAATGCTTGTTTTCTCAATGCAACGTTTGAACATTGACAAGGAATGGATCCGTTGTGGTGACTTTTCGGAAGGTCAACAAGCTAGTATCGAATACACACATGTCTTACAAGGTGCAGCTGCTGATCTACAACAAGCCATGGTTGATTTGACTGCCCTGGTACCTGATCTTGCTACCAAAATCGTATACACACCAACTCTTGTTTCTACTACTACTGCTGCTGCTGCTCCCGCAGGTATGGCAATGCCTCCACCCATGCTTGACGAATGCCGCGAATTTACCTTGTCGCCCTCAGCGACTCCCGAGCCATACAACCTTTACGAAATGACAACAACAGAATCACTCTTTATGGATAAATGGTCGGCTGCTGCTCTTGATCCTACAGCTGCCGTTTATACATCCATGGCACCACAGCCCAACATGGTTGCACCACCACCTCCACCACCGGCTATGGATTTGCAACAATATCCATATGGTTTTTGTTAGTTCAATTGTTGTTACATCTTCTTTTTCTCTTTCTCTCTCTTTTTTTCTCGTATGGCCATTGGGCTGGTTCCCGTGTGCTTGGAGAAAAGGGAAAAATACTTCCCCTTTGTATCTTTGGAACATAAAATTGATACCAGCAGCTTGGCATGTACAAACTTTTTCACACACACATACAAAAAACACGATTGCGTATTTATTCATATCTTGATGAGAGCTTTTTGCGGAAGACTAATTATCATAACACCGAGAAACATGTACTAAACTTTGATTCTTTCACACACCCGCAAACGATCGGCAATCCAGGACCATTTATCTATATGCGGATCAATATGTTGCAGATCCTGTCCCCCTTTATCATTTGCGCTGCATAATGAATATAGCCTTAACCCGTCGCTTCTCCTTAATGCAAGTTGCTGTGTATAGTATATAGCGCGTAATGTATACCCACGCTCTGCCATTCGGCTACTTTATATATGAATACAACAAATGAACAGGGGAAAAAAAAAAGAGAGAGAGAGAAAACAATAAACTTATGCAGAAACCTTGAGCTTGGCAAATTCTTCAGCAGCCTTGATGGCTTCATCCAAACCATCCAACTTGTCACCAGAGCCTTGAGCAGCTTCATCCTTGCCACCCTTCTTACCACCAACCTTGGCAGCGACCACATCAGCCCATTCGCTAGCCTTCAAGCCTTGAGCCACAAGATCCTTGCTGACAATACAATTGTGAGACACACGACCCGAAGTTTGATCAGCACTAAAGACATAGACAGCCTTATCCTTGTGGTTGCTCTTGGTGTAAGCAATGGCACCAGCAAGAGCCTTGGAGTTGTTGCCGACATTGAGCATGGTGACAAGGAACTTGGCTTCAGGGTTCTGCTCAAAGTGGTTCTTGACGGCATCTTGAGCTTCCTTGAGCTGTTGAGCAGCAAGTGCCTTACCAGCATTGACAGCAGCCTTTTTGACCTTGTTGTAACGCTCACGGAATTCAGCCTTGGTAACGGTGGAAATGGCAATGCTATCGAGATCCTTGGCAATGGTCTTGAGAGCAGCATCCAATTCAGGGCCAGCAGTCAACTTTTCAAGTTCATCCAAACGAGACTCGAAGCTCTTGGCCAAGCGATCAGCAGCTTGAGCCTCTTCACCAGTGACGGCAACAATACGACGAATACCCTTGGCAATACCACTTTCTTCAAGGATAGCGAAACGCTTGATATCACCGGTCTTGGCCACGTGAGTACCACCACAAAACTCAATACTAGTAGTAGCCCACTTGGGGTTGGATACATCACTGGTCACCTCATCGACATCATAGCCAACAGACACCACACGAACAGGGTCAGGGTATGTTTCACCGAAAACAGCACGCAAACCATGGATAGCCTTTGCAACAGGCAATGGCACTTCCTTGGAAAACACAGGGTCGTTCTTGGCAATCATCTCATTACAAATCTTTTCAGTCTCGGCCAATTGAGGAGTTGTCAAGGCAGACTTGAACGAGAAATCGAAACGCAACTTTTCAGGGGCAACCAAGGAACCCTTTTGATCAACATTCTCACCAAGCACCTTGCGAAGAGCAAAGTTGAGGATATGAGTACCAGTGTGGTTGTTCTTCAAGGGATGACGACGAAGCTAAAAAGAGGATTGATGAGGATACGCATAAAAATACACCATCGCTTCAACACTTACAGCATCAAAGGAGAGCTCAACATCACTATCAATCTTGAGTTGACCATACTTTAAGTAACCAATGTGCAATACATAGCCACCAAAGGATTGACAATCTTGTACGGCAAATTCAGTCTCGCCATCAAGGGTGATGATGCTACCAGTGTCATATTCTTGACCACCCGATTCGGCATAAAAGTTGGTCTTGTCGGTCAAGATACCGAAACGACGATCCTTGGGAATTTGCTCGGTGTCGTCCAAGAACTTGTGCTCAAAGACAATGGCCTTGATCTTGCCTTGAACATTACCAGCCACTATAGAGAGAATCCAATTAGTCACGTGTACATGGAGTAAATGAAATCTCTTTTAAGATACTTGCAGTACTTGAACGAATCATCAGTGGTAGGAACAGCATCCATCTTTTCAAGAGCACCCAAGTCGTGGACATCCAAAGCAACAACATCTTCACCAGCATTGCCACCCTTGGCCTTGCGAGATGCATTCTTGGCAGCTTCTTGAGCAGCTTCGAATTCCTTTTCATCCACAGTCAAACCATTCTCCTCAGCCATGACACGTGTCAAATCAACAGGGAAGCCATAGGTATCGTACAAGCGCCACACATCGTTACCAGAGAGGGTCTTGTTGCCAGCTTCTTGAGCCTTGATACGGTACTGGTCAAAGAGCTTTTCACCACGATCCAAGGTCTTTGCAAAAGCAACTTCTTCTTCATCAAGAATGGACTTGACTTCAGCCGACATTTTGGTGAGCTCAGGGAAATGATGACCCTAGAAAAAGGACCTTTGTTAGCTTTGATCCTCGTTCCTCAATCACAAGTATGATTTACTTACCATTTGATCAACAAGGGTATCCACCAATTGAGAGAAAAAGTTGCCAATGGGATAGTTGAAGTACTTGCGAGCATAACGAGCACCACGACGAAGAATACGACGCAAGACATAGCCACGACCTTCATTGCTGGGAACACCACCATCGGAAATGGCAAAGGTCAATGTACGAATGTGGTCAGCAACAACACGATAGGCGGTATCGACACCATCCACATCTTCAGCACCAAGTTTGCCTTCATACGAACGAGCACCAGTGATTTCCTTGATCTTTGCGAAAAGAGGAGCAAACACATCGGTGTCATAGTTGGAGTAGACGTTTTGCATAATGGACACAAGACGCTCCAAACCCAAACCGGTATCAATGTGCTTGTTGGGCAAAGGACGCAACTTGCCATCAGCTTCACGGTTGAATTGGATAAACACGACGTTCCAGATTTCAATCACGTTGGGATCATCCATGTTGACAAGGGAGGAAGCGTTACGACCACCAATACGATCATAATGAACTTCAGAGCAAGGACCACAAGGACCGGTTTCACCCATTTCTATTCAACGAGTTAATATCTCTCTTTTTCTTTTACGCCAAAGAGCGGATATACTATACTCACCCCAAAAGTTATCCTTGACATCACCAGGCAAGAGATGATCTTCAGCGACACCGATATCCATCCAAATTTGCTTTGCTTCAAGATCGGCTTCCAATCCCAATTTCTCGTCGCCACCAAAATAAGTAACATAGAGACGATCGGATGGCAACTTGAGGACCTCGGTCAAAAATGTCCAACACATTTTGGCAGCACCAGTCTAAACAACCAACCACACCCCCCAACATGATCAATCACCTTGAATCCCATCATGGACAACACACACACTATTTACCTTAAAGTAATCACCAAAGGACCAGTTGCCCAACATTTCGAAAAAGGTGTGATGGTAGGTATCCTTGCCTACGTCATCCAAGTCATTGTGCTTGCCACCTGCACGGATACACTTTTGCGAGTTGGTGGCACTCTTGAGACCAGCCAATGGAGAGTTGGGATCGACGGTACCCAAGAACACAGACTTGTACTATAGAATGGGTTAGTTCTCTTGTGACATTTGGACAAAGGGGAGCACGTGCCTGGTTCATGCCGGCGTTGGCGAAGAGTAATGTGGGGTCGTCATGGGGAATGGTTGAGGACGAGGGCACAAATGTGTGGTCGTTTTCCTTGATAAAATAGTCGATAAAAGCGGATCGCACCCTGTTGACAGGCCACTCAAGTTGTTGCTGTTGTGTCATGTTGTAAAGAGAAAAAGGATCGCGATCGGGCAACCTGAGAGGAGATATAAAAATATTTGCCACAAGACCACACATATAGCGAGGTTGGGTCATTGTGAGTAAGTCCGCCTATGTATATACATACATTCACCACGACGACACACTTTGCCACAATGACCGCAGCAGCATGTTGTTGTTGTATATCGGACAATGACTTTGTTTTGGTTCCTTCGAACTACAAGACTCTTCCATTCGTCGATATAATGTACTCCTTGCCCTGGAGAAAAAGAGAGAGAAAGAGAGCGTGTGAGCAAAAAGATGGCTGATGAGGATTCCCCACTCCCTCCCCCCTAATATCCCTATTTACTCTGTGCAATGATCAAATCATCTAAACAATGTTCAAAGGAGTTCATGCATCGACCATGACGATACAAGATGGAAAAAAAAAGAGAATCAATTGTTGTCTGAACGTATGGCAAAAGGCAAGGAGACGATGAAAAGGAAATGAGCCTTTTTGAAGGAGTGGTTGCATTAAAGCAAGGAACCCCGATATCGCTTGCATGTACTTGCTTGTCAGGTTAGGATTCGACTTGCAGTAGTAGTCGTAGAGTAGTAAAGGTTGGCAGTGAAAATACCTACCATGGCTATACTAAGGATTTAGGGAAAGAGGCATCCGCCATGGCCACACTCTAGGGGCGACAAGGTGCAATGAGGAGAACGTGTAGGAGCTGTTTAAATGTGGGGGAGAGGCAAAAGAGTGGGGGACACGATTGAGTAGATGAGATAATACAAAGAGCTACATACTTTTACACTGCCATTGAATGATAGTATATATATACACACACATGTTCAATGGGTATTGTAATAAGGATGAGCCGTGGTAACAAGGTTCAATGTTTGTGTTTTCAACAAACTAAATCGCGCGGGTAGCATTGCTGCTTGCTGCCGCTGCTGCTGCTGCTGCTTGTGCTGCAGTGCCTGCATTGCGTCAGGTTAAAACTATCGACCCGCCAAACCACCCTGGATAACGTATATATATAACATGGTCTTGGTCTCTATACATCCCACTCCTCTCTTTATCTTTTCATTACCACTTTATCATCATTATTATCAACATGGGCAGAAACAAGAATAACAACAATAATGGACCTGAAGCTGCACGTATGGCATCGTGGGCAGGCTCCCAGTTTTCGTTAATGTCCCCCACCCCTGTTGAGCCCAATCACAATAACAAGAAGCTTCTTGGATTTGGTGGCTCTTCTACCAAGGTCCTTACCATGATGGAATCAGGCTTGGAGACAATTGAGCATGATGATCTTAAGCAAGGTTCACTCTATATCGTCAAGATTAGAAATGTATCGGTTGCTCTCTTTGAAGGTAATATAAGCTATAACCTTGTAAATTATCATGTCTCACCTCTTGTACTCTAGGCTGGGACGATGACATGTGCTGCTTTGCTGTGCTTCGTAAGTTGGCTTTCTTTATCAATCCTTCTTCAATCAATTACTCATTATCATTCTAGGATCGGATTCAACACCGATGCGTTGGTCAGAAGCAAGGCAAGTGTTACTCACCCTGGGGCCAAGGGATAATGCTAATATAACTGGTTATAGATATATTCCCGGGGACTTTGATGCTTATGATGCATTTGATGAAGCTGGCAATCCACCTGTACACCTATGGACTCGCCATCTCCGTGTCAATGTCCCCATCAATTGGTTTTCCATTTTTGAGGAAGCACGTCGTAAACAAAGAAATTGGATGAATGAACAAAATGAGGAAGAATACCATTATTATCCCGTGGAAGAGGATCAAGTCCCTGCCAACAATAAGCGTCGCAACAAGAAAAAGCAAGATGAGGCTGCTGCTGCTGCCATGAATACACCTCCAGAAACGGACAAGTCTAGTAGCCGATCTGGATCAGGTGATGAAGATGCTGGTGACGAGAATGCTTCAGAAGATGAACAAGAACACCATACTGAAAATGAAGACGAGGATGATCAAGAAGATGCAGCATCTACTACCTCTGATACTCCAAAAGTAACCACTCCTGCTGAATCACCAAAAGCTCCAAAGAGCAACGCCACCACAACCACAACAGCTCCTATCAAGAACAACCGTGGCCATAGCCATACATCCAAAAAGGAGCAACCTGCTGTTGCTGCTGCCACCCCTACTCCTCAATCGTACCAGCAGCAGCAGCAGCAGCAGGCTGTGGCACAACCACAACCACCACAACAAGTCATTAACAAGCCCATCAACAAGAGTGAGATCCCTGTTGCATCAAGTCCCAAATACTTAAACACACCACCAGCATCACCTATCAATGCTTTGCCTTCTAATGCTACTGCTGCAGCTATCCAAGCAACACGCCAACAACAACAACAATCCTTTGAAAAGAATAACAACCTCTTTGGATCAACCGACTTTGCATTCCCTCACAATGAGACCCAATTCTCTATCCAAAGCAGTGGATTCTCCGATTCCGTATTGTCGACATCATCATCCCTAGGTGGTATTAATACAGCAGCACACCAACAACAACAACAACAACGTGCACCCGTTGATGATACAGCACCAGCCAAAAGCAAGCGTCGCTCCGTTCAAGGTCTTTTCCGCAAGTAGTTTTATTAATACACATTTGTAGTAATTCTTTTTTTTTCCAACACATATATAAATAATGATGCTTGCATATACTGCAGGAGGTGATTGTGTGTATGGAGGATCTAAGAACAAGATGGAAAAAAGGAGGAGTACAATGGCTTTAAGCAGGGTCAAGATTGGGTTCACAATCTTTTTTGATGCAACGGGCAGCATGAATGTTGATTTGATTTGGCACAATGTTCCTCGTTGAGTGGGGAATTTACTGCTAGCACTTTACCTTCTTCTTCCCTCTTCCTTCCATTCTCAACTGTTGGTGCATTCAAGTATACAACTACCACCTGCGACCGATTGTCCTGCTTCAACCCATCATGTCAATCAAACAATAGCCTTGATTCGATTGCCTTCGACTGAATGGCAAGTGCATGGCGTGTACACAGTGTTCTTGTTACTCTTCTACACCACACCCTCTTGTACACTCCTCTGCCACGATCAATCGTAACAGCATTCATTCCAGCAGTTGCTATTAGCGAAGTCTTTATTCCATTTTGTCAAACAGCATTCGCAACCTTGTCACACTACTACTACCTTGTACACTCCTCTGCCACCTCCAAACGAACAGCAGGTGCTATTTCATTGTCTCAGCTTCTTGCAGCAACATGCTTGCGACCTTGTTTTATGTGAACAGCCAATAGCCATTGTATAGAGGCAGCTTTATTTACATGCAGCAACTTGCTTTGATACTACGAGCACAAGTGGATGGGATGCCATATCAGCTATCAAGTACGCCGCAATGCAAGCCCTTCAATCACTAGGTTGAGCAGCGATGGAAACCCGAACAAGAATGGGATTGACCCAACAGCCGGATGGAAGAGGAAGCATACCAGCAGCAATATTGAACTTGCAATGGCTATGATGGATGGATGCAATCAAATGCAGTGATGAGCAATCCTGGAAGGTTGCTTTGGTTACTTGTCGCGTCGTCAACAGGAACTATGGATCATGTCACGTGGTTACGGCTGAGGATGACGATGGTGGATGGGATGGAATTGACAAAGGGTGTTGTACAGCCATGGATCATATTGGAGTACTCGATTCAATGCACGCAGCAGCTATTTTGCAATGAAGGATGAAGGATGGTTATGACCGCAGCAACCAAGAAGACAATGATACAATTATCCTTGTTATCTCCATGTGGTTTCTTATTCAATGCTGCTCCTTTATCATATTTTCCCCGATAAACATCCACGCTACTATATACTATTCCTCGAACTTTTTAATGAATGAAGATTGGATTCAACGTAATACTACATGGGGTACCATACGAGATGTGGATCACTTGGCTAGTTTGTGGATTGAAGAGGGAATAGAAATTGAAGGGCGGGAAGAGAGTTTGGATCATTTACATCATCGTATAAAGAGGCTTTTGTTCCATAAGGGCTATCATAGGCAGATCTTGCTATAGGCGCATAAGGGAAAATATTCATCATGCACTCTCCACCAATAGGAGTGACCTGTCCTCTCAGCTTGTTACACAAACAAGACCTCTGCATCTTTGGCTTTAATACGACTGAGGCGAGTGGGCGAGTGGGCGAGTGAGAATGAGCAAAGGCCACTTTGCATATAGCATCACGCTTAAAGTATAGTGAAAACATAAAGACGCCCATAACTCCGAATGTTGCTGTACCAACGCCTTTGTTATTGTTTTGGGTTGAGTTGAATAATGCATGTACAAAGATTTATTGGAAGGATGAATGTTGATACAAATGAGCTGTCGAATAGGTGGGTTACTTGGGTCGAGTAGGGGTGATGAAAATGTCATGGTCGATACTGGGGACACTTTGCTCAATCACATTGGCCACTTGGCAAATATTGTCCAGACTCACTCGTCGTTCAATTGCAGCCTGTGCTTCCTGGCCAAGATCCAGCATGAAGGATTCGAATGCAAAAAGTAGATCCCAAACCGTTGAAAGTAGCTGGATCCACTCGCTGCAAGGTGTTATAAAACATGTCAATGTGTCCTCCAACCTGTCGATGAGCTTCTTCAACATGACGATCATTACTGTTCCATTCGTCATCCGTAAATCTTGTATTGTCTTGCATGATTTGCTGCACCTGTGTCACGGCGTCGGCATCATGAGGATGTTCTTGATGCATCAAGAAAATGTTGCATCGTTGAACCAAGGTTCCAGTATCGAGCTGAACATCTCTCATCCGCTTCCTGGTAGTATTGTAAGCAGTGATGTTCACAGCAGTTCCACGGCTCGTAGCCATCTATGTTAGGTATTTATCAGTGCCATTCTTTTTTATGCAGGCTAAGCATCTCTTAGCATACCTTGTAGAAGATGAAGGATGGTTATCAAGAGTAGCGAAGACGAAGTTGAGGAGATGCCATTATATAGTACAGGTAATAATGAGAGATGGCAACCGTAGTCATGGGACAAAGGCATAATGAGACAATGGCAACATGGCAGAGAGCTCTGTCTCTTAACAATAAATGAGGCTGAATGGGCCATACAATGGAAGCCGCTGTATCACCCCTATACGCGCTGTAGTGAAATGTGCCACCCTAATCCAACTTTGCAGGTGCTAGAGAGGTAGCTAGATAACGGAGGAATGTGAGTGTGGGTCTCATCCAGCAATTCGATAAGGCTTTACCTTGTAATAAAGAGGCAGACATATCAATGACAACAATGAACATGATGACAACGTAACAATGAGACGCTAAAGATGACACATTTATTAGTACATGGAACAACCAAAGAATGAGATCATCCACCATGGTACTTACCAAGTGGTTTTGGAAGTATCAGCAATGAAAGAGTGATATGATGGGAAGAAGGATGGGCGACGACATTCCTTTTGTTTATATCTGCACGGTGGGCGTGGGTATTTCTGTGACCACAAGGATTGATAAATGAGTGTTGGGAATGGCGATGAACTGATAGATTGTTGAGGAGCCTTGATGTGACTAATGTCGATGCTTAAATCGGGAAACAAGCTGGCAGTATTCATCATCCATGTGTCGTGCTCGTACTCCACGAAATAGAATGCTGCTCCATGATGTGCGTGATCGTTCCAGAAAAGGTAAAAGTCAAAGTCATCTTACTCGATAAACATTGTACAAACGCGTAAATGTTGCCGGCTACTACTGCTGCTGCTGGTATGTAGGTGGATGAAGAGCATCCGCTCATATCAAATGGGCCATTGGCTAAGGTCTGCAAGCTGTTGCTGGATCAATGAAGAATGGCTTTGTTGACATGGTAACGCGTAGTTGATAGATGAAAGGGATGTGCTGATAATTGGCATCGTCGTCGCCACCTATTTTTCACGCGCCAGTGAATTCAAGGTACCCACGCATGATGCTGTTGAATAGTCGTCCACTGTTGCCTTGGAAAGTGTCGATGCCATATGCACCTTGTTGCCATCTGAATAACTCATCAGCCTTGTTTGCAGCTCGTGTCGTTTCACGGATCATATGAACTGCCTATCATCGCCAGCCACATACATCTTGATGAATTCTTAACGCAATCCTGTGGTATCTCCTTAAGTGGTCGCGCGTCTTTATGTATGGCAACAAGTCAATTGTTATGCAATGTGAGCCTTGTCCCAAAAACTAACCTTTCGACTTTGGCATGGAGATGTTACGAAAAGCGCATGGACACCAAGTTTTCAACCTACATTCAAAACGTGTCAATGTCATTTCCAAGTTGTCCATTTCGTAATGTACCTTGAATGTACAAGTTGTCAAGAACAGAGCGCGATGGATCGAATGTCAAGTTGCAGGAACAAAGCAAGGTGCGTGAATGAGAAAAGATAGCTGCATGAAACCAAGTTGGATTTTTTACTCACCGCTGTTCCCATTCATTCGGATGAGTGCTAGAAATTGATATCCCTTTTCGTAAAGATGGCTTCTCACCTAACAAGCTGTATAACCATAATATGGATAATACTACATGAATGCATATGCTTGGGAATAAACAAGGAATGATGTCCATTTCATACACTTTTATTATGTTCATTTTTCATATCCTAATGATCCTCCATGTAAAGGAGCACGTGTAAGCTGTGATGCACTCACAATAGTAACAGTAACCCTTGATGCACTTGTTCATGTATAAGGTACCAAAAGTACCAGTGATAAAATTGCTATTAGTCTATTGACAGCGCGCGAATCAATAAGGCTTTGAAACAATCTTGCATACTTTGACCCATCATTCAATGCTATTTTTGCATACAAACTTACCGCAGCAACCACTATACCATAGCAACCATGTTGTCATGGCAACCACCTTACCGCAGCAACCTGTCAATCTATTTTCGGAACAATGGAAATCTCTGCGTCCTTTCCACACTTCTTCCATCCTCAAGTGATCATTCATGCATAACCACGTGTAGTTGTCATCTTTGACACCTTTCCATCACACCATCTTCTTACACTCTCCCCCCCCCAACGCTCTTTTAGAATAGAAACATCCTTTGAACCAATCTCAACATTTCACTTTGCGTTGTTATTAGAATAGAAGTTCCCCTACATTGGGGTATCCCCCACCATTGTATCCATTTTTAACCCTGCACCAATGATGTGCAATGTCTTTTCGTTATTTCCTTTTTACTTTTTCATGCAACAGCTGTGCCACCATTCATTGTGCATTACTGAACCTTCAGCATTGCTCACAATTTATCTTAACTGAATCTCTGTTACGAGCTCTCGCAATCCAAAAACGCTGCCAGGCGCACATTTATCTTTGAATCTTCAACCTGAACTTTACTTTTTGCCTACATCGGCCTTCTTATCACCCTATAAACTTGGTGATCCAATCTTCTCAATTCCTAACCCATCTCAGCACCAACATCTTTTTATCACTTCTAGCCAACCTCGGCTCTTTCAACTTTTACTTTTTCAACCTTTCACCCCTTTCAGTTACACATCTTTCTTTTGCCCATCTCGGCAACAACCCACACACTCCACCTTTCTCCTTCCCACTTTTTCTTCATTTGCTTTGATACTTTAGACAAAGTATCTGGTGCTCACTATCCAATCTCCTTGTAACCACGTTATTCACATATTGAGATTACCCAATAATGACACCAAACCAAACTCTCGTCATACGTGTGGTGATCATTTTTAAAGGGCACTCACAAAACCTTGCCCTTACACCTGCTTGACACCCTTTTATATACAAAAGTGATATCAAAGACACGGCTGTCGGATCCTCACTTAGATTAATTTCTCTTTGCATACATCATTGCTTTTGATCTTACATCTCCTTATCACATTCTTGCCGTTATATATAAATACACCATCATAACATATGAATAAACATTATCGAATCATCTTCTATTCTCTTTATTTTGCCTGTGTGGCATTCTCGATACGCAAAACAAGATACACGACACAGCACAGGAATACCCAACATGTCACGTGACCAAAAATACTGAAAAAACAAAAAAGAAATCATCCGAATCCTCAAGTTCAACTTGAAACTTCGATTTTTCGAACGGGGACAACTGGGATTTGAACCCAGGACCACTTGCACCCAAAGCAAGTATGATACCGCTACACCATTGTCCCTAACGATGCTTCTTGATACTTCTCCACTGAAACAGAATGATGAACCACAAAATTTCCTAATCGGGAAGTCAAAAAAGTGGTTCAAATGGCATGAAATTTGCACAGAATGCAGCGGAGCATGCGCAGATAGCGATGATGATATCGTTGTTCATTTTTGGGAGCTCAATTGCTAGCAATTTCAATCATAAGGAAATTCAGATGGCTATGGCCAATCCTGCTATTGCGGAAGTGGACGACAGCTGGGCTTGAAATCTGGATTCGGTGAGGTGTGGAGACGTGATAGGAGTAAGTGGTACTCGGTAAACTAAGATTGGATAGTAATCAAGGATAACCATACACGAGCTGAGTCTGGATGATGGGTATAAGTGATTATTCATTGACACGACATTCGGGCAGCTGCTGCACCTTGTATTATGGAGCTATTTATGTTTGTGGACAGCTTGTTGCTTATTTGTGTTCGTTCCTTTTCTTTTATGAACAAGGCTATTAAGGGACAGTGTTGTTATTGTGAATGCTTCATAGCTTACACGTATTCCTTCACAGGGAGGATCATCACGATATGAATAAATGCGCATAATAAGATATAAGAGTGTAATTGAAGATGGACATCATTTCGTGTTTATTCCCAAGCATATACATTCATATAATATTATCCTTCACATTACGGTTGGATATATACAACTTGTTGGGCGTGAAGCGTTCGTCTTCCAATCCTTACAAGAAGGGGGTATAAGATTCAAGCGTGTGTTATGATGTTGATTGTTGAGTTGTCACGTACAAGTTGAAAGAGAACAGCGGCGAGTAAAAACTCAACTTGGTTTCATGCAGCAACCTTTTCTCATTCACGCACCTTGCCTTGCTCTTGACGACTTGACATTCGCCCCATCCCCTCTCTTTGTTCTTGACAACTAGCTCATTCAAGGTACGTTGCGAAATGGGCAACTTGAAAGTGATCTTGACGCGTTTTGAATGTAGGTTGAAGATCCGGTGTCGATGCGCTGTTCGTAACATAGCCATGTCAATGTCAAAAGGTTAGTTCTTGGGACAAGGCTCACATTGCATAACAATTGACATGTTGCCATACACAAAGACGAGCGACCCTTTAAGGAGATACCACCGGATTGCGTCAGGATTCAACAAGGTGTATATGGCTGGAGAGGATGAAATCATCTATGAGACAACACAAGGAGAATGGCACTGGACACAGGGCTTGTGGTATGGCATCAACACTTTCCAAGGCGATGGCATCAACTCACTTTTTGGATAACAGTGGATGGCGATTCAGCTGCATGAAAATAGGTGGCGACAACGATGCTCGTTATCAGCTTTCATGCGTTATCATTGCAACGGCAGTCATTCTTCGTTGATCCAGCGACAGCTGCAGACCTTGGCCAATGCACCATTTGGCAATTAATCACATCAAGGCTCCTCAACAATCTATCAGTTCATCACCATTCCCGAGACTCTTGTGATCACAAGATACCCACGCCCACCATGCAGATACAAGCAACGTGAATATTGTCGTCTATCGCTTTTCTCCTACACATGTCTTTCTTCCCATCATATCACTTTCCAATGGCCCTTGGTAAGTATTCATGGTGGTGGATGGTCTCATTCTTTGGTTGTTCCATGTACTAATACACGTGATGATCTTTAGCGTCTCATTGTTACGGTACCTCCATGCTCATTGTTGTCATTGTAATATCTGGCACTTTATTACAAGGTAAAATCTAATCGTCTTGCTGGATGAGACACACACTCACATTCCTTTATGATCTAGCTACCTCTCGAGCGTATGTAAAGTTGGACTAGATGGCACATTCTACTACAGCTTGCATGGGGATGGTACCGCGGCTTCCGTTGTAGGGCCAGTTCAGCCTCACTTTATTGTCAAGACAAAGGGAGCTCTCTATCATGTTGCCATTGTCTCATTGTGTGCTTGTCTCATGACCACGGTCGCCATCGTCTCATTATTACCTGTACTATATAATGGCATCTCCTCAACTTCGTCTTCGCTACTCTTGATAACCATCCTTCGTCTTCTACAAGGTACGATAAGAGATGCTTAGCCTACATAAAAAAGCATGACACTGACGGATACCTAACGTAGATGGCTACGAGCCGTGGGACTGCTGTGAACATCACTGCTTACAATACTATCAGGCAGCGGATGAGAGATGCTCAACTCGATACTGGAACTTTGGCCCATGATGCAACGTTTTTCTTGATGCATCAAGATCATCCTCATGGTGCCGAAGCTGTAGCGCGAGTGCAACAAATCATGCAAGACAATACAAGATTTACGGATGAGCAGCTTATGCAATACCTTGCAATTGCACCAGAACCAACAAATCGGTCGAGAATACCACTTACAACGTATTATCTACGTAGCTGGAGAGTGCCACCACAAACCATGAGAATGATTTTCGATCAATGGGCTGACGACCAAGTGGAGTTCACTGCCACTGATGCTTGGTTTGCTCGTCTGCTGGAGAATCCCAACGATGACATATACCTTCGTTATGTGGGGATGACGAATGGTACAGCAATGGATCGACACGTTGAAGAAGCTCGTGGACAGGCTGGAGGGCTCCTTGGCATGTTTTATAACACCTTGCAGCGAGTGGATCCAGCTACTTTCAACAATGTCAACATTTATTACTTTTATCGCACCACGGCCACTGAGATGACCCAATACACCCAACGCATGCGAGATATGAAAAAGCAGATCGTTATCTCCTTTTTTGGTGTTGAAAACCTTCTCAACACGCGCTATGGTGGCCAGCTTTCATCATATCAACCAAGTCCACATCAGATGGAACGCCTAGAACGATTTCGATCATGTTTCTTTTCATTGTTTCAGCAACATACAGCTGCACAACAAGACCAACATGTATTACAACCATGGATTGAGAGGCTGATGAATGATGCGCTACACAGCATGCAACATGATCTCTTGGAAATGATTTTCGATCAAGCTCTACCTCATACTGTTGGTGGTTACACTATCCTTGTTCTTCTTGGTGCCGGTATCACCATCGCTGACTCTGGCAATGCTCGATCCTTTTTGGGTGGTGCTTCTGGAGCCGGTGATCTTACACGAAGTATTCTTACTCGATTGGGTCGCTTGGATATCGAAGCTTATCATTTCACGCCCCATCCATTTCCATTCGTCGACTTGTACCCTTGGCCCAACACAGTTGATACAAGAGATGCTGCTATTGAACAACTTCAAACGTACATGACAGCTGTACAACCCATTGTCACGGTGTCGTTCTCAAGCTCTGTTACCAGCGTTGCTTTTGCCGATTTTCTCCATCACAATGGCTTGACACTTCAAACAGGCAACCGATACCTTCAATATGTTGGCATTCCAAGACTTGTCGCAATGCTTGATCAACAATGGGTGGATAATGATGGTAGTGATGCAACACGACAACAACGGCTCACCATTTTGATACCACATATCCATCCTGGTTACGAGCGATATGGCGAACGTAGCATTGAATTACTTCGGCTTTTGGATTTGCAACTCGCCATCGCAACCATCATCGGTGAACTTGCCATTACATGCATTATCGATCATCCAGAATTCACTCGCAACCAAGTGGTACAGCACGTATGGCAGATTATTGAAAACAATGAGTGCGAGAGGATCGTTGCAGCTTTGTTTGAATTGGATGAGTTGAAAACGGCAATCAACCAGCGACAAGAGCAACTTTTGGCACAACAACCACCTGCTGTACGACGAATTGAGGCGGATGTAGCACGACAACGGGCTCTTGGAAACATCCAGCATCATGGTATTGCCGAGGGTGCTCCACATAGCCCACAGCGACATCAACAACTCACAAGATTGTGGCGACTCAACAAGCCAGCATTACACATCCATATCGGCCGTGATGCAATGGAGGATTGGTTGAATTGGGGACTCCAATTGGTAGAAGGTGCATCCTTTTTTGCCTCTGCTATGCGACACGTGGGAATGCGACGCCATCATCCTTTGCATAACGCACTTCAACAAGTGGCACCACCAAATGCGGATCCTGATGGGGAATGGCTAAATGATCCAGAAGCTCTCGTTGCTGCAGTTCAAAGATGGGGTGCCCTAATGCGAGATGTCTACGTTCCTCATGATTATTATTCTTCTGAAAATCAACGACAGCGAGTGGCAATCAGATGGAAAATGGCTGATAACGAGCTTGATTACACCGAGGTGCAGGAAGGTTGGAGCATTTATATACCTCAAATATCGGCAGCTACATTGAGATGGCAAGATGGGCAAGAACACCGCGACCTTCGGCTTACCTTTCCCAAGAGACTTATTGAAGCTTCGGATGAGCGACAAGATTGTATGCGAGTTTTACGTTTTTTGCCCAATGGGATTGGTTTGGATGACAAGAGCGGCCAACCAGTCATGTATCAAGGATCAACCACCATTATCACTCTTACGCAGCTCAAAGGATTTCCTGATCGATTCCATTTGATGCGACTATGGATACAAGAACGAGTACGTTTAGGTGATCAAAGTGCTTTGAATCAGGCTGTTCGATCCTATGAACACATACCTTCTTTTCAACGACGTCCTCCTCTCACAGTAACCCACGGCGACAATATCAAGCTGGAATTCTTGCAAGGTCTATATCAAGGAGATGCATTGGCTCTTTTTGGCGATTTTCTCGATGAAGAGTTTCCAAATGGTGGACTTGTTAACCTGGCAAAACCAGAAAACCAAGGCTTTTTTCAAGATACCATTCCCTTACAGCAGCGATTCGCCACCTTTCTCGACAAGCATCATGACCACCCTCATCACGACACATGGGAAAAGTGGAACTCGGATATCACAAGAAATGGCAAACAATATTGGCCCAACATTCAATTATTGCGACCTGGGTCAGAAAGCCTGCCACCTGAGAAAAGAAACATTCGGGGCGTAGGTGTCAGACAATGCAAGATTATCGACATTGCACCTATACCGCAGCAACCTATACCACGTCTTGATGATATGCAAAGCCATTGAACATTGTTGAATAAAGAATAAAGAATGTAATCATGATTCGTATTATGGTATACTTTTGGTTTGAAAGGTTGGTGTTCCAAGGGACAACGTCAAAATGATCTCAGCGGGTATTGAAACATGCGAGCGGCATATTGAATGTGGGGATTCAGGCACCTAGGTGATCGCTGCGACTCACTTCCGACAAAGAAATAGCCTCGTTACTTTTTCTTCCCTTGTACCCATGGCCCCATTTCTTTAAAATAAAGTATCTTCTATCTCCACTGTAATCCAACATCACATCTCGAGGATAAGGCTAAGGATGCTAGGAGCTGCTCTCCTCCTTCGGTGGGAATCAATGAATATGGCCAAGTGCCAGGGAAACAAGGACCCCCTTTTTCCTCTCACGTTCAATGTCAACATGCAAGAGTGAACCCCTTGTTAAAGTAGTCGTCAAAGTCCAACCCATGATCCTTTAGAAAGCGTCAACAACTTGTGTATGAAATTTTTATGAGATGATGAGACTATTTACAAAGGAGGGATTATTATTATAACGAGGTGGTGGTATTGGATTGTTGCAAGGAAATGACGGTATTAGCCATGGCCGAAAAGGGGATTTCTACATGTGAATAGCCTATCATAGAGTGTAAGCCCTTTTTTCCTTTACTGCCTCATCATTCAATAATAACACCAGTGTACCTTGTCCTCCAACCATTAAATGCAACAAGGGCAATAGTAGTGCTTCATAATCCATTGCGTCGTTCGATTCATTACTACTGCGTGCGGAGATGACTTGATGTACCTTTCGCCACCAATCCCTATCCAAGGTACCCCAATGATACATGTCTGCCTTGGAAAATGTGCATGGAAATGCATCCAACAGGGGTCGATAGATATCCAGTGCTGCCGTTGATGATTGTAAATCCAGATCGCTGACGAGGTAAATGATCGGATAACCAGGATCCACATCGCGACGATACGCCAAACATGCATCCAATAGTGATTCTCGTTTCTCAGGGAACATGGATTTCCATACAGGCAAATGCTCATAGAGTGATGTTTTGGGTTGAACGGGCATGGCGGCTGCTACGCTCTGATCGATGGACATGGTGCTAAGAATGTCAAATGCGATATCCTTCATAGCATGCGATTTGGTCTTTTTCAAATGTCGTCGAAAAGAAGCGAGGATCTCCTTTTGTTCAGGAGTCATTGTCATTGGGCGTCGGCGATGTTGTTGGCTTTTCATGGTTCTACTGCTGCTGATGGTATGAGATGATGATGATGATGTTGTAGTAGTAGTTGTAATCGTTGATCCATTGCTTGCGGTGGTGGCAACCGACATGTACTTTGCCAGATGAAGAAACAAGGTACTGAATTGACGTTGTCCTCCTAGTTTATCGATTATGGTTTGTGCTGCTTGATTGATAAATGCCAATCCATCCGGTTTCAGCAAGAGATGTCGTGACATGGCAGCGTGTAAGGCAATTTGATGGCGTTCTTTGCTAAAAGCATTCTTGAAAATACCACTGGCAATCACTCCACAATGAACGTAGCGTTCGCGTAATGCTCGAAGCTCCTCCAAATGATTGACATGTTGTACTTGCAAAGGTGAGGTAGTTGGATAGGTTGCCAGGGGTTTCTGTAACCATGTCGTAAAGCGACTCATCGCCTCTGCCTTGATTGCTTCAGGCTTGGATGATCGAGTAATATGAATCCATCGAACAAGCGAAGGGTCTGGTTCAGTCGTCTTGTCTCGTATGCGAATGCCAAACTCTTCAAGAGGTGCTTCAATGTCAAGAATCTTTGACCAAGGTATTTCAATCCACGGCTCGTTGGTGGTTAACCATTCGTTATCGGTGTCATTCTTGGGCGATGGTGGAGAAAGAACGAGTGCGGGAACAAGGAGTGTGCGATTCGTTTCCAGGGCAAGCCGAGCACCCGAGCGTAAAGCCTTGTACTGTTCCAAGAAATCACTGTGACACAAGACATCAGCGCATGACCATGGAAATTTACCAAATTCATCATTACCCATGAGCTGCATAAGTGATGAATGATTCACCCGATGATAGAGTGTCGATATTCAATGATGAGGATAGATTTGGTTGTAATAAACGAATGCAGGATCCACAAAGGAATATGAGTAACAAGAAACCTCCCAATGGACGATGAAAACGTCGTAGCATGATCACAAGTGATTAGAGTAGAAAAGAAATAAAGAATAAGGAGTGGCTGCTTTCATTCTTCTTTTAAAGATTACATCTCCACAGACATACAAAGAAAGGGAGAGAGCATGTCATGGCATGACCCCCAGGTCGGGGAGAGAGAGTAGATGATGCATGCAATAAATTATCGTGACCCTTGGATGGTGATTGATGTGGCTGAAACATGCAATTGGTTTGTATTTTGAAAAAAACAAGGTCTTTTTTTTGTTCTCACACTATTGCTAATGAACGGGTGTATATGATCATACAAATGAAAAGGTCTAATGTACATGAGATTAAGTGAGTGGTGGCGGGATAATGATATATGGGGGATATGTAGTTGCGTGTGTGTTGAAGGGATGATGATGTTTAGTTTTCGGGCAAAAAGGTGGATTCCACAATGATACCAGTGACACGGTAAGGATCAATGTTGGAAGCAGGGCGGCGATCTTCAAGATAACCCTTGCCTTCCTTGCCAACTTGACGAGGGATACGAATGGATGCACCACGATTGGCAACACCATAATCAAAGGTACCAATATGACCGGTTTCATGACGACCCGTTAAGCGTTGATCATTGTCTTCACCATAGACGGCAATGTGGTCAAGATGGCGCTTGGCCATGTTTTGGATGCACTTTTCGATAGCCTTGATACCACCTTCTTCACGCATTTCCTTGGTAGAAAAGTTGGTATGGCAACCAGCACCATTCCAATCACCCTTGACAGGCTTGGGATGAATTGAGACGGCAATACCAAAGTCTTCGCTCACTCTTTCCAAAAGGAAACGTGCCATCCACAAATGATCACCACCTTCAATGCCTACGCAAGGACCCACTTGGAATTCCCATTGACCAGGAGCCACTTCAGCATTGATACCGGAAATCTTGATACCAGCATACAAGCATGCACGATAATGTGCTTCTACAATATCACGGCCGAAAATCTTGCCAGCACCAATACCACAATAGTACTTGCCCTAAGATACAAAAAAAGTGGGATCAGTCAAATCGGCGCTCGGATCGGCAAACAAATCCACGTGGAAATGTTGTGTTTGTAAAGATGACTCACCTGTGCTTCAGGGAAACCATGTCGAGGCCAGCCATAAGGCTTTTCGGTTTCAGGGTCGAAAAGCATGTATTCTTGTTCAAGGCCAAACCAAGGTTCGCTATCAGCATGGGCATCCATGATCTTTTTGCATGCGTTGCGGTAGTTGGTTCTGTGGGGAGTGCCATCTAAAGAGAATCCGCGGATCGGGTTAATTAAATGATAAGCTGGCTCTTTGATTTTGTTTTCTTGGTAAACGTGTACATACCAGGGTTGAAGGTTTCGCAAAGAACAATCTTGTTATCACCACCACGGAATGGATCAGGGAAAAGAGCAACAGGTTGGATCAAGACATCCGAATCGTGACCTTCAGCTTGACCAGTGGAAGAGCCATCATAGTTCCATTCTGAGAGATCAGCAGGTGATTCAGGGACCTTGTAGACAGTCTTGGTCTTGGAACGCAAGTTGTTAAAGCCATCGATCCAAACGTATTCAACTTGAACGGCCTTTCCCGTATCAAGGGACATGTATTTCTCGAGAAGTTTGGGGTTGGATGCAACAGACATTGTTATGTGTATGTAAAAAAAGAAAAGAACAAGATGATGGGTATAGCATGTCAGCTTCTCCAAGATGGGGTATTTATTGTTTGGTGATTAGCCGATACGCGGGATCTGAAAGCATCGTCAACTCCGGGTCAATCCGTTTGCCACCGAATTGTGTAAAGATAGGGCCTGCCCGCTCCTCGGGATATTATGATCTCCCTTTTATCATTGTCTCACAATATGTTTTGTCATCATCATGAAGCATGGCTGTTATTGCGCGCAAAGGAAAGGATACAAGCGTGGGGAAAACAATGCAAACGAAAAAAAAGAAAAAGAAAGGCATCAATGCTCTGTGCATTATTACTTGATCACAAAAAGAGCAAAAGAGACAATCAATCTTCCCCACACTGATAACACCCTTTGGACTGATAAGCCGATACGAACATGGGATGATGAATTAGTATCATCTGTGATCGAGTCGTCGTCTATAAACTGTAAAGCCCAGGGCAAACCAGCACCAATCCACAAATGTGTAACCATCTCGGACCATAATCATGCTTGTCTTATCTTATCAGCCAGCTGTAGAGCAGGGCCTATTTTTTCGTGGTATCACATTCAACGCTCTGCTGTCATCAAGGTATTTTCCAAAAGCCGCTATATCACTCTCATCCAGCCAATCACATGTCGTTTATACACTCTTCCGGGGCCCTTTGCATATCCCATCAACATGCACATGATGATCACACATACTAATTCATGTTCCAAATCCGGCTCTTTTTTTTATATTTGCATATATTAATCTACTACTACCCTGCGTATGTAATAATAAAGATGATCAGCAGCGATACGACAGCCAAGGAGTACCAATGGGCCATGACCACAGGAGTTGCAGATGATGTTTGTTGTTGTTCTTTCATTCTTGTTGGGGAGTAAAAGTTATCCTGTGGATCATACTTTAATTGCTCGGTGCCGTTGTAGAAAGGAGTTTGATCGGTGCCGCATGGATAAGAACCACTACATTGCATACGACAAATCTTGCCATGGTTCATGTGCTCGCCAATATTGGTGCAGCTCTTTTCACATAATGCACGATCCAATCGACACATGGCTTCTGGGATAGGAAACGTTCCTGCTGTACGGTTGCCAATCTTCATATCATCCTTAAGTGCACATTCACAGCTCCACACCAACTTGTCAGCATCACAACTACTCGGATGATTGTTGTTGCTTGTCGTCGTCGTGCTGTTGTTGTTTCCTTTGCATGCTTCCTTGCAAGCAGCCTGAGTCGCCTCGCACAGCTTGGTTCTCTCGCCTCGGGAAATCGATTGGATTGACGCACATTGTACTACTAGTAGTAGTAGTGGCAGCATTAGTGTCAAACAAAGCAGGCATATAGAGAGAGTTTGGATTACCTTGATTGATCAGGTAAAACACCAGGATCCCGAATAGCAAAATGATCTTCATGATTGTCGTGTCGAAACAAAGAACGTATGAATTGGGTGCTCAAAAGAACCAAAGGCATGTTGATATCGATTCAAAAGAAGAAAGAAGTGAACGGTTTCAGTTGATGATGAAGGAAAAGGGTATTAAAGGGAAAAAGCAGCGAGGTGAGTACAACATGATCTATGCGCATGAATACGAGTGGGGTGTTTCACAGTTGGTGCAGGATTCGCCATGTCTTGTTTTAGATGGCTTTCAACCCCGTCGCATAGGAAACGGCTATTGAGTGGCTTGATCGTGTCCCTTCATTTCCCCTTCCATACATTCCATTGCATCGTGTACACCACTGTCGGTGGTTTGCGATATGAGAACGACATGCAGCAAGAGCGAGATGGCGAAAGCGTAGAGTTGATCGTGGTGTCGAATGAACTCCAATGGTAGGTAATAAAACACTGTTCCAGCAAGCTGGCGATCGATTTCCTCTGCAATGCCATGTGTAGACTAAGTAGGAGAGAAAAAGGTGAAGCTTATTCTTGTACAACGGTTGTCAAGCTACCATTGAAGGAAAGCAGGGTGAGTTTGGCTCGTGTGGCATTAGCACTCCGTTGCTGTTACATTGGCGCCGATCTCATTCTGTATTTACTTATGCTGTTCTTTTGCAGGACGCCCTTCCTTTCTTTTCCCAACTCTTCGCGTTTACACAACATTCATGGATCACTCCACGTTTTTATCAAAGACACTCAACAAGTAATTCATCATTCATCATCATCATTCAGCAATAGATAGCGTATCGTACCTTACATTTTACTTTGTCACAGATTCAACAAACACCCGCGGAAACGCACTCAGCTTGTCCAAGAAGCCATCCTCCCTTGGTTACGCAGCAACAAGTCAATTGCACTATCATCCTTATCAACACCATCCACCCCAAAAAAGACCAACAAGCTACGCAATTTACTCGCATCTCGCAAAGGAAAAGGTCGTCGCCAAAAGGGGTTGACAGCAGATACAGCAGCAGCATCCCACATTGATGGCCTGATACAAGTCTTGCTCGAATGGTAAATCGGCTCATTACACCACGTGGAAGCATGCGTGTACTCATTTCTTCCATTTCCCAGGTGGAAAGCCTTGATGGGTTCGGTGAGATACATCGAACATTCGCAGCAAACGCCCTATCTTGAATCCATTGTTGAGATCCTTTCTCGGTAAGCAGGAAGATACGAATGTCGTACACAATAACCGAATAATTGAAATTGATTGGACAATTTATCGTTTTAGCGAGGAATTCATATCCTATGGTAAAGAGAGTGTGCTATTGACAAGTGGTTGCAATTGTTTCTTACACGAGGCTTTTCAAATCGTTTTTCCTTAAAGACCACCATCTCCTTGCCTCCGACCTCGGCTGTGAAACAAATAGCGATGCCACCAATCTCAGATCAAGTTACCTCGAGTTGCTCAATGATACGGTTCAATACGCCATCAACAGTGCCAATGCAAGCACCGTACATCCTGGGTCCATGATATTTTGTGCACATGTCTTGGGTAAGCGTGTGTCCTCTCATCGTGCATGACTTGCATCATCCAAGGGTTACATTTCACTAAAAAAAGATACATTTTATTCAGCTTTAGGCTTTTTCAAGTTGCCAGGATTAGCTTATCACCTTCTCAATCTTTTACCTGTACAACGCCGGACACTATCCCGAATCCGTCAAGAGCTCTTATGCAACGCCCCATCTTGCACAACCACCTCCTCGTCATCATCATCACCATTATCATCATCGGCAGCAGTAGTAGCTCCTGACATGTAAGGCACACCACTATCATCCCTTGCGCGCACATCGGTGTGGGATTTGGATTGATAACACAGGAGTTGATAGTGTATCCCGATTGTTCAATGCTATGCCAAACCATCTCCATCCCTTAATGAAAAACCCATCAGGACAAGTGGACAGCAAGTATATGGCAGTATGTACCATCAAATTTGGCGATCATTGGATATCAAGGTACGTACGAATGAAAAAAAATGGTCAAAGGGTATTGATATTGACATCTCCTTTTCGCTAGGTGGCAAACAAGTGATCGTGCATTTTACATCCTTTTCTATCAACGTTATCACTTGCATCTGAGGACATATATAGATGCAGCTACGCTTCTCCCGAATGCAAGCACATTGCTATTATCAGAAAAGAACCCATTACTTGCATGGTCACCAGGGTATCTTCACTTTGCAGCTTACATGGCGGACAAGATTGTGCATTTGCTGCAGTATGACCCGGCAACAACTATGGCCTCATTATTGTTGAATCCCAATTCCACCACAACGACGACTATTTTGTCCCATCCCCAACAACAAAAGGAGGCACCATGTAACACAATGGATACACAAGCGAGTTTTGAAATTGCCAAGAATGATCTACGTTCGGCATCGCCACCTCCATTTGCCACTGCAATAAGCGGTAGAACGGCTATTGACGAAAGCAGTAACAACGCCATGTTTTTGCCCGAGTCAAGAAGACAAAGCCTTGGAGCGGATACCATCCAATGTAGCAAACCCATGGTGTTGCGATCCATGGTGATCAATATGAGTGCATTGGATCAGCAGCAGCATCAGCATCAGCAAACATCTGCATCTGGTAAACCACGCACATTGGATGCAACATCGCGCCGTTATGCATATTGCCTTGTTTCGTGTGGCATGCCTTTGAATGATATCACGGGACTGCTTCTATTTCGAGACATGCTCAACGTTTGGATTCGAACTATTGCCAAACAAATCAGGTTGACTGTACCGACAAGTGTATTTTGTAAGTGTTGTTGTTTGGGTAAATCATGATGCAAGGCAAATCGATAACAAACAATTTCCCATTAGGCTTTCTCGACTTTGTTGAAGATCTCTTTGTGGAAATACAAAAGTAGGTTTATACTACTCCTTCTCCTCCTCTTTTTCGTCATTTGTACCTTTTCCTCTCCTACCCCCCTTGATTACTGATATCATGATGCAATTTACAGGAAAGACAATCCAAGAAGCACGTTTGATTATCTTGATCTCCCATTCGTCATTCACACCCTGAACATCATTCTTGTGCAATGCGACAATACGATCGTCCAAATGCGAGCACTTGCGTTCATCTACACCCAATTTGCATCCTTGACGGAGAGCCATCCCGAGTATTTGACGATGCTATGCAACCGTATCTTGCTTCATCCTTTTGTATTTGAGAGGTATCTCACCCATTGGCACTCTGGTATTCGCGTGATTTTCCTTCAATGTCTTTTTTGGCGCCTAAGACCCGTATGGTGCTTTGCCACTGTTCCCTGGAAACCAACCCCGGCTTCTTCATCTTCAACTACAACAAAAGAATGCAATGGCAAACATTGTTGGCATAGATGGCACCTAGAACATCCAAGTAGGTATCATCCAAATCTTTATTTGATTCATCCATTGACATTGACACGTGTTGCTATGTTATAATAAGGTTTCACAGCCAACATCCCGCATTTCAGGAAGTGCCGCTTAGCCATCTTGTATGTAACACAGCATGATCGTTGAGATCTTTTTTTTTTGCGTGTGACAACTATCCTAATCACTTTTTTTACAGGGAAGTGCATATTGCCATGGAGACAATTCTTTCAGCTTTTCATCGACAATACGATCATCTTCAATCAATGTATGGCAGCATCATTGATCCTCGTGAGAGACATGCAGAGTTGATTCGACTTGAAGCTGATGATGTTCAAGCACCTACTCCTTTCCTCCCTGGCACTTTTGCATCAACACTAAACCGCCCCGAATACGAGGATGCATCACACAGACAGCAGCAACAACCAGGGAAGCCAAAGTCAACACGCTTACGAGCTTCACATTCTCGAGAAGAACAACAGAAACGGGCAACACGGCGATTGAGCAACATTTACAATCATACAACGAGACGATTATCAGCTGTATTTTCCTCGTCAGCAACCTCCTTACCTTCTTCACCTGATGAAAAGTTTTCTACTTTTTCACCACGGCGTTTTAGCGAACCAAAGCTGTCATTGATGGGTCCAACGGCATCATCCACCCGTTCACCATTACCTTGTGATGAGTATTACCTCGTGCCAGATGCATACAAATCCAACACCCATAAGCGCAGCATGGTGACCTATTTTTACCATACCAGCAACAGCAGTCTTGGTGTAGATGATCATTTCAGTGCCCACGGTGATAAAGTGACTAGCAGTGCCAGCACCAGCACCAGCACCAGTAGTAGCAGCAGTCGATGTGGTGGTGACGATTCAGCTTATGCGAGTGGCACATCTACTCCCATCAAACCACCCATGGTACACCCTGATGTCTCAATTTCAGAATCGATCCAAGATGCAAGTACATGGCAATATTCACCCTTGGTTCACAAGTATGCCATCAAAGCAGTCGAGGAAATGGAGCGTATAGCAAAATGCAAAACACCACCAGCTGCGACATCCTTGTCAGTGGATTGGCCCAAGGCATGGTCTTTTCCAATGGCACTTTAATATAGTCTTTTATATACCCTGTTTTATGATAAATGTAATGTATCATTCTATTTTATATACAACGTGGATATTCCCATTTCATATATAGCTTGCATGGGCTTCAGTATGCAACACCTCAATGGATCTACATCGGCATATGAAATGTTTTCGTGCATGATTCACCTCTTCTTGAATTCACCCAGCTTGCTTCCTTTTCTTCCTTACCAGGTCACCCACCCCATTGGCCACCCAATCAGCATTGGCGCGTCGATTGACAATAGCCTTGATCTCTCTACTCGTGTGCAACTCTCTCTCATTGAAGGGCTAGTCGCCGTCTTTTCACAACCTAGCAATGGCACCTTGTACCTGCACAACTATCGATCGTCGTTTATCCCATTTGACGTTGCATCAGACCCAAGCACGAGCTCGCAATATCAGTGATATGAGCATGCATTTGCTATTGCAGAAGTTTCCTTATTAAGAGTACGTGGATGAAGCAATTGTTCCTATAGTAGTTATTCTAATCCCTGTATAGGTACTTTACCCGCTCTCGTTTTTGTCCACGTCGTTGCATATGCCATCAAGACCCTGCTGGTAAGTGTCGAGGATAGGTTCTATGTCATTTGTATAGGGTCGAAGTGCTCATTCATTGTTCTTTGCCATCATTCATGTAGTTCTTTGTTGCTTTATCACTTGTGTTCATTGTGTCATTTGGCTCTCCGTATTCGGTGATGGAACCTCCGTGGTATGATTTTATATACCTTTTATATACCTTTTGGATTGGGTATTGATATACGTTTGAGTAGCGATTGACCTATACAGTGGTACATTACCTCATGTGCTTGAAGGCAACACCAAGTAGGAAAATCAGCTCGGCGACATTACTACCTGGATCATTGTATGATATCATGGCAAGACAGCTCATCAAGATCCATCGAGCGCAAAGCATGAGGATCAACGAACGATCTTTACCGCCCAAGTCACATGACACGATTGAGGATGAAGGAGGGAGGAAAGTAATGGGTAACATCGATTTGCTAGTGAATGTTTGCAATAAATCGCTCTCTTTTTCGACGAATGTATACGCTTTTATACAGGATAATACAAGGGTGGATATTCTACACTATAGCTTAGATAAGCGCTTTTGTTGATTTTCATAAATGGCTTTCATGTCTTTTCTTAAAATCTTGCCAGCGCCATTTTTAGGAATGGCATCAATGATCCTGACTCCACCACGTAGTCGCTTATGGTTAGCAACACGCGCATCAACCCAATCACGGATAGTGGTTTCAAGTTCGGCCTTGTTTTGCATGAGATGTTGATGGGTGACAACAAAAGCCAATGGGATCTCTGTGCCTTGCGTCTCGTCATAAACGCCAATGACACCTGCATCGGCCACGTGGGGACATTGCAACAACACTGCTTCCAATTCAACAGGCGCCACTTGGAATCCCTTGTATTTGATCAATTCCTTGATGCGATCCACAACATAATAGTTACCCTCTTCATCGACGCGAACGATATCACCGGTATGGAACCATCCATCTTTATCAATCGTATTTGCTGTAGCTTCAGGATTATCCTTGTAGCCTTGTGTGACATTGGGCCCTTTGACGCATAATTCTCCAGGTTCATTCACACCTAGCTCTGTTTGGCTTGTGAGCATTTCCTCCCCCTTTTTCTGTTTTTCTTTCTTTGCTTGGTTACCTCGTCCACTGGACGGATCCACGATTTTGGCTTTCATAAAAGGTGCCAATCGGCCAACCGAATCAGGTCGTGCCCATTCTGGCAGCTGATAGGTGATCACCCTAATAGATAAAAAACTCCTTAGTAAGATGATCATCATCGTCAACAAGAATGGTATTTCCTTCCACTTACGGGGACATTTCAGTAAGGCCGTATCCTTGCGTCAATGGCACTTTGTATTTTGCTTTGAATCGCTCAATAATGGCCGGTGACAATGGAGCTGAACCACAGCCCACTGATTGTAGGCTCGAAAAGTCATACTCATCACACTCTGGGCGATTCACCAGGTGGATGATGATGGGTGGTGCTGCTGTAAAATCGGTCACTTTGAAGCGCTGGATGGTATCACATAATGTGCGCACTGAATACTTTTCCACAATGACAGTTGTAGCACCTTGGGGGATACCCGAATTCATGTATCGATGTACACCTAAAATAAAAATGCCACGTTGTTATTATCATTGTTGCTTGTTGAATGCATATCCATACCTGAAAAGTGATACAATGGAATCACAGCAGCCATCACTTTATTGGGTGGGGGATCCATCTGAAAGATGCCTGCAAAATTGTTGGTCTCCATTACCATGCTAATCACATTGTAATGGCTATAAACATGTATGATGTTAGCTTTGATTTTCTTATCCACAAATGCAATTTACCTTGTGACCACGCCTTTACTCTTTCCAGTGGTGCCACTGGAAAAGCATAAGTATGCAGTCGTATCAACCGATTCTTGGTGGGTCATTGGAATAGGGCTCAATGCGGGTTGCGAATAATCGATAAAGACATCCGACCATAAAGGAACACGTTGTTTAGGATCGCGTGTAATAGAAAATACGCTTGTTCGTGGCAACCCCACTGCAGCTGCTGCATCTAATGCGATATCCAGGTTGCTTGGATGGGCAATCAACACCTTGGCATTACTGATTTGAAGCTGTCGCTGAAGCTCACTTGAGACGTATGCTGTATTAGCAGGGCTGATGGCGATACCTGCTGACATGGTTCCCATATAGATAGGTGCCATATAGATCTGGTGGAGAATCACATGATGATGCATCAGGTACATGTATATGAGCGGGTTTCAAACTTACATTGTTAGGTATAAAAGTGCATACAGCATCGCCCCTTTTCAATCCAAATCGTAAAAGAGCAGCATGAAACGTCCCAGTCATTCGACGGAGCCCATAAAGTGTAAGCGATTCACCGGTACGTGCATCAATGAATAATGTGTGATGTTCAGGCTTTTTGTATTGGTTGCTCAGCACCATATCCACCACATTGGTGTATTCATATTGTTTCGCATACACATCCTCGTTGTTGCTCATCGTGGATTACGTGAAAGAAAGGGGATAAAAGTGGTGTGTGAGCTCACTCATTTTTATGCAACATGAAAGAGCCTTATAAATCCATTTCCCGCCGAAGCGATGTGATAGCTGTTCTCTCAGGGGTTATTGGGAAGATCGGTTTTCCCACATCTGGCATTTCTTTGTGTTGCTTTTATGCGGCGAATAAGGATATACACAATAAAGAGCAAGCATTCAACTATCCTTTTACTAATACTGTTGACGAGCCGGTGCATGGCAACACACACGCGAAGGAAATGCGGCACAATATGCCTGCAACAGTGATGTATAGTCTCTCTCGCTTTCTGTCCTTGCATCATACAATCGATGACCAAAGTTTTTCCCACCAACGCCGCACTAGTCAATAGTTTCCCACAACCGTTCTCCCACCATAAGCTGCAATGACGAGTGATGTTTAATAGCTCTAAGGTAACGGAAAAATGATAAGCAATAACTGTACAAGTTTTTTTTAAAAGGTAAAAGTACAAGGATAGGAGGAGTAGGAGTAGTAGTAATGTACAACAATAACAATAGATCAGCATCGACAAGATAACTTGCCCATGTAATAGCAAACGGCCATCAGTAGCAAGATGATAGAGAGCTGTGGACCCGTAAATGACAGCTCATCGCTAATGACAAGGACACTGCTGTTCCTCCTTCGGATAAACTTTTACAAAGAATCGTGAGCTCCGCGTTCATATGATGCACATTTCCATCCTCCCCATTTCTCTTACCTCTCGTGCACTAGCTGGCGTACTAGGCGTAGCCAAACGCCCGTTTGCATCTTGAAACCCTATTTGGTGTCGGTGTTATAAAGGCTGGGCATGAATCATGGCACAAAAGATAATGCTTACATGGTGGTGGATCATCCCAATTGGTCTTGACAGGCTCAGGACGTCGTTTATAGCTATGTTCTTTATCCTTGGGTGCGATGGCAGGCGAGTCTTCAAAGTGCACTGATGGGGTGGTAGAGGTAGGTGGTGAGGGTGGTAATAATTGATGGGTTTCCATAAACTCTTCTTCCTCATCCTCGTCCTCTTCTTCTTCCACAGGCTCATCTTTGAGAGATACACCGTTACATGTGTAGCGAGGAGTTGATCCTGGTGGGTTTGGAATGATGGCTGCTTCAATGGCACAACCATCCATGGTATCATCTTCGGTATAAATTCTGATACCCATATCATCCGCTCGTAGCTCAACACGTACACCTTGACTTGGTTGAGTTGTTACGTTGAATCCACAACTATACATGCTGGTATGTGTACGGATATCAGTGCACCATAATGAGATGGCATCCTTTTGCTGTTTTTGTTGATGGTGATGGGATGGCTTGTGCTTGGCAATGAGAGTGATTCGATAGCTCTTGTCTTTGGAATCAAATGACTCGTGGGTGATTTTGCCTGCCACACGTCGGATATAAGGTGGACATCCATGTTGTCTCAAATACCATTGTACACGATCGACACATGAAGGTACATCCATTGTCAGCTGACGAACGATGGCTGGTGGTAAGGGTGCCGTGCCTTCCAATTCCATGTGCGATACAAATGTCACTTGCACACCTATGCTTGATTTACCACGTCGAATGGGGTGTAATGCCCAGCCATAGACAAAGATACGTCCTCGTACATGCGTCTTTGCCTCAGGGATCATATTGTCGGATACACTGGCACTGGCAACATAGATCGAACCCGTTGCTGGATCACTGTCAATCGCATTCAAGAGCGAGAAATCACGGCTGTGGATAGGGAACATGCTACGCATTTGCGTATACACCAAGTACTCTTTTTGTGAAAAGCGTTCAACTACTTGTCCCATTTCAAAATGTTCATCCCCTTATAATAAAATCCCATCCTTAGTAAAAAGTAAAATGAAAATGGGCCTTTGATTTCCACTACTTACAGATCTTTCGAGCACCAAAGCTTTGGATCACTGAGCATACTTGTTCTGGTGTCCAAGTACCATTGACAACGACATCACCACGTAGGATGGATAATGCAGACCCTTGAACGGATTTGGAATAAAGCTTTGCACTGTTCTTTTGCCCAATTTCTTTCCACTCGTCGAGATCACTGGATGCCAATCGTTTCAATGTATCCAAACATTGCTTACGTGCAGTGCGATGCCTTGATGGCGGGTATAATCGACTCGAGGGTTGAATCAATGGGTGCGGAAGGAGGTTGTTGTTGTTGTTGCTAGGTTGTTCATTGTTGGATACCAATGATTCATTGGATGCTGCTGGTGTTGTTGTTGTTGTGGTCAATGATCCATTATGGCTGCTACGAAGCGATGTCTCATCGTCTGCAAATCGAATTTTTCTCGTCATGGAAGATGAACGTGATGTTGCTGGTGATTCATTTGATTGAAGCGAGGAAGAACGTGGTGGTCGATTTGATGAGATACCAGAGTTGGGATGAAGATGATGGCTAAATTGGATCATGTGAGTCTATGCATTGTTATTTCACTTTTAATGTAATTACCTTGATGATGATTGTAAAATCGATACGGGTTTCTTTTGTGACCTTGAGGGTGATGATGATGATGATGATGATGGATGTTGCTGTTGTTGTACGGGTGGTGTCATGATGGATGGCCTACGTTGACCCTCAGGTAATGATGACGCTGTGGCACTCATTGGTTTTCTACCAGCCTTTTGCATGAGGTATTGTTCAACTTCGGCAATGATGAGGGGTCGCCGTGCTAACGATTTCTTGGTCAAGCCTGCAATCCATCCCTTCACGCTTTCTTGGGTATAAAAAGTGACCTTGGTAGATGGCGGTGATGTGTGAAGTGGCTTGAGAACCCATCCTTGCAACTTCATTTGTCGTCGATTACGTCCTGGCACCTTTGGAAGTTTGGGAGTCTCAATACTTGTACATGCAAACATAATGACACCATCAGCTGAACATTCGATCCTTTCAACCAAGGCAACATCGTACGCTCTAATAATACAAGAGGTGAGTATGATTATTACAGCCAAAGTGGATGGGGATACTTACTTTGATGCTGCACTAGGACGATAGGCTTCATAGGTGATGGAAGTGGTTTCATTCAGATTTTCCACAAGGCGACCTTCATCAAATCTATAAACACCGACACAGCCACGTGGATTAGACTCTCTTTTTGTGTGATCGAACCCCTGAAAGCGAAGCACACACTTACTGAGTATCCCATAACTTCCGCATGCCGATCACATAAAATACTGCTTGAGGTGAGAATCCATGAATCACCGTTTCTCCTTTGAAAATGGGTGCTTTGGTATCCAACATTTTGCTGTTGTTGCTGTTGTTGTTCTTTGTCGATTGATGCATGTACACCATGACACCACTCTTATGCTTGAGTGTCTTTTTCCATGTCTCCTCCTTTGTCAGTTGTTTGATGGCAAGCATGGCCTGTTCAGCTTGGTAATTGTGATAACTCTTTGAGCTAAATAACGGGGATGATCCGTTGCTGCTACTGCTACTGCTGCTGCCGGCTTTTGTGTCACCAGCACCGGTGGTGGAATTGTTGGAAGATACGTCGAGATACATGGATTGTTCAAAAGAGCGCATAGAGGGTCGAGGTGCTGCTTCATCGTCGTCACTAAACGGGTATGCTGGACGCGTTGCAATAGGACGTAGCTGATCAGGAGCTGCAGCAATGTCTGATTCGGCTTCGGTGGAGATGCCGCTATCGCGATCGTGGCTGAGAACGTGAACAGGAAGGAATGCGGTGTTGGTGGAAGACGAAGACGAAGAACGCGGAAAAGACATTGTTGAATAGAGGCTTTCCCCCGTTATTTATATAAAGTGGCACTATTTGCTGTTGTGGTGTTGTTTCTTAAAAAGTTGTAAAGTAGAAGGAAGAGATGAATTACATGTATCAAATTAACTCTACGCGTACAGTGCAAAGCGGTTCACCAAATTACATGCACTTTGTGTAACCTAACACGTTGCCTTGGCTCATGATGTATATGCTTATTTAGTATGTGCCTTGAATGCCGCTTTCATCAATTCTATAAGCCCAATCACCGCCCAACAACCCCTACACATTATTCATCTATCGCATTGCTGATGCTGATGGTCGTGGTGGCTGTGATTCCTCCTTGAATGAAAAGTTATGATAGGGGAGAAGAGGTTTAAAAGAAACGAGTATATACCACCACATGCACAAGTCTCCAAACAATGATAGGTTGCACGAGCCTTTTTTGCCACTGTGATGAACAAGGGGAGGAGATCAAGCCTAAAGCCAATAAGAGAGTGTGCTTCTCCTTTTGACGAGTATAGTAACATGGATGCAATGTGAAGATCCCTTCACCGAGAAAATCGTTGCCCCGTGCACACTCTTAACATGGCCACTGTATTATAAAGTGTGGGGACTTCGTGGATGACCTCCGCTTTAGTTTCAGACACGAGGGGCACGCACCCTATTAAACCTCTTGGCTCAAAAGACAGTCGTATCAGTATTTGCATTGAACAATTTCCATTTCGAGTAATCCCATACATATCAACGTATGTCATTATCATAATAAACATTGATCGGATGCTTTTATATAGCATGACAGGTTTTACAGTCATTGATACCAATCATTCTAAACATGCTCTTCCAAAAAGAATCAACTTTTGAATAACGATGAAATCTATGTACAATGAATCTAGAAAGAGAAGGGTGTAGCGTTGGATGGGTGCTATTGTTGTGTATTGCCGAAGAGCGCCGAGAACGACTCTTGATCATATTGGAGTAGTGCATCGATATCATCCTATTCATTGTCTCTTTTAATCAATGTCCGTCCATGAACACAAACCTACATTCATTGTCTTACCTTGGCTGCATCTTGTGTACAAGCTTGGAATAAGCGAAAGGTATCTTGTAATGTGTGTCGCATTTCCTTATCAGAGGATGACTCTCCCTTGGAATAATGAAGCCAACAAGTCGCAAGCCCCTTGAGAATGACTCCTTTAAATCGAGTGATCCTACCCAACATTTCATTCAATCCTTATGTCCATACATCACATGTATAAATATATATATACCTTGGCCAGCATGTATGCATCACAGTTTGTAATGATTCCAAGGCTATCTTGTTGAGCTCGTAAATAGACATGCCGAGCGCTTCAGCAATAGCTCCAATGGTGGGCTGTAAAAACAGGTCAATAACAAAATTGATCATTGCGTCGAATCCATCCATCCACTTGCTTTGAGATAATAAACACCCAAAGGTCCTAGTTCCATGTAAAGTCGACTAACGGGCCGTAATAGTGCTTCCAAATGTCGTGTCTTGGTTGCTGCAGATTGAAACCCAAGGATGACACCATTTACCATCACTCTCTCATATAACTGAACCCGTTCTTTGCTTCCAGAAGCCTTGGTCTTGTCGATAAGATCCAGCAGACATGGATACGCTGCATTGAGTAATTGCACGTCGTTCTCTTGGGATAAATAAGTGAGACAATGAAAGAGGGCCTATAAAAGAGAGTCAATGATACCTTCCATCAAGAATCATACTTCTTTCTCATGCCTGCCTCAATATAAACATTATCGATGGATGAACGGATGAGTAGCTTTGAATCCAGTTTTGCCACAAGTTGTCGAATGATATTGGCTCCACGCACTTTGTAGGAAACGTCATAATCATCCAAGATCAACAAAGTCGCTGGTATCATTTGGGGTAAAGCAGCACCCAATTTCTCGCCCTGTACGTGTATATGTAAATCACCCAACGAATATGCATAGTAATCCCATATGCTAACTTACAGGGCAAGTATTGACGATCCATTCAATCACGTTTACTTGGTCGTACCCATGCTGTGTCTCCTTCCACGTCTGGTTTTCCAAATGCTCAGAATCAATGCGTGGATCAGCATAGCGCGTTTGCCGAGTGTCGAGTGCAGGATGTTGATGGCGAGCAAATGCTTGTCGTAAACTGCCAAGTACGTCCGTTAAATGAGTTGCCAGGATATGATTAGAGCGGTCGGCAAGGCGATCATTGGCATCGCAACAAGTGCTGGTATAAAAGTGGAGGAATGCTTGCTGGTGGTGATCGTCGTCCATGTCGGGTTTCAAGAGAACCTGCCCAGTCTGTGATGTGTGGAGCCCAAGTGTCTACTTTCGGGTGCATAATTTAATTCACGTGATCCTTCATTCATTATGCTAGAAACCCACCGTTGCTATGTAGCGAGGTATAGCGTGAATGTTTATTATGCAATGTAAATGATAAATGGGAATAATATACAATGGATGGATCCTATTTCCAAGCATCTCTCTTTGACTTGTCAATGATATCAATGGGGTCTCCTCCTTTCAACATGTGCAATTCTCCGGAATCCCAGAACTTTTCGAAACGCTCCCTGACATCAAGAATACCCTTATTGTTCTTGTACTCCTTGAACCACTCTGGATGTTCCTTGATCTGCATTTGCAACCACTGGACATAATATACGGACTTTTCATAGCTGCAACGAGGAGATTTGCCATCCTTTTTCAATGATACTTGGCCATCCTTCACATCAATCATGCTCTTGGTGATCTCTCTGTACTCGCGGAACAACAAATAGTGGTCATTTTTGATCTTGAAAAAGAAATCCTTGTCGTCTCGCTTGCATCGGATAACAATGCCTTCAATGTCTCTGTTTTTGTATTTGCCTGATTCCTCAATTTGATCCGCCAATGCCTTGACTTCATCCAAGGTGTCATACTTGTCATAATCAATGCTCCTGAATCCAAAATGACGTGCGATTTCCTGGACCTTTTCAAATTCCAAAGTGCGCAGTGAAGACGTGTTGTAGTTGATGCCATGCAAATAAAGACCACTCTCTTTGGGATCGTATCGTAGCACATGTTCTTCGAATTGATCATCACATAGCTCTGCCACCAAAGTCACTTTGTGCTTGTAAATCCACGCAGCCAGGTCGCTTTCTTTGAGATTGACGGATTCGAGATGTCGTAGCAGCCACCGATAACCCACACCGCCATGCATGGTAGGATCATCTTGTGGTATTGGGAGCGTGTGTTTGGAAGTGACCACCGCGGTTGATGCATTCAGGGCACCGATAAAGATAATACATCCATTCTCCTTGGCTGTTGCATAGTATGGACCTTTTGTATCAGACTTTAGACTAGGCCACTGTAATAAGATAGATGGGTGGTGAGTATAATCATAGTAGCATTGGCAATCCATCTTTTATTTACCTGTGTACTATCCGTTTCATGCAAGTTGAAAAACTTATCATAGCCTCGCACCACAATCGAATACTGAGCATTCACATCGTCCAATGTAAACAAGCCTCTCGCCTGTGTTGGCAATCCATTCCTGTTCTTCTTGTAAATGTTCTCGCGTACAGTCCAGCTTCGCCATGTCGTGGTTGTATCTCGCACATTGAACACCTTGGACCGCACCTTTCGACGATCTCGCTCTTCCAGGTCATGTAGCTTGTCGACGGTTTCGTGATCTCGAGACGATGGGGCAAGTATAGGGATATCCATGGTGGATGCACTTGGTGGTGTGGTGGTGTCGGAGACAAGGATTGAAAGAAGCTACACTGAACTCACAATGTCGTTTTTATGCTGCCTTTTACATGCAACATGAGTCACTACTGCGCCTTGTTGCTGCGGATACAGCATTCCACCACAGTGGTGGATACATTCCATTGGTACAAGTATCTCCTCTTTTTATCGCCATGAAGATTCAACACTGCTTACATAGAGTATGGAAGCCCGTAGCTACTTACATAGTAGTGCTCGACAAGACACACGATGTTGCAAAACGTGCATCTTTATTACAGCCAAGTCAAAATTGCTGGTGAGATTGATCCTCTTTATGTACTACCTCAAGCTACGTCGAAAGCCAAGCACTGGATCTTTTATTACAGAGACAATCATGTATAATAAATCATCATTTTGTCAATAAACGCCCATTACTTTTATATTCTCCATACTTGCAGGGAGATAAGCTTTGGCTATTGCATAGTTGGTGAGAGGATTACAAGCTTTAGGGAAAAGGATGAGGGAAGAAAATCATAATCCAACAACACGCACTATGCACATTGCCACCCAAGAAAAGCACACCACTTGGCTTACGCATTATCATTTTCAATTAGAAGACAAACTAAATGCTACTTGATAACGCATTATCAAACATACAAAGAGAATAGTATATATGTTTATCAAAGAACATGGTTTATTGATTACGATACTAGAATAAACAAGTAGCTGTTGGTTTCCTTAAGCCAAGGCTCAAGTACTCACAGGGATGACCACGAGAAGGTCGCTACTCAACCATCCCCAACCTCTACCTGTAGGCACCAATTCCAGGTCGACGAGGCCGCTTGTTCATGCCACTTTAAGGTGCCGGACTTGACGCGCCAAAACCTCGTTTGGAAGAAACCATGCTTGTGTCTTTGAGATAGAAAAGTGTAGCATGTGTTTAGTGAGCGAGAGCAAATAGGTTAAGAATACTTATCTTCCCTCCTAGTTTCCTTCCAATGAATCCTTTAGCATTACCCAAACAAGAGCCACTTGTTGGTATCTTTGGATAGCGGTCTTTTATTAGTGCACCCTGGACACTGCTACCGGTCTGCATTTCGTCCTCGGCCAAACGCCCATACAACACGCCGACACGTAGTGGGCAGCCAGTTTACGAGGAATGGCCAACATCCTTGCTACCTCCGTATCAAGATCTGCTGGGATTCATGGAAGCCTTGTGTGGAAACCGGGCTAGTGAGGGGCGGCAATAATGATCCATCCCTTGTCCCTATAAACAACATGACAATGTGAGCAAGACAAGTGACAAGAAACGTAAAAAGCAACTTACTATGGCCAAAGCATCGTAAAAGTGTGAAAAGGACGGAAGAGTTGGGGCAATCAAAGGCTGCGGAAAATGGGCGTTTTTATGAAAGAGAAGATAAATGAGAAGTAGCGGCTCTCAGAACAATGGTCATGGGTTTGTGTAACCTGTTAACTTTTCCCATGGTCTTTCTCGTGTCGTCCCATCGTCCCATTGACACGCACATACACACACCACACACATACAGGTGCCCATATGTACGCGTTTCCTTCCTAAAATTATAGCGTGTTGATCTTGTATGGTGATAATGGTGGTTGTTAAAGTAAAGGAAAAAGTGCGTGTAAGCGAATGTAGAAAAAATATGAATCTTCTCGATACAAGTTGGGTATCGCAGGAACTTGATGCAGCTCTTGGCACAACCCAATTATAGTTCGGTGCGCGTTCTTCATGAGCAGCTTGTGCCGAGATTTCAACATTGGTTGGAGCAATACATGCGCTTTACAGCATGCATCCCGAATCAAAATGATCACGTCCACTCGTTACACCACATATGATCACGCCCACTCGTTACACAAATACGCAGTACACGAAATCCGGTCAATTGGTAAAAGATGTGGTGCATATATATTAAAAAATGAAACAACTCTAACGACAACCATGAATTGCTATTAAGATATCCAAGGATTGAAACGAAAAGTGCTGGTTCTTCGTATTCTTGTTTTTTTTTGTTATTTGAGTAGTGGCACTCGAAGAAAAATGGGCACTGATTGAAGGGGATACGTAAAAGAAGTCGACAACAAAGAAGCCTTTGTTTACACTTTCATGATAAGGAATGTTCCCACCCTTTTCTAATCTACTTTATCTGCTCCTCTTCACATGCATGGCCATGATTATGTATCTCACGGATGTGTTGCGCATTAAAACATACTGTGACAAGAACGATAAATGATCGTGTCGTGTAAGTGAATGACTCTTGACAGGATAAAGTGATGGTATTGACAGAAGCTCATGGTGGAAGTTGTTGCAGCCAAGCTGTCAAACGCGTCAACAGTATGATTTTGACATGTGACGACGATGTGGAGCGAGTTGTGGATTGATTTGTGCGACCGAACCATTTTGTCCTGCTGCCTGTGAAACCTCCCCCCAAAGATCCAGGCCTTGTCACCGAACTATTAACACGCTTCCATACCCAATTTCACAGCTACATGCATCCAGCTCAACAACGCCACTGGATTCCTCAAGATTGTGATAGGTAGGGATAGGTATGCACTCGTGCCACATTGTATCACAGCCCACTCTTTCTTAAACGTTATGATTTAGGCTTTCAATGGATCAAGCATTTGGAAGAAGCACCATTATTGGATATCATTGCTGTGAGTTTTATTATTATAGTTGAAAATACAATCATCTATTTAAACCTGTATACAATCCTCCCTATCGTCTATCGGCATATGAACAAGGAAGCTTTAACGTATGTAATGTGATAAAAGCAACAAAAACGTCTCGATACGATGATGTAATGATCCAATCTCTCTTTCCGATCTTGGAATTTCGATCCTCCCTTTCATTCCAGAAGCCAACCACGTGGATCACATAGAATCTGTGGGCCCCATTGTGTCATTGTATCCTTGGTTGCTGCCGTCATAAACATCTTCATCCATGATCGCAAGCTAGTTGCTACGCGTGCCTCGACTCCAATATCCAATGTCATCCATGGGGCCAAACCGCCTTTCGACAAAGATATGCAATCCCTCTCATACACGCCATCCAATCCATCACCATCCTCAGCCGTATCCACGTGACATGTTCCATCCTTCCTACTGATGACGAGCCGAATAATCAAAGCAATCTTCCAAATCACTGCATTTGAATCCATCCATCCATCCATAACCATTTCAAGTCCAATAAGAAAGAGCAGCTCAACCAGGTGAATGTTGCTTGTATTGCGGTGCATCTGATAGGTGATATAGCGTCATCCATAGGAGTTCGTACCCATCAAAGCAAGTTGCTGCACGTAAATCCATACAATGGCTATCCGCTGTTTACGTGAAAAGGGGTGGAAGACAAGTTGCTGCAAGTAAAGAACGCTGTTTGAGACAACAGAGCAAAGGCATTGCTAATCACAACTGCTGGATGAATGCTGCTATCTTTGGCTGTGGCAGAAAGGTGTGCAAGAGCGTGTGTTGTAGTAGAGTGACAAGGTTTTGACCACCATACGGGACAAAGGAGAAAAGGTTTTGCTAATTGCAACCGCTGGAATGAATGCTGTTACGATTGGTCGTGGTAGAGGAATGTACAAGAGAAGGTGTAGTGTCAGAAAAGGTGTGTTGTAGTGGGGTGCACACGCCATGGACTTGCCATTCAGTCAAAGGCTTTCGGATCAAGGCAATCGTAGGATGGACATGATGGGTTGAAACAGGACAATCGTTCGCAGGTGATAGTTGTACTTGAATGGGCCAACAGTTGAGAGTGGGAGGAAGAGGCAAGAAGCTGAGAGTGGAAGAGTTGCAAATTAACTTGAATGTTCTGATACTTGGATGATACTTCTCTGTTTGAGTGTTGTTCAGTCAAATCCTCTCGTATCAAGAAAGTTGAATGATGAGCATGCTGGGCTGGAGCAGGACAATCGTTCACATGCATTGAATTGGACAACAAACGTGAATGGAAGGAATGGTCTATTAGCCGGCAGTTTACAAATAACTTACCAATTTGATTCTTCTGATATTGGATGATGTTTCTGTGTTTGAGCGTTTTTCAGTCAAATCTCATCGGATCAAGAAAGTTGAATGCTGGGCATGCTGGGCTGGAGCAGGACAATCGTTCGCAGGTGGTGGTTGTATACTTGAATGGGGCAACAGTTGAGAATGGGAGGAAGAGGAAGGAGTGGAAATTAAATACACAGGTCGGATACCTCTTGTATAAATGCATGAACACTGTATACATCAATCCTTGTTATTGTGATTGCCCCTCTCCAACTTGAAACTTGGCCAGCACCTTCGCTGGATCTGCTGATCAACATGGTTTTAAAATGATATCATGCTCATTAGAAAATATTGAATGGAAGGGTGTAATGGGGCATTGACTATGCAAGTCGCACTACATAGGCAAAGTGATGTTGACACACGCGTCGTTGACAGGTTGCTGCATAAATGGGATGGCGGCTAATTTTAGAAAGGTGTATAAACAACATCCAATAAGGAAGATGTATAAGTTATCATGTGTATGACAAGTCATGGTTCCCATATCACATTGGAGTGTGAGGGTGGAGTGCGCAATTTGCATAAACCCAATCAATACAAATGCACACGGATCTGGCAGTAAGCTATATCGTTGGGGAGTCATCGTCGTGTGAAACTTACCTTCTCTCTTTAAGGTCATCCCACTCTTTATTGTATCAGAAAAGGATAGGGAAGCATTAGCCGAGATCAGGCACAAAGGCTCAAACACGAAAAGTGGCCATTAAGGAAACAGAGTGGGGTCGATTGTTTTTCTTTCGGGATGTTTAGGAGATGGCAATGCAATGGAGATTATCGGAGACCATAATCCATCAATGCAAGAGCAGCAAAGTGGTGCATGATCACCAAAAATGACGCATAATCGGGATAGACGCAGTCTATAGTATAGTCTATAATAAGAAAGAGATGTCGCAATGGAAAAACAAACAAGCGATATAGTGTCTTTGAAATGCATAATAAACAAGCAGAGAAGGGAAACCCTTTAGTAACGATGATATGAATACATAATAGAAACATGGAGGGCTGGATGGGGATGATACAAGGGAGCAGATAGTCATCATCGCGCGTCATTGATATGGTAACTAACATGATGAGACTATTTATCTATCGGAATGCGCATGATCGATGATGATTCGTATCAGGGCGACACACTTAAGCACCACCGTCATCGTCGTTCCCGCGCCTTTTCTTCCTCTTCCTTTTACTTTCTCATACACTCATGACAGCAGACACATTCACTGGCTACGCTGCATTGGAACCTTTGAACGTTGCAGCTAACAAGACCAAGCTCGAAAAGTTCTCATTCAACGCACGACCTCTTGATGCTGACGAAGTGGAAGTACTCGTTTCTGCATGTGGCATGTAGGTTTCCATTGACTCTTTATTGTTCCAATGCACGCTTTATTCATTGACTTTATGGGATAGCTGTGGCACTGATATTCACCAGTTGACTGATGTAAGGGGGATTTGTTGACTCGATATATAACCAAGCATTCACACTGATGATAGGGTTGGGGTCGTGCTACTTTTCCTCTTGTTCCAGGTCATGAGTTTATTGGCCCAGTAACCGCTGTTGGTGATGCAGTGACCGAACTCAAGGTGGGCGATCGTGTAGGTGTCAGCCCCGTCTCTAGATCTTGTGGTACGTGCGTCGAATGTACATCCTCCCATGGTCAACTTTGCCCCACAAGAGTGCCAACCTACTGTGGTGTCTACAAGGGTTATCCTACTTATGGCGTAAGTTGATTTGTCAATGTAAGCTATTTGTTGAAGAGGCCATCGATTGACATGGGAATGATTTAGGGCTATGCTAACAAGGTGCGTTTGCAAGCATCTTGGGCTGTCAAGATTCCTGAAAATATCCCGGATGAGGAAGGTGCCCCTTTGTAAGTTGAGATGATGGTGGCAAAGATGATGATGGATGATCAACTCACTTGAAGAGATCACTTTTTAGATTGTGTGCTGGTATCACTACATTTGCTCCATTCAAGCATGAGAACATCAACGAGAACTCAACCGTGGGAGTTGTTGCTATTGGAGGATTGGGCCATCTTGCTGTAAGTGATGTACATATAAATATGTGTAGACAAACAAAGTGATCTCATATTGCATATTTCGGATGACAGCTTCAATGGGCACGTGCGAAGAATTGTAAGCGTGTGATCGCCGTATCAAGTTCGAAGGCCAAGGCTGCTGAAGCAACTGAGCTAGGAGCTACCGATTTTATTGCTCTTCAAGATGGCATTCCCAAGGAGTATGTGAAATCGGTGGACTATTTGTTAGTATGTGGATCTGGCAAATCCACGGATTGGAATCAGTTGATCACGCTTATCAAGAACCATGGCAAATTGATCCTTATTGACGTACCTGAGCAACCACTTTCCATATCACCTACGCTTTTGGTTTACAGCCACATTAGCATTGTTGGTACTTTTGTTGGCAGTAATGATGATCTCAAGGAGATGCTTGCATTGGCCAGCGAGAAAGGAGTTCGACCATGGATTCAAAAAGTGGGTAATTCATTGGATGAAGTGAATCGAGGTATCCAGACTGTATTGGATGGCAAGGCTCGTTACCGTGTGGTGATTTGTGGTCAAGGAAGAGAATCAAATTAGACACATACATTCCCTTTATTGGTGTAGTCAATCTTTTTTGTAATGGGAAACAAACAATAGCGTCAAACAAAGCATGAATGTTTTTCCATGGTATCCAATCAAAGTAATCATTTGGTGAGCAGCCATGACTCACGCTGGGAAACCGTTGGATTGACGGGCAGTTAATATCCCGTATCTTGCTTAAATCTTGCATCATCTCCCTTTTCTTTTCAGCAAACCACCTATTTCACTATGGTAGCAGCAGATAAACTTGACTGGAACAACCTCGGCTTTGAGTATCGTGAGACAAACGGCTATATCAAGTACACTTGGACCCCAGAGAAAGGTTGGGATCAGGGATCTTGGGAAACCGATTCCCTCATGAAGGTGCATGTGTGTGCCTCGGGATTGCATTACGGTCAGCAAGTAAGTAGTATAGTATCATGCGTTTATTGAAATATGATATTGACAACAATGCTATAGTGCTTTGAAGGTCTCAAGGCTTTCAAGACCAAAGACGGACGTGTTCGTGTTTTCCGACCCCAAGCCAATGCATCACGTATGAGACGCAGTGCCTCAGCAGCATTCATGCCTGAGGTGCCTGAAGAACTTTTCATGGAGGCTATTCACAAGGTCGTAAGCAAGAATGTCGATTACGTTCCACCCGCTGAGACCGGTGGCTCGCTCTATCTACGTCCTTTGATCTTTGGTAGTGGTGCAATGATTGGTATGGGCATGGCTCCTGAATACACATTCCTTGTCTTTGGTACACCTGTTGGCAGCTATTACAAGAGCGGTGTCAAGGCCGTTGATGCTTATGTGGTCGATGATTACGATCGAAGTAAGTTTTGTATACATGATTTCTTGACATGTTGACTTATGAATGTCATATAGCTGCACCTTTGGGTATGGGCTCATACAAGCTTGGTGGCAACTACGCTCCTACTTTTGGTCCCATGAAGAAGGCTGCCGAAAAGGGTTTCGCTATTACTCTTCACTTGGATGCCAAGACTCACACCTACATTGACGAATTCTCCACATCTAACTTTGCAGCTCTCACTGCACCTGGTATGTGTGGTGATGGATGATGGATTGGATTTATCATATAAATTGACAAGATACATCGCCCCATGATAGATGAGAATGGCATTCGTACCTTTGTCACTCCCAATTCAAGCAGCATCCTCCGATCAGTCACCCGCATGAGTTTGGAAGATATTGTTACCAAGCTTGGCTGGAAGGTCGATGAACGCCCTATCAAATTCAGCGAGCTCGAAGAGGGTAAATTCGAAGAAGTTGCCGCTGTTGGCACTGCTGGTAAGTGAACATCTCGTATGATCCCTCAAGCAATATACTCATACCAAAAATCAACAACAGTGATCATCACCCCTGTGAAGAGCATTACTCGTGGCGATCAAGTCATCAAGGTCGGCAAAGATGAAAACATTGGCAAGGGTTTCAAGACTTTGTACGATTATTACCGTGGTTTGCAAAAGGGCGAGATTGAAGACTCCTTTGGCTGGCTCTGGCCACAAGAAGGGTTGTGAGTTAGCCTCTCTCATTGCTAGAATATAACCCCCACCCCTTTTGTTTCCTATCACCATGTATTATTTCTGTTTTTCTTTGTTTTCATTTATTGCTAGAATGAAGCTTATATCTGAGTTTGTTGTAAGGATAATGAAACGCTTGATTGTGATTATCGACCTGCATGAAACAAAGAACAACATGCCATTAGCAAAGTATAGCAATCTTCAATAAGCACACTTACCAAGCCATCCACCATCCACCACTGATAATTCGCCATGTACATAATCACTTGCACGACTAGCAAGATAAACTACGGGTCCTTTAAAGTCATCGGGTGCACCCCATCGTCCGGCAGGAATACGTGAAAGGATCTCCTTGCTTCTTACAGGATCATTTTGTAATGCTTCATTCAGGTCTGTTTTAACATACCCAGGTGCAATTGCATTGACGTTGACACCGTGTTTGGCCCATTCATTGGCCATTGCTTTGGTGAGTGTTGAGAGAGCCCCTTTGGCAGCAGCATACGCTGGTACACGAATACCACCCTACCATCATTCCTATGAGTGATCCGTTTCGATGGCGATGATTACAAATGGTGTACCTGAAAACTCATCAAGCTTGCAGTGGAAATGATTTTCCCTGAACCTTTGGGAATCATGTGTCGGGCAGCAGCTTGACTCATAATCCACACCGACTTGAAATTAGCTTGGATTACTTGATCGAATTCATCTTCCGGGAAATCAACAGCGCTATCATCCATCATCATGTTTCAATGAGTAATCTCATTCACACATCAATTGGGATATATACAACATACTCATGACGCTTTTGAATGCCTGCATTGTTAACAAGGATATCGAGCGTGGGAAACACTTGCAAGGTACGATCAATCACTGTACGTACGGAAGCTTGGTCGCTAACATCCAAATGCACAATCTCGGCGCGACGTCCCAAAGCACGAATCTCATCGCGCACCGTGGTATCTTCCAAGTTGCGTTGTAACAAGCAAACGTCTATTTATACAACTAGTAAGACGCGTGTGGTTGCATGAAAATCACGACATTGGAACATACCTGCGCCAGCTTCAGCAAGACCCAAAGCCATGCTACGTCCAATACCACGAGTGCAACCAGAAATAGCAGCGTATTTGCCAGAGAGTGAGAAGAGTGATAAGGTGTCAGACATGATAAAGAGCAGTGAGAAAGGTGCAAGTCGATGGATGGGGGAATTATATAAGAGAAAAAGATCCGTGATATCCTAATTTAGAATAGTGTTTAGTTGTCATGGTTCTTACCCACTACTATGCATTCATGATTACTCTCAGCGCTTTTGCTGTCATTTTTATGTTGAGGAATAGGATGCTGCTCTTGGGTATCATTCACCATACATACTTTGCGCTTGGAGGACGATAGACAGGTATCCTTGCATAATTTTCAGGTCCATTCGGATTAGGTCAAGCGTAAAGGAGAGTTTTCAGCAGCGTGTGTACAATCTCGGGAAAAATGAGGAGGATATTGCTCTTTGCTGCATAAGAATCAATTCTGGTGATACCATGGTTACATGTATGAAGGGTTTGAGTTTCAAGTCTAGGTGCCTGTTGTCATTTACGCGTTTTTCTTTCCGCACCCTCTTTATACAAATCATGCCACCTCATTCTTCCAACACACGTACATCCACATTCTCAAGGAACACAACAGCTGCTACTTCCTCCCTTAAACGTCGACAGCAACAATCTTCTTTTGCGTCAAGCAAACCAGCAACAAAACGACCAGCATGGGACATTCGGGTAGGCAATTGATCCTGTTGGCTTTATTAGACAACATGCTGACATGGCTATTGAAGGGACGAATGCAAGATATGGAAGATCAGTTACAAGACAATGAGGATACGAGTAAGTTTGGACATGGTCATATGGGTGTATAGGTGGTATCTAACGGGCTTTTTTGTGTGGGGTTTGGATAGTCCACAACTTGGAAAAGTACCGTGATAGCTTGAGAGGCGTGAATACCAAGGAGATGATTCTACAGATTTCCAAGACGAAGGCTGATCTTAAGGTAAAGCAGCAGGATGAGAATGAGAAAAGGCCATATATGTAAGCATGGGACACTTGCTAGGCCATTGAGAAGAAGAACAGGCTAGAGATTGAAGGTCTCAAGGACAAGCAGCTGATCCATGAACAAGAGCTCGAAGACAAGAAGTTGATCTATAAGGTGCAGATCCCGTTATTGGAAGAGGAAATCAAGCAAGCGAAGCGAGAGCTTTTAGAGCTTGAGCAACAATCGAATCAAGAAACAATTGATCATGCACAACTTCAGGTAAGGGGATCATTGTGTATGCGGAGGTGATTTGAATTAACACAGCTTCATATAGGCAAAAGCTGTCGAATGCACCAAAGCATTCAAGGAATTGAAGATGCAAATTAAGGAGCTCATGTCAAGAACAGAAGTAAGTTGTGGTGGGATGATGGTTGATTGATGATTCATTGAGCTGATTGTGATCTAGCATGGAGAAGAGCTTCTTGCTGAGCGTGAGCAATTGATTGATCAAGAAACCAAAGAGCTGGAAAAGGAAACTGAAAAGCTGGACAAGTTGCGTCAAAAACTCAAGGAGGAAGAACGCTTACGCCATCATCTGGAAGCTACTGTGGAGGAACTCAAGGCCAAGGCAAGAGATGTTCGACCTTGGAAGGGAGATGCTGCTTCTGATTAAGTACTCTCATTCTATTCCCATATCAGATGTTATATCTTGAATGCTGATGCCGGTTGCGAGACTGAATACCACCACCACCACGCTCCTCGACAAGATACCATCGACATGATTGCCAAGAGAAACGGCGGATCAATCCATCATCTTTTTTCCCGATACGGCGGAATAGCGGATCATCGTTATCAGCAAAGAGCCCAACAATTTATCAACACACTTGCACAAGCTACGCCGGCATGGCCAACATACACCCATCACCATCACTGTAGCATCAGCTAGAATCGTCAATTGACAAGGGAATGAATCTCTTTTGGATGGATCAATGGATGGCTTATTGGATCATTTGTGTTGGAAGCTTGGAATTCGGGAAAACATTTTCATCGTCATTTTACTTGTTTTGGGTATTTACATCGGGGATCGATCGGTGTGAGGCGATTATATAAGAAGCGGGACCATTTGCGTATATACTCATTTCTCATCCAGATGATATTTTCTTGATTGTATGACAACCACCACTACAAAGAGCGAGCTGGAGGAGGAGAAGAAGAGGACACCAGACAATGAACCATTCTCGATATATACCTCGTCACAAAAGGTTGCTATTGCCGCCCTTGTCTCCATGGCAGGCTTGCTTTCACCATTGACCGGCAATATCTATTTCCCTGCACTCAATTCGGTTGAAGAGGTCAGCATACACCAAACAGAAGAACGAATGGATCAATATGATATTAACTTGTTGCATGTGTTTCAGGACTTGCATACAACAACGGAGCTTGTGAATTTGACAATCACCCTGTACATGGTATTCCAAGGTGTTTCGCCCGCCATTTGGGGAGCATTTGCAGACGCATGGGGCCGACGGCCAATCTATTTGACAACACTCGCCGTTTATATTGGTACAACAATTGGATGTGCACTTGCTCCAAATTATCCAGCCCTACTTGTTCTTCGCATGTTGCAAGCTTTTGGATCAAGCTCGGTCATTGCTATTGGTAAGGTTCTTTTATATCCTGAAGATCGTGAAAATACTCAATTGTCCATAGGTGCTGGTGTTATTAGTGATATCGCACTTCCTTCTGAGTAGGTCTTTGTGGGATGGATTAATGAGGATCAAGCTGCACATTATCTGATACAGGTGCATCATCATTATAGACGAGGTCGACTTTCAAGTCTAGTTGCTTCAGGACAAATCCTGGGTCCTTGTATTGGTCCAATTATTGGAGGTGTTCTTTCAGAAGCAGTGTCTTGGAGGTGAGTGATGAGTGATGTTTATGGTGATTGATATACTCACATGATGGGCTATCTTTCCAATAGATGGACCTTTTGGTTTCTTGTCATTTATGGCGGTATTGTCTACATGTGCTTGCTGCTTCTGTTACCAGAGACATTACGCATATTGGTTGGCAATGGATCGGGATATGCAAATCCAACACCACTACAATGGATCAAACACCGTCGACTAGACATACCCAAGAATACAACGAGCACCATTCAAAGGAAGAAGCCCAATCCACTACGACCATTCATTTATCTCCTTCAGCCTGATATTGCGGTGATGCTTGTTTTCTATGGGATCATCTATGCAAACATGTATGCCTTGATGGTGACCATCCCAAACCAATTTGGTGTTGTCTATGGTCTCAACGAGCTGCAGATGGGATTGTGCTATTTACCCTTGGGTGTCGGCTGCGTTATTGGTGCTTACACTAATGGCTACTTGATGGATCGCAACTTTCGAGTCGAAGCCAAAAATTATGGATGCGAGCCCAAGGTGGGGCGTCTACCAATCGATTTTCCTGTATTTCGTTGTCGATTACGCACAACATGGATCAACATTATCTTCATCGACATCATTGCTATCGTGTATGGATGGCTTTTGCAGCAACATGTTCATTTGGCAGCACCCCTGATTCTTCAATTTGTGTGTAAGTCCTTTTGTTCTTATCATTTTGGATGACGCATCTTATTCACCACCGTTTACATTGTAGATGGCATAAGCATTATGGGTGCCAATAACACGTTTCAAACACTCATGATCGACCTATATCCTGGAAAAGGTGCCTCAATCACTGCGTCCAATAATTTCGTTCGCTGCTTGCTAGGGTAAGGGAAACTATGGTTGATATTATAGTGGTCTCTAACATTGACTTGGTACATTTTTATATAGTGCTGTGGCCACTGTGGTGATTGATCCAGGCATCAATGGCGTTGGAGTTGGATGGATGTTTACGATTTTGGGTCTCATTATGACAGCATCGAATTTATTGCTCGTCGTGTTGCGGATATATGGGCCTCGATGGCGTAAAGCTCGTATGGAAAAGCAAGAGCAGTCTTCCAAGCATGCTACAACATATTAGGTTGCGCGTTCCTTTGTTGCATTTCATCATAGACCTTCATGTTACTACTACTCATTTACCACTTGTCATTCATAATCTGCATGTTTTCATTGTCTCTCTCGAATACAAAATTGATAAACGGCATATGTAAAGTATCATTGTCTCGTGTTGCTGTCCTTAAAAAATGGTGTGGGTCCTTGAATAAAACCTATTGCTGGTGTCAGCAGATCATACATTTCTGCATTGTCGATCAATTGGTCTTGGCAAGAAGCAGTAATAAGCATTATACAACATGGTACTGTAATACCCTGCAAGGCATCATGGGATGCATTGGTTGGCCGTGCATCTTCGCATGCATTGTAATTGTTAGCCTTTTTCGGATGTTCGCATGTAATCAAGGGATGTCCTTTTGAACGACGCTCTGTCAGGTGGAATCGAGTCAAACATATCATTGAAGCTTAGGATCAGTGTCACAGTATCGTACGACTATTTAAGGTGGCAAAGGACTCTGCAGCACCCGCAGCGGATGCAATAGCCTGGATATAGTAGGTATTATTATATGTTGGTTCCAAAACATGGTGCTTCTCAATGGCTCTCAAGCTATCCCTCACGATGCGAGTTGTATTGGATCCATACGGCACAATGACAACGGCTGAAAACGTATCACCATGGCAACGTTACATGGATGTTGCAAGGTTGTGCAGCCTAAGCATGATAAGGAGCTCCCGAAAGGGTTATGCAGCACAAAGCCATCCATTGTACGCAAACACGGAACTACCAGTTAAAGCAAGCGGATGCATGTACAAGCACGATATGGGAGGGATATGCCACTTACGGCTTGTCGTACCAAGCATTGCTGTCTCATCATGGGGATGATAGTCCGACGGCTTTTCTCTGCTACAGGTGATATGAAAACAGCAATAATAAACGAATTAAGCATTGGCATGAGCGCGTTTGACAACAGCAATTGCTCAAGTATATGAATGCGTGTATGTATGGTAGCACGAAGAGTAGGCGGTGATAGTCGAGGTTGAATACAAGGTTGTATGATGTGAGCGTGCCCGTGACCTCTTGCCTGTCTTCTCCCACACAGGCCTCTTAATTTCTCATTCAACTGCAGTTCATGGGACCTTGTGTACCTCATTGTATCTAAACCATATACGACATCGGCATTACTTTACTGCTGTGCCCTAAGTTTTATAGATGCTTGATCCGAGATTGCTACATTTGCGTGGTAGCTGTGTAACCACCAACCACTGATGCTGTAGTTTTGTTGTGATGGCAAGATGGCGAATACAAGTTTGTTGTTTATAGGCAAAGAATAAACAAAGCAAGGCTTCTTGCATAAAGAATCGGGGCGTTGTAGATCATTCTTTTTTGTATGCACGAGAACCGTTGTGGAATATAAATCACGAATGTGTAGAAAAAAAAGCATGGGACACAAGCATACCTCGATTTGGCAGATACTGTGCCCACTTTCAACAGGTATCAATCGGGCCAGCTCCTGGATAAAGACTTTTACGTTCTCGACCCATGAACCAAAGTGCAACCCACGCACGGGTCACCCATACATAGATGTGCCATTTACAATAAAAGAGCTTGTACATTACTAGAGTGGGTACGTGCACCCGTGTGGTATTAAGAGCTAACTTTCCCAGGGCACTCACGGGGGAGGTTTGCATTGTTATATGCAGGCCCACCATTAGCGATGGTATTCATCATGCTTACCTTATTGCCCCTTTTGCTGGACCTGGAAACACTGGTGACCATACACATTATTGTAACGCTTTACTCGCCATATCCATCATGACGACATGTGCACATAAATGGTTGGGTCCTATGGAAACATATGGATAAAGGAAAAAGATAGCAATTAGTAATGAAGGCTTGGTGCTGGCAACAACAAAACTCCACACCCACAAACTTCATTGTTTGTTTGGGACATGATGCTAGTGGAGTTGGAAAACATGGCTGTTTTATTGTTCCTTTCCCCACCTTTTGTCGCCAGCAATCATGGCCGATAATGTTTCACTCACCCTGAAGCCGACAACTCCGGTATTCTCGTGATAAGACAAACAAAAAGGTCGGATTACAAGACCACATGGAACAAACAGAAGATCATTCCCTTGGTGTGCTTGTTAGAAGATGATGCGACCATTTGTGCGTATGTGTAATCTTGTTGTGTACAGGTTAGCTTCCGGATACAATGCACCTTTTTGGATTGAAGACATGCATCATGTCACATTTTGAGTAACTGATAACAGCACACACTTTTCATCACTCCCCGTGTTCTCCCTCGCTGTTATATAAAGACTTTCCCGACGGCTTTTTCTCTCCCCGTGTCCCTTTCTTTTTTTCGTTATCTCTCTTTTTTTCTTATTGCTCTTGCTTATGCAAATATGCAAATGCAAACGCTTCATCCATACGCGCCGACTTTGTCACCGCCAACAACGGCTCCACGCCCTCTGCTCGATAACGAATGCAATGACATGATGGATTCACCTACCACCACAACGAGTAGTACGAGTATGCCATCATCTGCAGCCACGAGACTTTCCGGTGGAATTCAATCAGGAGACCGTGAATGTGTTTTATTCCCCACCTATGCCATGCGAAACCCACAAGGTAATAACAAAACAACAGCTGAAAGGAATGATCATCATCGGTATTGCCGTATTCAGTCAGCTGACCACCCAAGTTTGGTGTAATAGACTCATCAGAATGGCTCATTCGTACCAAGGGCTGGGCATTATCACACAACATTTCACCTGCCAAACAACGTATTGCAATGGGTAAGCAAGCATACAACAGCGTATTTCTCGTAGCACGCGTTGCATATGGCAACTACGGAACGGCTCGGCTAATTATAGAGTGTGGAATTTTGTAGGTGTCACGAAAAGCTTTGTGGGTTCAGCTGATCGACCCTCAACAGCCTTATTTGAGCAGCGGTTCAAGTACTTTTTGGCCAAAAACAAAGGCAACAAACAATTCGTCATAAACGCTGTCGGCACAACAAGTGTTTTTGATTCTCGTCGACCTGCTGTTACGACCACCAACAATGCTACTACTTTTAACAGCTCATCTACTGCACTTACTGAAACCACTGAAACTACTGCCGTTGCCGATTGGAATGATGAAGATGATGATGATGAGCAAGTAGCAGTGGCTGCATCCAAGATTGAGCCATTCTTTGTTAGCGGCACATCACGTCGCAGCTCAGCTGGTTCCAATGACTCTGGTTTCCAATCAGCTTCAGATGAAACAACAATCGCTAGCAAACAAGATTACCACCACTATGAGCATCATTTTCCAGACATTGATCCCTTCTTGGCATCACGTCCTGGTAATCCACTATCAACAATTTTGGATGGTGGCCGTTCCAAATCTTTTTCACCTTATGCCGACAACAATAACAACATTGCATCAGAGTACCAATCACACACTATTTCCTCCCCACAAAACACCGACCTTGATCTACTTGACAACTATTTACACAATCAGCTGACTACTACCTCGATTGAATCCGCCTCCGATTGTGACAACACGTCTTCGTCCTCATGCACATCCTTGCCCATGACCACATACAGCGTCCAGTTGCATAGCGATAGCAATGGCATTGTTGATGGTCATTTTATCATTCCTCATTCTCAAGTCTTATCATGGGCCAATGAACAACATCATTGTGATGCACGCATTTTGCACTTGCAATCGCTTGCAAACACATTCCTACCATCCTATGGCACCGTTTCCCTTGTCGAGCCATCGGGTATCTCGATCATCTCTGACATTGATGATACCATCAAAGATACGCAGATCCTTGCAGGTGCTAAAACGGTATTAGCCAACACGTTCTTTAAGCATTGCAGAGATGTCCCTGGTATGGCTGAAGCCTATATGCGATGGGTAAGTGCTCAATTTTTTCCCATGACAACACCATGTAACTTACAATGCTTTATTCAATCATAGTATACCCAAGGTGCTTCATTCCATTACGTATCCAATAGCCCCTTTCAGCTTATGCCAATGCTACAAAACTTTTTACAATCTTGTGAATTCCCATCGGGTAGCATGCATTTGCGCGAGGAAGGAAGTTTATTGGCAAGGCTTGTTGAAGTTCCTGGCAAGGCCAAACGTGATGCGATTAGTCAAATCATCCGAGATTTTCCACAACGCAAGTTTGTTCTCATTGGGGATTCGGGTGAGATTGATTTGGAAATCTATGCACGTCTTGCTTCGGAATTCCCTGGTCGTATCCTCAAAATCATGATCCGTGATGTCTCAACAACACCCTCTTCTTCCCCCACTCCCGAAGATGGAGCAAAAAAGCAAAATGGCAATGGCCTTCTTCGTCGCAACAGCACAACATTGGCATCGTTATTTTCCCGAAAACAGCAAACATCAGCATCTTCAAATGAACCACGTTTAGCCAAAGTGGTCAATTCCATCACGCCCCTCCAAGCACGACTTCTCAAAGCAAAAAGGCAATGCCCTGATGTCGATATTGTTCTGTTTCAAGATGCACAAACGCTCAAGGATGATACCGATATTCGTGATGCTCTTTGGCAATCATGGGATGATCAGGCATCTGCATCATCTGCATCATCCTCTTCATACTCATCATCATCATCATCATCATGAATTCACCTACCCACCCCCTTTCTATAACCTTATTTACTGTACATGCTACATACCGCCTTAAAGTCATTAATCACGTTATGCCCCTTGCAAACGCACACACCAACACCACCATCTCACGCATCTTCATCTACTACTACTATCATACCCCCACACTTTTCACACCCTTTCCGCATTTATTACTAGACCCATATGCTCACGCTCTTTCCCATGTTGTTTGTATTTTTATTTCCCCGTTGTATGCAACTTGTATAGAAAAAAGAAAATATTGTGTATATACCCATCAACAAAAATGCCGTTTTGTGAATGCATGATACAAAAAGAAACTTCTGTGTAAGCCGCGGGAAGAGGCGGGATCTCATTCTGCAGGGTTGTTTGTGTACGTGTATGTATGTTTACATACATCATTCAAGACGCTTTTGACTTGGCAGTAAACTGTCTCCATTTGAGCACGTGCCCCACTTTGCCACTCCTCACACACGTCAACATACAAACATGTTTCTGATCAATGTATCCTTTTATATAAAAGTCTTCTTCTACTACTACTACGATTGTATCGCTGTTACGGCAATGCCATACTGGATCCATCTTAGAATAACGGGGCGTATGTGTTCCATCCATAGCTCATGATCGGTTGCATAGCTACCACCTGGTTTCCGTTGCCTGGCAATTCGAAACCATTCGCGATGTTTTGTTCCGCACTCTTTGCAATTAAAGCCTGCATGTGGATACAATCCTGAGAGCTCCAGATGAACGAGACGTTCGACGCGGTGGGATACTGGGCATTTGGGTATAGTGGCAGGATGATGAATGGCGTTGGCGGTGGTGAGTCGTTTTTTCAATTGAGAAGCGGATGGCATGTGTGGAAAGAGCTCGACGATTTCAGGAACGTATTTGCATTTCTGAGAGACTTGATACATGCGTCGAATGGGATCAATGGTGCGTCCAATCTTGAAATATGCGTATTTTGAAGTGGGTACACGTGGGCCATGTGTCAAAATGTATGCATAAATGTAGCCGTCTTGATCCCGTTGTGACAGTGGCTTTCTCATTTCTTGTCGAATCTCCTTACGCTTTTTCCTGCTCAATTTGTCATTGATCCATACTATCAAAAAAGAAAAGTAAACAATGAATCCTCTCATATCACACCAAGAGAACCTACATTCCCATCCATCGTATAATGGTTTGCATGGTGTTAAAATAGGTAATGATGAAGTGGATGATGCTGATGCAGGTACTGCTGCTGTTGTTGTTGTTGTGGTGGTGGTTGGAAGAGCCAACTTTGTCTCTGCTTTGGGTTGGTGCGAATGACAATAGAGTTGCGATTCGTCAGTGCAAATGACGTCTGCCTTGACTGTTCGGGTACATCGCTGGCCATCGTATACGCGTACACCACGACATTGCCGTGACACAAGGTTGGATTGCTTTACGACATTACTGCGAAGAACTGAAATGGTGGTTGAAAACGATCGGTGGTGAAAGGGCGGAGGAACGACAGCTTGAAGAGCCAACGCGTACCAAGGCAAAGTTTGAAACCATTTGTGTCCTGTCAACATGTATATATGGGTGGATGCTTATGTGTGTGTGTGTACCACAAGAAAGAGAAGAGGAAGGTACACAAGCGGCTTGTCGCGCATTTACCAAGATAACGTGACAGTCCAAATGCGCTGTGTTACATAACGAGTCCATTGCCGCATAATCCATGCGTTTACAAAGAGCAACCACAAGTCTTATCTCGTAAACTTCAAAGCACCAAAAGACAAGAAGCTCTCTGCAATACTTCACAGCTATGATACAATAGCACGTTAGTCACTTTTCTTTTAGAGATGTCGAAAACTTACCAATATCAGTCTTATGGTATTCGAAGAAACCCGATCCAGCAAAGGCACGTTGCGTGTTCCAAGATGACCCACCTAGATACGACACATGTTGGCAACCGTATTTCATAGCACTAGAACGATACCTACATACCAATGATGATAACGTGATATAATCCTTGGCCAAAAAAATAAGCTGCTTGCAGCCCTCCATCTAAGCAAGAAGCGTTTCAGTAAAAGTCCCCAAAAAGCATCCGAATGATACATACCTTAACCATTCAATCATCAAGCAGGCTTGGAACCATATAATTTGCCATGATTGTCATACACACAAAAACGTGGAGACACCCAAACGAAGCTCAATGTTGCCAATGATCCACCTGCAAGGTATGCGGTACGTTGGTATTGAGATTTGAAGCGAAGGAACGATGCCTGGTAGTCATATGGTGTCAAAAGACGTGTAATCTTGGCACGATCAAAGATAGCATACTTACTTGATGCAGAGGAATACATACATGGATGCACGTTGGTAACCACTTTCAAATGAAGGAACGGTACTTGATAGCCAAAGCCGCATAGGAATCCAATAATAAGCATGATGCCAGGCAAAGACGAATCCTGTTGCTTGTTGCTGGTACAGAGTAATTCACCCGTAAGAGATATGAGCGGCATGTTGATATGCGTTGTCAAATAGGTTGCTGGTAACGAGAATCACCAGATGATAAGGCAACGCCTGCTGACACCGAAAAGAAAGAAATAGAGGCTGTTGTTGGTTGCTCATACGATCCACCCATAAGCGATTGCGCCGATAAATGTTCTTTGAAGGAATTGCCAGTAACCAAAAACCACCAGATGCTCGAGTAAATGATAATGATGCCAAAGATAAAGACTCCGTTGCTTGATCCCAATAAATGATCACCTACGCATATTAAACCATGCATGATAAACAATCTTCCTATCCATGAAACAATACTTAGCGATGATAGCTGTAATCCTGAGGACTTCAATACAAGGTGCACCATCTAGAAAAGACACATGTCAGCAGGCATTCTTCCATTTCAGCTGAAAGTTTTGGAATGATACGTACTTGGATCCCTCAATCAGGGTGCACTTGCATGAGACACATCCCACAATGAACACTCTTACCTTGATGTGGTACTGCTCAATAATGTTGTCATCCAATAATAGCTTCATGCATGAAGATTCCAAACCAGAAGAAAAGTAGCTTGCTGAATAGTCCATATACTATAATAAAAGAGGAGGTTGGTTGGGATTCGAGCCAAAAAAAACGGATCATCCACTATTTACCAACGAGAGCCGTATGCACGAAAACGTGTTGGAATCCAATGACAGCTTCGTCCATGAAAATCCCAAAGAACCAGAAGACAAGTAGCTTGCTGAATAGACCACATACTACAATAAACGAAGAGGTTGGCAGGCGTTGTAGAAACGAATGGATCACTATTTACCAATGATAGCCATATGCACGAAATCCTGCTGATATCCAAATCTAGCCGATTCTTGCAATCATTCTCTTGTTGATAAGACCGCTACGTTGGCACTCGGGTTGTAAGCGATGGAATGATACTTGATGGGAATATAGAGTGAGAAGGTTGAGTAATACTTGTACCACCAAAAATAGCATACTTACATGATGCCGAAGAGCCCTTACAAAGAGAGACAACGAGACAATCCTTGCTGCCCAAGACCACATGCAAATCGAGAAAGCATTGTGCATCGAAAAGCCCAAACGAGATCCTAGCTGCGGAGTGACGTACATATGGCTAAAGAGCGATGTGAATAGCAATCGTTTTTCATTGGAAATCGAATGCAGCTTGACGATGAATGCCTTGAGGAGATGCATAAATGACCTTGGTAACACCAAAGATGTCAACGCGGACTCTCATTGCTTGTTGATGACATTATCCATCCATAAGACACGTATAGTTGTAGAGATCCATCAAAGGAATCGCCAATAACCAGAACCACCAAGAGACAGAAAGCTTGCTGATACCAAAGATATACAAGTTGTTCCTTGTTGCTGATGTGATCAATCGATAAGAAACCTCCATTTCAGGATGCCCACCGAATTGCCGATAACGAGAAGAACCAGATGATGGGATAAAGCTTGATATGACACCAACGATATGGATGCTGTTACTTGTTGCTGATATAATCCACTCACAAGAGACTTGCATTGGTGGACACTCCTCAGAGAAATCGCCCGTTGCTTGGTAACCAACCACCCGAGACGCAATAAAGGTTGACACCACTAAAGACATAAACACTTCCCCATGGCCGACATGATTCACCTATAAAAGATGCACCATAAACAATTGTCCCAACTCAACCAACAATACTTAGCAATCATAGCTGTGATCTTGTAAACTCCAAAGCACCAAAAGACAAGTAGCTCTCTGCAATGGTCCCTCTAAATAATAATGGTAGGCGTTTCAGCAAAGGTCTCCAAAAAGCATGAGAGTCATACATACCTGAGCCATGGTGATCACAAGGTATTGCAACCAAATACACCATCCGAAGGCAATACAATAATCAACCTGCAGCGCCAAGGTAGCACCACCATGCTGTATATACTCTCATTGGATCCTCGGGCCAAAATTCCCCAGGAGAGCACAGTACTATACAATGACATCCTCGACGTGCAGCCTTGATAATAATAGTATCGCCGAAAGAGGCTCTGCCACTGTATGGCGTTTGGTAAGTCCACTTGAATCCAACCAATCCCATCATAATGAACACTCTTACCTTGTGGTGCTGCTCAATAGCATTCTTGTCACAAATGGAAACCGTATATCCATGCCATCCAGTAGATGCTGCTGCTGTTTCATTGTAAGGATCGTTAATTAACACGTTTTGCTTTGTACATCCAATGCCATCCATGCATACCATTGAGCCAACCATACAGCATTCTTGCTTTGAGATCCGTATCTTGTTGCTGCTAGAGGTACCATCATCCAACATGTCCAAGCTACAGTAAATGAAGTGTAAGGTAACAATAGCATTCGCTTTTCATGTCGACATACCCATAGTAACAATAGGTTGCGACTCTCCTTGATGACAACCATGGAAAGCATACACACGACACGCGACGTCCCCTTTGGATCTTGTATAAACGAGAGAACAGCAACCTACATGTGAACTTTAGTATCTCAATGTCCAACTTGAATAATAAAGTAATGCAGCGATTGGACGTACACGTTGTATTGCAATGGAAGCTTGAGTCATGGGCAGATCGCGCGCGTACTTGTTGTTGAATGTCTGCAACTGGAAAGTGTTGCCATTGACCACATGTTCACCCCAATGAACGCTGTACATTGTAAGGAAATGCCAGCAATTAACGCGTTGTAGTTTGTAAATGGAGACAAGCTTACCTTTTTTTGTGAAGTGGAAGTGAAGAAGAATGGTCTCTTTGTCCCTCCTGTTCGCTCCAATTCGTGCACTCCATGCCACCCCGCTTGCTACAGTTATTACTGTTTATACGTACCCTCAACAATGTCCTATGCTCGTAGCTCCATAAGAATGATCACTGCTCAAGACTTCAATTGAGAACAGCCCTCGTAATTAAGCTATTAGGTCTGTGCGCATCACATTAATCCATGAGTTATTATGCAACTCCACTCTTGAACCACCTTGTACAACCTACTGTGCCTATTGTGTAACCCCTACCAGATAATATGATATTCGCGTATCAACCTTATCTCGCTTTCCACCCTTCAAATTTGCTGTTCCCCCTTCAATGCAGAAAACAACCAAGTGATCCACCCTTTGCACATATGAGATGATGGTATGATACCCAAAGCATTATGTTGAATCCCAATTTTCATTCAATAAAAAGTCGAAGAAGACGTAACACACGCTGAAGCTTGGTTCAGTGAAAGCTTAATTCATTATGTCTAAGAAAGAGTGAGCTGTAAAATAATGTGTCACGACCAAGAACATGAACATACTATGCTTATGCTTGACAAGGTTCAGCTAACGCTATCCTATAAGAAAACAAACCATTTCCTACAGGCTATCATTGGCAGGCACAGAAAGGCATCCTTGTTGTAAGGGGATCTTGCACTACTGTGATGCTCAGCGTATACGCTAACTAAACATCACTCACAACGAACGTCGTATACAATGTACATGGGGATAAGATGCACAAGGGAGACTCTCACATGACGTAAGAGAATAGAAAAAGCGTGCGTATAAACGTGTCCTTCATTCAATACCAATAGGGTAAAAAGCGCGTTGACAATACCGTATCCATCCGTACCCCAAGGTATGAAATCGGGAAGAGAGCATGTTGTTTATTCATCGTACTTCACTGGTTTATAAGCCGCATGCATCACTAAGCTTTACAATCGCATGACCGTGTGAGAGCAAATAACCGTCTCAGCTACATCACAACGCTTTCATATCGAATGGCCGATAGGTGGTGGAACGCTTTCATATACTAAATGGCTGTGGAGTGGTGGAACGCTTTCCTACTAAATAGCTGTGGAGTGGTCAAGCATCATGTAAATAATAAACCACCACATCAACAATCCTAAGCACTATTTATTGCTCCATGACAACATGTTTCCCTCTGTCTAAAATAGAAAGTTATTGGCAGGTGCTTGTGGCATTTAAGATCATAGTCAAAAAGCAACATCTTGCTAGAGGTTTCAGCAGCTGATTGAATTGGGTGGGAAATAGCAACAATGAAAAAGACTAGCGGCCTGGGTTGCTCGCTTCGCTCGTAAACGTCGATTTTGTGTGGAAGGGCTTACTACTACCTATGGAATAATGCTTTGATCCACAGTGTGTAATAAGCATGCAGACACAATATGTAGCATCCATCTTTATGATCGTTATAGGCACTCACGCTAATAAACAGCGGGTAAAAATAGGTTCGATTTCTAATCACCCGACTCAGGTGCTGCCTTATTCTCTCTTTCCTCGTTATCCTACATTGCACCCTCCCAATCTCAACTGTTTGCCATTCCATCGCATACGAACGATTGTCCTGCTTCAACCCATCATGTCATTCCTACAACTGCCTTGATCCGATTGTCTTTGACTGAATGGCAAGTCCAAGGCGTGTACACCCCACTACAACACCCGTGTTTCTCTTGATACCACACCCTTTCTGGTACAATCCTCTACCATCAGTAAACGTATCGGCATTCATCACAGCAGTTGCTGTTGTCTGAAACACCGTTCACAACCTTGGCAACTTCACTACAACACACTGCCTTGCACGCACCTCTGCCACAGCCAAACGTAATGGCACTGTATTACCTCAAGTTATTTGTAGCAACCTATCTTGCAGCCTTTATTTACGTGTAGCAACTTGATTCAATAAAGACGGGTCCCTATGGATGATGCCATATCAACTATCAAGCACGTCGCAATACTGGTTGAGATGCAATGGGCAAAAGAGAGAGGATGACCAAGAGCCGGATGGCTAAGCAAGTATACAAGGAGTCGTATTAAGTTTACAATGGTTATGAAGGATGGGATGATGAGAAGCCTCGGGACGTTGCTTTCGTTACTTGGCACGTTGACGGCATGGAGGAAGGATCATATCATATGAATACGGTCGAGGATGATAATGGATTGGATTGGGATGGCATTGACGAGAGGGCTTATATCTTTGACAAAAGGTGTTTTACAACTGGATGGGATTATCTATGCGGCAGCAACGAACGTAATTATCCATGTTGATTCGTAGTATTGTCATCTTTGAATAAAATCCATCGTATCCCAGGCAAATCGCACCCATTCTGAAAATGTGAAATGTGGAAATGAAGAACAGGTGTCGGAGAACATTTTACTCTTGGGGCATGATATAGCTTGTCAAGGAAACCAAGGCATGAGCTACAACACTGTCACGTTGCAGAGGAAAATGGTCGTATCTCAGTCAAATCGCATCCATTTTGAAAAAGCAAAAGACCAAAACGTAGAGCAAGTGCTAAAGATTGTTTTATTGTTAATACACGGCATGAAGTGCCAAAGGATGAATTGAGTGGGATCATGTATTGCCACCTTATGCATCCATGGACGTGGTAGATAAGACGATTACTAACCGCGCTACACTTTCCTGGTCAAGATAGTATTGAAAATCACCGCATCCAATAATAAACCGATATGCCATATCGTTTGAAACCGACATGTTGCAGGGTATATGTATAAGCATATAAGCGGTCTATATCATCAAATAGCATCATAGCATAAAGCATGAAAGAGGGAGTAATAAGAGGATGATCCTCAGCATGCACAGGACGAGCTACACTTCTCAATTAAACGCGATACATCGTCATTCGCGGCATTAAATGAGACGAGAGGCGCTACACTTTTCAACCAAAGGCGCTACACTGAGCACGAAGCATGATGGCAGTTTTAGTAATTGATTCCATTAGCACACGCATTGAAAAGAAAATATCATCTAGTATAAATGTCGCCATCATGCTTCGTGTTCAGTATAGCGCTTCTCGTCGCATTGTTAATTTCCACTTCTTCCTCTCTCAGCTTCTTGCCTCTTCCTCTCATTCTCAACTGTTGGCCCCATTCAAGTATACAGCTGCCACTTGCGAACGATTGACCTACTTCAACCCATCATGTCAATCCTAGAGTTGTCTTGATCTGATTGCCATTGACTGAATGGCAAGTGCATGGCATGTACACAGCCTTCTTCTTGTCACTCTCCCAACACGTGTCTTTCTCGACACTACACCTTCTTTTGTTCACTCCTCTTCCACAATCAAGCGGAACAGCAGCTGTCACTGGCTTCGTCTTTGTTCCATTGTGTCATGAAGCATTTTCTATTTACAACAGCTTGCCTTACAGCCGTTTCACGTGAACAGCAGATGGTCATCGTATAGAAGCAGCTTTATTTACGTGTAGCAACTTTCTTTCAATACATACGAGTTTTTATTGATATGGATATGGATCTCGAGGTTGATTTGATATATGGGATGGGATGGGATGAAAGGATCCGGCTAGATTAAACGGATTGGTTGCCTTGAACGTGGGATGCCATATGAGCCATCAAGTAAGACAGCCGATTGTGCGGATCAAAAGATATACAGCAGCTTTGAATGCATCCATGGACGTGGTAGATGGTGGTGTGTTATGATTCTCGCATGTGGATGATGATGATGACACATGCTCCAACCACATAGCGGTACGAAGATATCGCTTTACTGTTGGTGTACGCATTCATTCCATCACCAGTCATTTGATCTCTTTGACAATGTACACAGCGCGCCAATCATTTGATTTCTTTGACAATGGACACAGTACAATCATTTCATCACCCATCATTTGATCTCTTTACTGCTGATGCACTCATTCCGTCACCAGCCCTTTCATCATTCAAAGAATAATCACCACTACGCGGGTGAATTCCCACTTTTTTCTTTTCTCATCTATACCATTTCACTACCACACAAAATGGATGTTGACGATGAAGATATGGATGTTGATGACCAAAACAATGCCCAAGCTGCTATCGATCAAAACAGAGATCGAATTGAGACATTTCGTGCCAATCGCCATAACACCCGGACTGTCACCAGGAACTGTAAAATGGAAACAGCTCTCAACGAGCAATATCGAGGCTTACTCGTAAGTATACATTGAATGCGTTCTTAATAAGGCTAGGAACCTGATGTAAAATATCATATAGGTACCTCTAAGAACGCTTTCAGAGGATTACACAGTTGTCAGGCGGGACGCATTCGACTTGGTGAACATGGATATTTTACGATGGGTCGAAGAAGATGGAAATGATGCAACATGTCCTCCAATATTAAGCCAAGCATACTGGGAGAAGGCATTCATGTTGTGCACATTGCCACCTACCCATATCGAGGTAAGCGAAAATGAACGTGTCATGTAGTTCTTTGGACTGTGCTCTAATGCAATTTATAGCCAACTGCTGAGCCCAACTTCTTGCATCTCACTCAGACTTTCAACTGGTGCCTTCAGCAATGTCGACTTCGTCAACCAAATGAATTTCCCGATGGCATTGATCCAAGTATGTAAAGATCGGCAAAGCTTCCTTTGAAATAGGCTGCTAACCCTTGGATAAATTATAGATGTGCCCCAACCGCTCTATGATCCTCCAGACTTCAACTCAGGCACTTTGAGACGACGTCTTGCAGCTGAATTTGCAAGAGGAGAAGCAATCCCTGGTAATATGCGTTAGACTTAATGTTCTCCATCCAAAATGCTAACTTTGAATCCACCATAGCTGTCAAAAATCATCTTGGTCTTAATCCACCCAAGTATATGAAACATACCTTTACGGCTTTCTTCTATGAATTACAAGACCGTATCGGACGCAATTTACCACGACGACCACAAGCATTCGGTATGTAAACGTTTTACATAGTTCGAAGATTCGAAAACACTAACACTGGTAAAATTAGCAAACGTAATGACAAAGCATTTGTTGAATCATGACCCACCCGAAGATGTTGATTTCCACCTTGTTGATTTCGATGAGCAGCCATTGGCTGTCGTGGCTGAGGTTAAAGCTTATTATCAGTAAGTCTATTATTGCTCATAACATTTTGTGAACAAATCATGAACATCATCTTTATTAGAACCCATTATGAAGAATTTGAAGGCTCTTTTGCCAATTATGATCTCACTGAAGTTGGCAAGAAACCAGGCCGACGTGTCAACATGGCGTACATTCCGGGTGCACTACGATACCTTGCAGGCCTGCTGTCCATGGAAGCTGAGATTTTGGATAGTCAACGCTGGACTGTGATCCCTATAGGCAAGCTCCAAATGGCATTCGTACCTGTGGATACCCATGTGTTGTATTGGCTCTGTCGTCTTGCCCATGAAAACCCAGACATTGACTTCCAGGCACCGCCTGCATTGATGGTAAGTCGTTAATTACATGCATAAAAACCACGATCTAATCACTTGTCTACTATAGCGTGAACATCCAGGGCGTCGGGGGGATATCTTTATCCCATTAAGCAGCATTTATGGAAACGTAAATCCTTTGCTGAAGGAGGCTTTCTTTGAACAACTCTTCAACCTGGATCCTATATCTAAAAGAAGAATGCGATACTCTGCAGGTATGTTAAGCAAGCAAAGTTCTTAAGCATGTTGTTGATTCTTACGTATTGTGAATGACATCAAAGGTTATGTTTTCAACCCGAATGTGGAACCAATAACTTTCAAGTTCTCCTTCAATACTGATGGTGTGCGTGCTTGTTTTCACTTTGTGCGAGCTCTGACGACGCGACAGGGAGGTAAGCTACTAAAAACATGTTTTTATTCTTACGTCTCTTCTAAATCTGCTATTGCAAACGTGATAGAACGCATGCCCGATACTTCAGCTGATGTGCGTTACTACCCAAGAGAGCTTGATTTAACCAACTGGCATCGCGGCATGTATCATTTGAACAAGGAACCAGGTGGTTTGGATGGGCAGCGCTTGCAAGCAAGTCGAATCATCGGCATTGATCCCGGTATGGCATTAAAATGGATAGCGAAACACACACTCTCTAATTCAGCTTTTACATCTCTCAGGCATTAGGGAAGTGATTACAGGCACCGACACGAACGTGAACTTAGCCGATCCACAAACAAGACAACAGCATGTTGTCAGTATCTCCAACAAGGAGTACCAGTAAGTGTGCTGTGTTACGTTGTTTCGGATCCCTTTACGTATTGATTTACCATTCATTACACAGGAACCGGTCCCTCTCCAACTGGATAAAGCAAAAGACATTGTCTTCCCGCCAAAAGAGTGCCTATGACATGCATCAAGTATACTTGGCTCTTAAGGCCTTCCCACATCATACAACCAACTTGCAGGCATTTTTTGATCATGTGCACTTGCGGTGCCATTTACACCATATGTAAGTATAAGAAAAATCATACCGCTATTGGTAGTATCAACATTTTTGTTCCTCTAGACTTCACCCTTTCGCCTCCCAATACCGACATAGGGAGCAACGTTGCAAAACGTTTTCAGCAAGAGTATCAGCTCAAGAATCCATAGTGAATCAAATTCTCGGATTAGAGGATGTCGCAGATGTATGTACAAAGGACTAGCTCTTTATTGTTTGGGTGTGATTAACTTGGATATATACTTCTAGTTACGCAATGATTTCTTTGGTCATCGTCATGGTGGTAAACACCAAAGAAGGGTTACCAGGCGAGCTGCACGTGCTCAACGACGTGAACAAGATCAACGACGTGAACAAGATCAAGACGTGGTTATGGAGGAAGCTGATGTGCCGCAGGTGGAAGCTGATGAGCCTGAGGAGGAAGCTGATGTGCCGCAGGTGGAAACAATTGTGGCATATGGAGCTGCTCGATTTGGTGCCACATCAAAACGCCATCAAGCTGTTCCTGTCGAGGTAACTACTTCTGTGCCAATCATTTCATGCTTCAATATCAACTTACCTTTTTATTATTTAGACACTCAGGGCACGGATCGCACGTCGTGCTCTCCTTGTTTTGGTTGATGAATTTAGAACAAGCGTCACGTGCCATGAGTGTCATGGCCGCTTACAACAATTCAGGCAGCGACAGACCTTGATTTGCGAGCACAAGTAAGCATATCTTTACCTTTTGAAAGCACTCGTTCTAATCAGTTTTTCATCTACTTGCAGGAAGAAAGACATCCGTGATTCCTGGGTTGTTGGTGATGATGATGATCTCAGTGTTGTACGTCGCAAATCTCGACAATGGTGCTTGGATGATGATGGACAACGGCTCCACTGGACGTCAACCTGCAATGATCGGGTACAAGTCGATGATTTCCGGAACAATGTGTATGCGCTCAAGTGGTGCCCCGATTGTCAGACTGTATGTATGAGCCATGGATATGGGAAGGACGATGATTTACTGGATTCTACTATATAGGTGTACGATCGTGACATTGGCGCAAGCAGCAACATCCATTTGATCTTTGAGCTGTACATGCTAAGCGATGGTGAAATCGATTCAAGGCCACCGACAATGCAACGTGGTCAAGTACAAGAAGTAGTGGACGAGGTGGAAGCTGAAGACGAATTGGAAACGGATGATGAAGATGACGAGCTGTAAAAGAAAGAAGACCTTCCTTGGCGCATAATGAGGCGTGTGCCAAATCCTGTGTAATTGGGGGGTAAGTCACAACGAATTGGATCCAAATCGACATTGTTTTGCTGACATGGTGCACTTGCATGGTGCAAATAGTAAGGCCCCAGCCGCTTGATCGTTCCTGAAGGAGTTTTGAAAAGTCCTGTCATGATTATCGGTTTCTCCGCTTGTGGATAACAATGTTTCTCCATCTCGATGTCTCTTGTTTATTTGCCTTTTGGTTTCTCCCTCATTTGCAGTATCATATATATATACATTCAATAGTAGTACAATAAAGAAGTATCTCATTATCTTGCACTATACGCAACATCTCACTTTCTTTCATCTTGACCATTGAATTCCTTCCATTCTTGGTTAAGCCATATTACAAGCCAGCCTCTTATTACAAGTCCAAGATCACCTGACTTGACGGTTTGAGCTGAAGGACGATTCCTCTAAAATAGATGTACCCTGATTTCCCACACACACACGCACACAACCCTTCTCTTTTACACAAAACTTCATATTCAAAGAAACACACATACTTCACACTCAAAGTGAGTATTCAATATCAATCCTATATTCTTAACACACGTATACTTATCACAATGACATGAATAAAGCCGTCACTTTTGAAGTATTAAAGAAGCAGTATCTCGTTCCTCACCTTGATGTCCATGAACAATGCCCTCAAGCTATTTTGGCCGTCGCATTGCTCATCACCAAAGTTCCATCGTCGTCCAGGTTACATTATAGGCTGGTTGACAAAGCCTGCCACAGCATGCGTAGCTGCCATTATACCCGACATTGAGGCAAGTGACACACACACACACAGCAACCCCTCCATGCACGCGTCGTTTTCCTTCATTACAAGAATACTAATGGTGTATGGTTTATCTAGCTATGCGATCTACAACGCACCCTATCAGAGTTCTGTGCTTCTGGAGAATACTCTGAATTCGCTCATATCAACAAAGTATGCAAGCTGCCACCTCGAATACTCGGCACCCTTAGTGCCGATCTACCAACTGCTTCTACTCGTCGACCTCCTTCCTCCATGTCCTCAATGGGTACGATAGCCGCATGCGTTGTAAAAAAGGATCATATGACTGATACATTTGCATGAATCGGATGATAGGTAAAGATCCCTGGATCACGGTGGTTCTTGATGATGGCTATGTCCCTGTACCAGTGTAAGTCTTTTCTAGTGGATTACAAATGGGGAAGGGGATATTCATATTACTGTGATAGATCTATTAGCCATCAAGGCAAAGTCGTTGATCTTGCCAGCTATGAAGTCATCTTTTATCAACAACCCAATCCAAAGCATCTTCAGTTCCTTGCCCTCGATCCACTTGAACTCGACATCTCACACCGACCACTACCTCATCACGACCAGAAGGATACCGCCACCATGGAGAATTTGAACAAGATCTTGGGTTACAGCGAACGAATTGTTGGAGCACCACCACCCGAGTCCTATGATTTATTATCGGTCCTTGTTCAGGTAATGGATGGGTATGCATGCGTGTGGGAGTAGGATATCAACTTATAGAACAAGGTGTACATAGATCAATTCATCCTATTATCTGGAAAAGGGCATTCAAAAATCATTGACCGAGAAGCGCAAACAATGCATGAGCAAATGGGAACGATTACAAAGCGGCATCCAAAGTATACTCTACCGCCTATGGACCTGGATGATACTGCAACCAGCTAGCTGGCTAGCGTTGACATTCACAAAAATGACGCTTGGGCCGTTTCGGTGTTGTTTATTCGTATGCTTGTTTGCTGCAGAGGTGACTTTGCACTTGCTCAATATGCGGCTACCAAAGTTCTTGTTGAATGCAGTGACGATCAAGGATCTCTCAACAGCAGGTAATGGAAGGAATGGATCATTGGATGGATGATGCTAATGGGCGTTTTCTTTAGGTCAGCAAGTGGATTTAAGGTTACAACAGCTGCATTTCTGGCCATATCAGTATTCAATGCTACGAAAACGAAATTGGGCTAATACTGCCGAGACGAGAGCATACTATATCAGGTAGAGTGGATCACGTTTTATGGAGTTATGGAAAGTGAAGCTCATGCGGATGGGGTGCTTGATAGCTTTTACAATAGCATGTGGCTCGTTGCTAATGATATCATTATTGGCTTGGCAATTGGCTCATTCCTCACGACGAACCGATACATCATGTCCTACTTGCTGCATAAGCTATTACATGTAAGGAACGGGAAGGAAAGGGATGGATGCCATCATGAGCATATCGTTGACATGGGTAGTTGACAGGAATACACGGTTGAATCCTTGCAATCCATGATGTTGTGGTTCCTGGAATCCCCTGCTGGTCTCAAGCTTAATCACGAATTGGGCAATTTCCTAAGCGAGCTATTCTTGTGGCTGATACGTCTTTGGACCGGTAAGTGGTTTGGTGGTTTGGTTGGGGGTGGATATCTTTTTCTGGAGCCAATGATATGTTTTTCCGTTGATGCTGATTATCAACAAAAACTAGGTTGCATGCAAGGCATCAAGCCTCTGACACCACAAATCATCCATGTGATTGGATTATCAGGCATATTTGGCGTATCCATGATCATTTCATTGTTGTCTGATTTACTGGCGTTCATGACATTGCACGTATACTGCTTCTACATGGTGGCCGCACGTATCTTTAATTGGCAGCTGATGATCCTTTATTCATTGTTTAATCTTTTCCGAGGCAAGTGATGAAATGAACAATGACCGCTATCATGATCCTAACAATCTCCTCCCGCAAATAGGCAAGAAAAGGAATATGCTTCGAAACCGGATTGATGCTTGCGATTATGATCTTGATCAGCTGCTCCTTGGAACATGTCTATTTACATTACTCACATTCTTGTTTCCCACCGTGCTCATTTATTACATCACGTTTGCATTGGTAAGATTTTCCCATCAGTAGTAAAAAGTAACCATGGCTAACCCAACAATGGATTCATTAGGGAAGAGTGGGTGTCATCTTTTTACAAGCCATCATGGAAACGTTACTTGCCTTTTTCAACCATTTCCCATTATTTGCCATTATGCTTCGTGTCAAGGATCCCGATCGGTTGCCAGGTATGTGTGTGTATTGTTTGTATTGAGGAATACGATCCATGATGCTAACAAGCTGGTGACATGTATGATAGGAGGTTTAAAGTTTGATATCTTTGAGCACGATTACTTTTCAAAAAAGTATCATCGTTTATGGTACTTTATCCACGGTATGATGCGATGGCGACGACGACAACAGCATGGGCATAAAGCGTCTGGCAAGACATCAGCAGGGGATCGACATCATCATCATCATCGGGGGAATAGCAGGAAAAGGTCTTCACGTGGAGCTCGTCCCAAATCAGTACGCTTCAAGACTTCCAACAAAGAGGGTACAATGATCACAAGTAGTGCCGCCACTCACGGTGTCGTAGACAGCAGACATGGTTCCTATCTTTGGATGTGGGTAAGTCTATCTATACAAGGGGTTGGAAAATTTGGGGGATGTTGTTCAAATCTAACATACACAAAAACACTAGAACTCGCCGATACCATTTGGTGCAATATTCTTTCAGTACATGTTGCTATGGAAACGGTTGAGCGCCCATTACTTTTCATTCTACTACTTTAAATGTTTCTTGTATGGTGAGCCAATTAAACCGGTACCCAAGTTACAGGTATGTTTGGTTGCTATGTTTTTTCCGCATCGAGATAGCTCATTTGTTATATGCATCGGATAGTATCCTATGTTACCGGAACGACGGTAAGTGTGTGATGCTTTCAGGATCATGGATCGAAATTTGAAGCTAACATATGAATCATAGGCTGTCGCTGGCGGCAGAATGGGAACGACTTAAGGCTAACTTGTTTCAATCAATATCATCCAACCATCAACATTATAAAGTTACCTAATTGTATTATTCTTTTTTGTTGAACACATATGTACAAGATGAAGAGCGCGAGATTAAAGAGGAAGATGATGAGAGATGCCTCTAGAGAAGCATAAACGTATGGTATGGGGTATGAAAAGGGGAAAAGAGAAAGAAACAATCTTACACATACACTGGATAATATCGAAAAAAGAACAAGCAAATCAAAGGGGGATTGATGGGGAAAGGGAAACCAAGCCTACCACGTTTTTTTTTCTTATACGTCGACTTCATTCGGGGCTGTGGTGGTTGTGGTGGTTGCGGTAGCTAACTCGACAGCAGGAGCGGTATCAGCTGCTGTTGCTGTGGTAGCGGCGGCTCCGGTTGTAGCTGCTGCCGTTGTACCTGCAGAAGCATGAGGCGAAGATGGAGGGAGAGCCTGCTGTAATACAGAGACACTTTTACCTGACCACCTTTCTTTAACTTCTTGCCACATGAGAGAGCATTCCTTGGAAACGCCGCCAAGTAAACTCGAGTTTTCTTGAGCACGTCGTAATAAATAAGGCATCACTTCATCAATCTTGCCATAAGGTAAATACTTGTAAATCGAGTATTCGTTCTTGCCAAGTGTATAAGAGATCTGGTCTTGCATGCCATAGAGTTGGCCAAAGTGAACAACGCCTGAACGAGGAAGCACTTGGTGACGTTCCATTTCTTGCACCGTCAACACAATTGAATCACGGTTGTGGGTCGCCACCATGAAGACAACAGGTGCTGTAGTAGATCGGATGGTTTCTCCTTCCTTGAGATTCTCACGCAACTTGTCAAGTAAAAAGCGCACACCATTGTTGAATGATGCATGCGTATCCTCAATAGTGTCATGGATAGGCGATGGATAGCCTAGTTGAGCAGCTCGCTTACGCTCCATCACCATGTAAGCGCCACGTACAAGCTTGGCAGCAAAGCCAAAGTTTTCACGTTGGGCTCTTGCAACATCACGCTCAAGTTTGGCTTGTGCATTCTTGGTGTACATTTGATCTATATTGTTGTCAAGGTTAGCTATGATTGAAAATGCATATGAAAGGGAAAACTTACATGTGTTGTAAACAGTGGGTGTATGTTCACGATCATCGCGACGATTGTACTTAGCTTGCAAGTTCATGGCAACGTGGTCAATCGCTTCTTGGAAATACGACTGCTCAGCATCAATCATGATACCAACATGACGATCGTGAGCCATACTGCAAACTTGATTGAGACGAGAAACCATACGATCATAAGCTCTTAGCTCATCGGCCGTAAGTGGGGTGTCATCAGGTGTTTGGTCATCACCCGTTTGCCACCAAATATCACGCATGGGTCCTTGTAAATCAAAGAGCTTGTCGACTTGCCAACGTTCAAGAGCATCATCCCCAATGGCTTCAAGGATTTCTTCACGACGTTCTTGTTGCTCCTTGTCACGTGGTGGTGGAAGTACATGTTGAACAATACGAGAAAGACCCACTTGATCCATACGGCCATCTTCAAGACGTTTGCATGCTTCATAGGCTTGATCGAGACGAATGATAGCTTGATTCAAACGAAGCAATACTTCAGGAGGTGCAAAGGCAGTGACCTTAACAGCAGCAAAAGAACCTTCACAAGTAGATGCTGTGCGTAAGCAATCCTTGATCATATCAACGACAACATCAGCACGCTGTTCTTCATAGGACAAGGTGTTTTTCTTTTTCGGCTTTTTGATATGCAAATCAGCTTCAATGCTCAAATCGAGGATGCAATTGATACCGCTTTGGGCCAAACGCTCCATGCTTGCACTACACTCATCGGGTGTCTCGCCACCACAAAACTGCCGAAAGACCGTACGCTTGACAAGCCAATAAAGAGGACCATGAAGATGCAACGTCTCACAAGCTGAGATCACGTGAGGAGCTAGATCCACTACACCTGGGATCATGCACATACGATAGACGAGCAAGCCAAGTAAGATTTCTTCAGTAGATTTTGCTTGTAGAGCCACACGGCCTTCATCATCCAACAACTCGGCTACGGTTCCAGAAGCTGTGGATGGTGCATAAGCTGACAAGTTGTATGTATGGGTACGTTCAGCCTCAGCATGGCATGGATCCATTAGCTGTGAGCAGCCCCACCAAATGCCAGTGGCTGTAGCCACACCAGCAGCTACAGCAGCGGGGTAAAGCGTCTTGCGATAAAAACGGCCGCCAGTGTGTGCTGTTGATCTTGTTGAGAACAAGGCAGTAGAAGTGGTAGTAGTGGAAGGAGTAGCAACATGGGGTATGAAAAGACGACGAGTAGGAGAAGATAAACCTGCTGATGGACGCACAAGAATGGGTCGGAACGTTGTTGTTGTTGTTGTAGGACGATGGGATGATGCGAGCAGCACAAATCGGTGCATTCCAGTGGGGGGATGATATAGTATTTACGTTAAGAAAAAGCACAAAGAGAGAACAAACAAGAAGAGAAACGTTGAATGTATTATTTTCTTTAGCGAAAAACACAATGTCTTTATATCCTTTTTTTTCCATCTTGCTAGTGACGGGTGATAAGAATTTTTAAACGTGGGGCCCATAAAAAGACAGCCAGACACAAGGAGGTGGTGCGGGCAAGATCTACCCGGTGGGTTGGGGGAGAGATAGAATACAAGCAGCACAACTTGTCCACTTGGCCATCCGAGGGAAATCTCACCACCCACCATTGTCAGGGCGATTTTACGGAATCATACTCGGCCGATATATCCCAGTATAGCAGGTCTTTCGCACGCGTGAACCAATCATGGCGATCGACCACTTGACAGGCCCAACCCAATCGCTCGCTGCATGCTTACTGCATAAACATCCATGGCACATTGCACACTCCAATTTTCTTTTCACCTTGCACTTTTTGGCTTTCTTCCCACCAAACCCACTTTCCGAAACATTCAATGCATAGAATCCTTTTCTGTCAGTCGTTTCCACACTTTTTTTTCTACACGCGTGATATGTAATAACAACCCAACCATATGGGCTGTGGTTGGAATTGCAAAAGACTTAGTATAGCACACATACAATACAACACACTTTCCACCTGTGACGGGGAACAAGAGGTGAATCATTTTTTTTCTTTCACTTTCTCTCTCTCTCATCATTTCCCCCCTCCTCACAATGTACATTTGCCCCCCATTTTCAACGGAGAACCGGGGTGGTGGGGCGAGACATTATTCTTTTTACTCGATTTGATGTGTCAGGATCATAAGAGAACCAATGAGGCATATTGCATAGTATATGTATTTTGCCATGGATGGCTACATGTATCACTATTACGATGCTACATACTGGGGGAGGTGGTAATAGAAAAGAAAAGATGATGATAATGACGATGAATCATAATGATGAACTCCTTCCTCCTTGTCGTCATCATGCTTCCATGTGTGTGTGTGTGTGTGTGTGTGTGGAGTTGTATCCATAATCATGGTTTGATCGCTATTAGTCTTTTTCATTGTGTAGAAAACGGGAATGATTCTAAAGAAGAAACAACAAGGATGAAGAACCCTCCTCCTAGTCGCATTTGAATAAGAGATTTACATTGCATGCTTCAGGAAGGAGATTGTGGGGATTTGTGTTTATTGTATATTTGTGCATGTGACCCATGAGTTGTTGCTATGTATGTGTGTGTATGTGTTGTGCCGCATAATAATAGAGAGATAAGGTCAACAACAACTGAGATGAGATTTGCCACCTAATCTGAAATTGCTTGGGGGGAACAAGGCACGTGGGGGGTTAAACGCGCTCTTACCGAAAACAAAAACATTTTCCTTGTTCTTTATCTGAAACAACACACACTTGCACACACACATATCATTATGCGACCACAAACAGCTGCTCTTTATACCGTGGGTGCTCTTACTGCAGTCGGTCTCGGCTATGTCGTCTACTTTGATTACAAGCGTCGCAGCGATCCCAACTTTCGCAAAAACTTGAGTAACGTGTTGAGATCTTGCCCAAGCAATGTGTTGCATGTCACTCAACCATGTCCTTATCCTTATCCTTATCCTTAGAACGTCAACGCAAGCAAGCTGCCAAGGTTGCAAAGGCTCAAGAAGAAGACGACAAGAATGCAAAGATCAAGCTCATTGAAAAGGTCATTGTTGCTGCTGCTCAAGAAACCTATCCAACCACACCCGAGGAAAGAGAAAAGTATTTCATGGAACAAGTTGCAGCTGGTGAGGCTTTGTGCGGTCAAGGTATGTCTTGTTTTTATTCGTGTGGATAAGGCAGTTGTGTTGATATCACGTGATTTAGGTCCTGAGCAATATGAAAATGCCATCTTGCCATTCTACAAGGCCCTCAAGGTTTACCCCGCACCTATGGAGCTTGTCATGATCTATCAAAAGACTGTCCCCGAACCTGTATTCACTACCATTGTTAACATTTTGGCTATCGAGGTAAGGAAAGAAGGATAAAAGGATTGGTGTTGGGAAAGAGAAGAGCCATTGACCAAAATCGCTCTATAGCAACAAGCCATGGAAGCAAATGGTGCCGCCGCCGCTTCTTCTGGAACTGCTGAGGAGGCAGCAGCAGCAGCAGCCACTGGTGCTGAACCCGAGATCCCTATCGACAACTAAAACCATTCGCCCGCAGCTGTACATTTTTCTTATTGAAACATCACCTTGTATACATCATCTCAGCCCCTCTCTCTCTCTCTCTTTCTCTATCCTTCCTTCCTCCTTTGCGTTATAGACACCACCAAAAATTAGCAGCATTAATACATCAGCAATTGTGTATGTGTGAGATTATTGGATTATATGCAAGGATTCGGGATCATGCGCACGGACGGACTCGGAGATTCGAGATTGGATATATGCACATTCACATACATATTTTTCCACCACATGGAATGATGGCTCGATACATTCATCACGAGGATGGGGACCCCTCATTTGGCGTGTTTTCAGTTAAAGGAAGGATGATCTTGGTGGGATTCCCAAAATGGAAAGTGGCGACTTTTGTTTACAAGATCGGCTGAAAAGGAAAAGCATGCGCATATATACGGCTCCATTGTTGTCATTCATCTCCTTTGCAGCAAACACGGTGACAGCATCTCCTATTTTGCTATTCTTTTTCACTTGTTTCAACACACACATACACACACCACTTGCCACACTATGAATGAATCAGCAGACCCAACATCCAACAGCAGTAGCATGCTTAATGATGATCCCAACAGCACAACATACAAAGCTATCGGAGTCTCCTTGGCCGTAGCAAGTGGTCCGTATACCACGCAACCATCCACATCGCCATAACAACTTGAATCTAACTCAACACTACACAGGATTATTCATTGGCACCAGCTTCGTTTTCAAAAAGAAAGGTCTTATTGAATCTATTGATCGGAAAGGTAATGATCACGGCGCGTATCGGGAGATCCATCATTGATGTCTAACACGTGTGTAAAGGTGGTGTGCCAGGTGATGGTTATCGATACCTTGGATCATTCATGTGGTGGACTGGCATGGTACTCAGTTAAGTCGCAAAAGGAATCAATTGCAAGATCAAGGGGCAGGATGATTGATAAAAAGAGCACCGTTTTCTAGTGATGGTTGGCGAGATATGCAACTTTGTGGCGTATGCCTTTACTCAAGCTATTTTGGTCACACCGCTTGGTGCATTAAGCGTTGTAATAAGGTAAATGGGGAGACTTTTTATAGGTATGCAAAAGTGCTAAGGCTATACGTATATATAGTGCCATATTGTCATCGATCTTTCTCAAGGAACGGCTTTCTTTTTACGGCAAAGTTGGATGCTTCCAATGTATTGTGGGGGCAGTTGTCATTGTATTACACGCACCTGAGCAATCCGCCAATGATACCTCCATCGAGACTTTTAAGGGCCTTGTTATTTCAGTTGGTATGGGATCCATTCTCCTCCTTGGATTCAATGATGACAAATGACTCATGGTGTAAGATTATTAGGTTTCTTGGTCTATTCTTGTCTTTTAGCATTGACAGCTATCCTATTGATCATATTTGCTGTGCCACGATGGGGTCGAAGCAACATGCTAGTCTACATTTCAATATGCTCGCTGATAGGTGCTATCTCTGTTATCTTCACACAAGGACTTGGGATGGCTATTGTGCACTCGATCACCATTGAAAACCAATTCAACAACTACTTTATTTACATTGTTTTGCTCTTGGTACTTGTCACCTTGGTGGTTGAGATTGTATATCTTAACAAGGCGCTCAACATATTCAACACGGCAGTTGTCACACCAACGTACTATGTAATGTTTACGACGCTCACCATTGTCAGCTCTATTGTGCTCTATCGTGGATTTGGTGATGCGACATCTCCAGAAGATATTGCTACGTGTGTATTGGGTTTCTTTTCAATTTGTACAGGCGTTGCGCTCCTTCATCGAGATCAAGGCCATACTCAGCACTCGACTACTATCAAGGATTCCGATTCTCTTCTTGAACAAGGCAGCGGTGGTGAAAAGATTCAGACATCACCCGACGATACAACAACGCCTGTTGTGATAGAAGGTGTGGGACCTGCGCAGCTGGTACCATTTGCAGGGATTACACGTTATGCCAGCAAACGCGTGAATCGAGTGATGGTGGATAGTAGTAGTACAGCGCAACAACCAAGGCAAAAAGCAGTGACTATGAAAGCAGCCATCTTATCTTCTTCATCATGCTCTTCATCCGCAACATCATCATTATCCATTGCAGCAAATGATCCAGTGGTATCACCAAGCAAGACCATTGGTGTGGGTAATACCAAGCAAGGCGAGGATGGTTACACGCGTGAATTACGATGGAAAGATAAATGGCAATCATACGACGAAGAGGAGGAGGAGGAGGATGAGCAAGAACAAGCACGTCGTCGTGAGGATGAGAGAAAGCAGGAAGAAAAAGAGAATTGGCGACATCAACAAATGGAGGCAGCAGCTAAGCAAGTTGCCATCACTATTCAAGAACCTGTCATTGATCGTTGTACTATGCCACCTTGTTTGCCACCGAGACCTCCTCCTGGAAGAGCCAAACGTATGTTGCGTGCTATCCCTTTTCATCTTGGTCAACAGCATGACCCCGCATCTCGATATAATAATCCTTCTTCAAGAAACACACGAGCTCAAGATCAATTGAATCGATTGAAGGCATATCAGATGGGTTTATACAGTAATAATGGGAAGCATTCAGATCGTACACATCTTGTATCATCCAATAACGATAGCATGCTAGAATAATAAGAAGACTACTATATACAATTTATTCCATACAAAGAAGAAGGGTATACACATGGGAGGGTGATGATGATGGGTAATCCATCATTGAGGGTTATCTTGACCGAAAATAGGAGGAGATGACGCATTGGTGAAACTCACAGGTGCGTGTTTAAATCGAGCAAATGCAGAATTGGGTGCAACGGATCGCTTCGGTTCGGGGGCATAGTTGGATGATAAGATGGAATTGAAGCCAAACTGATAATCTTGAGAGATACCTGAATGAATACTAGGCAAATCACCCCATCCTTCGTCTTCTTGATCCTCCTCTTGTTTCTTGTTATCTTCCTCAGTCAGCCACGATGGTGAAGCCGACATTGGCTGAGGAGCCTTGCTGTTGCTGTTGTTGTTGGTAGCAGCAGTGGTAGTAGTAGTAGTAGTACCGCCAAAGAAAGCTTGTGCCGGTCGTGATTGGAGATGCGTCGAAGTCAATCGATTCGAGAGTTTCTCTTCAGGTGTCGAAACCGAGAATGCATTTAGTTGTTGGACGAGATCTGAATCCATTACTGCAAAAGGTTGTGTGTGTGTGTGTGTGTGTGTGTGTGTGTGTGGAGAAAGGAAGCTGAAGAAGACGAGTCCTCCAGAGTGCGAATGAATTTAATTTGGCTTGTCCTTGTTTCAACGCCTTCCTTCGAACTCCCTACACCCACACAAACACACACGCGCGCCTCTATACCCAACAGCCCCAATTCCCACAGCTCGATGCATCGACGACGACCTTCGAAATCGATCCTGTTGCCACGAGCAGCATCAAGCTATTATGGCAACAATACGCACCATCCCATTTATGCTCGACGCACCATGGCACATCTTCCCGAGACCATTCCGGATACAACCTATCTTTGGGGTTACGCTCTTATTGCAATCACTGCCATCACGTTCACCGTACTCATGTATGCTATCATTGGCAGTAAATACGTTCCTGATACGAATATCAAGGCAAGTTGTATATATGAATTGGGGATACACGTGATTGATATTGGACGCATGGATTGTAGCTACTGGATTGGATCAAACATGACGAGTATTATTGTTTGCTTTTCCCTATTACTGCTATTGTATGGATCTACTTTATCGTATGGAATTGGATGGGAATGAAGTTCTTTCGCCACAACTAAGACGACAATACGAGATGGATCAATCTATACCCTCATCCTTCAACAACGACTCGTGAATGCTTTCAGGCCACGTTCAGAGATAGTATTGGGATATGAATCTCCACTGCCGTCCTTTGTCAGCACTTTGAAGTTATCGGATACGCTCGTCAGAATGAGTCCACGCATTATGACATGTTTCCCCGAATGCTCTTTCACACCAAGGCGTACGATACAGAAGCTGGTGATAGCGCTTTCGAACCGCAATTCTTGTATGCAAGTATCACCTATGTGGAAAGGCTACAGGCAGGATTCTATAGTGAGCATTGATTAGTGAAAGCTATGATTCAATACATCATCTTTTGTCACGTATGTTATATGATGTGGTGGGATTCGGTGATAATGTTTGCTTTGTATTTGAGATTGTTGGCTTGGATCATGGAATGGGAACTGTTTGCACATGGAAAGCGTGTTCAAAGATATACAATGCTTCATTTAGCAAGGCCTAAGATCCTTAATGTCCCTAATGATTAGACGAAGATGATCAAAAATCGCTGGAAAAAGGCATGCAATCTCCCAGTAAGCTTGGGTTAAACATGATCCATATGTGGGGTATATCCTTGGGTGAAATCGGGGTCTAGATGATGGTTACACAGGATTGACAGGTTGCACAAATGGATAAAGATCGCCATGGTCAAGTTGTTTGAAGGAACACCCTTCACTTGGAAAACGCAATTAGTAGCCTCAGAGAATTTTGGATGCTATCAATAGTGCTTGAAAGTGCCCGTTTGTAATGTCTGGAAGTCCTTTGCATGCGAATGCGTTTAGGACATCTTACTACGCCGCTTGTTCCGAATACCAATAAACCATTGGAGACTCTTCATTGAAAGATACGAGCTACATGTCACCGGAACCAGCATTTCAAATGATGCTCTTGTGTGCATTTGTATGTGGTTTCACCACTTTAATTACTATGGAAGAAGTCTTTCAGGGAAATTGTCACGTGAGTAATGGTGCTAATGATGCTTGATACTGGAGATAGATCTTAGACATAAAGAATTGACACCGTCGTGGGACTCATGCATGATGACAATCAAGCGTTATATGGCAAAGAATGCTGGTTAAACACACATTGGGATCAACATAGCAATGCAACGAAATGAGTTGCCCAAAGGAGGATTGATCCTTTATTCTCAATTACATAAACAAGGGTGATTTCTAACATGCCAACTAGATGGATTATGTAGTCAAGGAGAGTCAATGACACCAAAATTGAGTAACACACAACTCAAAAGTGTTTCAGTGAGGGTAGAAATACATATACGAAGCCCGCTTTTCCATTGTGATAATCGGTTATGCCGAGGTTTTATTCTGCCATTCCTCATTCACCCAACAAAAGGACCCCATTTCAAGTCTTGTCTTTATCCGAGAATGCATCAACAGCTGACGTGAAGAAACGCTATTATGAACTCGCCAAGACATTGCATCCAGACAAGCCGACAGGCGATGTAGAAGAATTCAGACAAGTGGTACGAGCGTATGAGCTATTATCGGATCCTGGCAAGAGGTCAATGTACATGCGCACTGGATTGGGATGGGATGTTGCTGTTCCTTCTTCGACTTCATGGGGAGACCCTTGGGCATCGACTCCAGGACAACGACCAGCGTCGTACACAAATGCATATTGGGCAGCACAAGATGATATACGATACAAGGGTGGACCCTGGTCTTCACATGAGAAGCCTCGCTATATGAGCAATCGCACCTTCTTTTCCATCGTGGCTGGGCTGGCACTAGTCGTTGGAGTAGCACATTTTGCACACATCTTGGGATCACATTCATCATTTATCAGTGCCGCTGACAGGCATCATTTACGCACAAGTCAAGACTTAGAACGAGCACGTACCGAAGCTCAATTATTTGGCAATCAGCGGGCTGTAGAACGGATGCTAGAGAATCGCATGAAATACTTTCGGGATGACAACAACAATAGTAGTCATGGCAACAGTAGTAGTAGTGGTAGCGATGGTAACAATAAATAAAAAGAGATTGAAAACGGAACTGACTGGAAGAAACAAGAGAGGATGTAAAAAGTGACCGAGAAAAGAAAGTTGTCTCTTGTTCTCTTTGTGTTCGAGATGGTTGGATTCGGTGATATTTTACCCCCATGGATGAAAGGCTTTAGAGAAGATCCACCTCAAGTGGGTGCACAAGCTGGTCCTCCACAACAAGAACCACCTCCTCCTGAAACAACTACAAAAGAACATCATCGTCATCATCATGATCCTGGTACACAAGAGGGTCCTCCTTCAACAGCAAAGGATCATCATCATGAAGAAGGTCCTCCACATCACGAAGAAGGTCCTCCACATCACGAAGAAGGTCCTCCCCATCATGAAGGAGGCCCTCCCCATCATGAAGAAGGTCCTCCACACCACGAAGAAGGTCCTCCTCGTCACGAAGATGGCCCTCCTCAACATCATGAACATTCTGATATAGATCCAAAGGATGGCCCTTCTCCTCCTTCAGCCATAAAGGATCAACAACAAGATCAATCTCATATAGGTACTGAGGATGGTCCTTCTTCATCATCATCAACTACAAGTGATCATGAACAACCTGATGTTGGTGCACAAGCTGGTCCCACAACACATACAACGACTACAAATGATCCTCATCATCATGATAAGAAACCAACCACAACAACGGACAAGCATAAAGCAAACCATACACCTCCACCACATCCACCTCCTGGGGGTAAAAAGCCAGCACCTAATAAACCTCCAGCAGGTGGCAAAAATGATCCGCATCACCCTGCATCACCACAACCACCACCACCGGGTGTCGGTAAAAATCCCACTACGCCAGGAGACATTAATCATGTTCCCGATGTGCATGATCTTCCTCCAAGACCTAATCAACCACCAGGCCGTCATGCCGCTCAAAATGAACCACCCACTGCAGCCACCACTTCTGGATATCCTTCACTTCCTCCTGGTAGTGATTTAGGCAAGATTGGTCATCTCGGCCAAATTGGCGTATTCAGTGGCGCATCACCCTCTGTGGATACCTCCCATCAACATTTCATCTTGTGTCTTTGTCTAGCCGTTGTAATGATTCGATGGATGCGAGAACAACTTTATTAGTAATAGATGCAACAACACAATAGAATAGAGAGATGCTTTTTAGTCTTTTGAATGTGGTACATCCGTATGCATAAGATGCGGCGTGTAATAAGCTTGTTGTTGTTGAAGATCAGGATGGGGTGGATAAGGTTGATAGTAATTGTTGGCAGGTGGTTGTGGTGGTACAGCAACAGCAGCACCATAATCACTAGGATGAGAATAGTCACCTGGCTGAGGAGGAGCAGTAGCCATGTAATGTTGTTGTTGCTGCTGCTGCTGTTGTTGTTGATAGTTATAAGAAGGTGTACGATATACCGAGCATGGTGTTGTGGTAGCTGTTGTGCCATCTTGAACTGGTGGCGGTTGCTGATCGACCATGTATGCAGCTGTAAGCATTCTATTATCACCATAGCCACTCGTATCATAGGCGTATCCTTGTGGATCTTGTTGCTGTGGTGCTGTTGAATAGTAATACTGCTGCTGTTGTTGTGGTTGTTGGTAATAGGGATCCTGCTGTTGATGCTCGTATGGGTTTGGAACAAATGGACGTGGCGTTTCGCTCATGACAGGTGTAGCTGTAGCACTTGTTGGTACCGGTGAACGATAATGCATAAGTTCATCCATATCCTTGTTGCCTCCTTGAGCATTATTTTGACGTGCTTTTCTTTTCCTTCTCACAAGTACAAATGCCAAAAGCCCTGTACAATCATCATATCATATCATAAGTAATCCGAATGTAACGGGTTTTGTGATAGATCAACACTCACCAAGTAAAGCAGCCAATACGGTACCACCAATAACACCACCTGCAATGGCTGCAGATGAATTTCTTTGGTCTTTGCTAGCATCATGAGAATCATCGGCGATCGTAGTTGCAAAGGGGGTATAAGAAGTCGATGTAAAAGTATGGACTTTGCCGTCAGCGGACGTGGTAACACCAACAATATGCGTAGCACTGGAGGAGGTGATAGTCTTGCTTGCAGGTTTGTCATGATGTTGCTTGTCACTCGATGGTGATGGTGATGAAGGATGGTTGTTATTGTTACTTGAAGTTGCGGATGGGGTGGGTTGTTGGGAATCTTTGTCTTTGTTTGAAGTAGGTGAGGGGCCTGATGCGGTTTTATTGTCTTCTTGTTGGGTCTGCATTAAAGTACACACACACACATGACACACAGGGGAATGATGGTGGAGATTAATCAACATGCCAATACTTCTATACGCTCAACCCCCTTCCTTGTCGTGCATATCCCCAATCAAAAATCTTCTTTCTTTTACACACACACACTCATCCCTTGACTCATTTCTCGTGTCCATCATCTCTTAAATACATACATTTTGTGATTTACCACTGTTGTTGTTGTTGTTGCTATCGTTGGATGGTGATGGTGCAGGTGCAGGAGCTGACGAAGGTGATGGGTTGCTCGATGGTGATGGTTGATTTGTGGATGGTTCATGAGGTGGAGGTGAAGCAGGTTGTGATGATGGTTGTGGATCAGGATGGCTTGGTGGTGAATTATTATTGTTGTTGCTGCTTCCTGATGATGAGGATGCATGCGCGTCTGCGCTAGGTGGAGGTGGTGGTGTATCGCTAGCACCTTCGTTTGGAGATGAACCCGACAGGAGCGGATCCAAAATGCTGCGAAGAGACATCTTCATCGAGAAAATAAAGCAAGAAAGAGAAAAAGATAATAAAAAGGTCAACGGCAAAAAGAAAAAAAGAAGGGCACTTTGTGAGGACCTCCCGTAACCAAAAATAGTCAGCCATGGCTATCAGCTCCCTTTTTCATCCCACTCTATCCCCCCTTTCGGTCTCGCTGTTTATTCCCAAATGTCTTGATGTACTTGCATCTAGTTCATCTTATTGGATTGTTGATGTAAACTTATTTAGCTTGGAATGCTGCTTAATCCTCCCATAGATACACAACGCGAACAAGCTCAAATGCAAGATGTGTAGAGTAAATCTAATAGCAACACAGCACGTGTCTATGTTCTTCATACTACTGTATCGCCTTGGTTTTAGAGTTTATGCACCTGCCGTGCCTCATTCTCCTATAGCAATCATTGTCATCGTCCCCTCGAAAAGTGCAAATACGCTATGTCCATACAATACCTTGGGAGTGTATTAGCAATTGGTCCGCTCAAGAGTATTTTCTCTTGAGTTTTCCGCAAGGAGAAGAACGGGATTATCACTTGGCATAGACTCGCATCAAACATCGCTTATAAGGGAAATGAAAAAGGGTTCGTAAATAATTCGAATGATACATGCGTTGTGTGGATGACTCTTACTGTAAGATTGACCCGGCACTTTTTTCCCTAGCACATACATATACATACTCCACATAGACAACTAATGAAATGTAATGATGAAAAAGGGGTATACAGCTCAAGTAACATCACTCGACTCATCCCTCAAGCACAGGGCGATGCGCTGTATACAATACATCTCTCCTTTGTATAATCAATCAGCGTCCAAAGCCTTTATAACGTATTGTGGGATGCCACATAACAATGGTAACTATAATCAAAGCGTCAAAGTATCCTTAATGATCATCCAAATTACATGTGTTCAATGCCAAAGGCAACTCGGCCAATGCACCAGTAAAGGCTTGCTCGGAACACAATGTGTGCTAATATACGTACTTGCTCTCTGTTGAAGCGCTCCATGTAAAATTGAATACGTACTTGGGGATTGTTTGTTGCTATGCATTTATGTATCGCTTATGCCAAATGAGAATGTCCCGTAAAACAAACATCTTTCTAGAGGTAGGTCTTTTATTGCGCCATATGAGATCAGCAGTGATGATGTAGATGTACAAAAAAAATGCAGCACAGCGGACGTTTGATGATAATCGAAGGTAGCCATGGCAACCTACACGCACTTGAAGCATGCATCTAATGCCATATGGTTGATTTATTATCCGAAGCTGCATCGTGTCTATGGAAGGGGGAAAGGGGATATATGCGAAAAAAGAACGTGTTAAATAAATCCTGGAAGAAGAAAAGGAGCAAGTTGTCGTGATACTAGTTTCATAGCAATTCACGTGCCCCAAGTTTCAATCTAGCTTTATGCTCACCGTTAGCATCATCGTTCAATAAATCGTATGTACCTACGTTGAGTATTCCTCCTTTGTGCCAAGCACCACTAGCAGCAAAAGATTCCCAGTGCACGGTGATGATGATATACGTTACACCACAGGCGTCAATGCAACATTTGACAGACCATGAACACACACGACGACGTACATACTCCTGCTATTACAAGCTCGTATCCCTCCCCCATCATAGTCCGTGCCATCCTGCAGCGGCATGACTATTGAAACCTCGATGCAACATTATTCATACTTTGCTATGTACGCACCATGATGGTGTCATGTCTTGTTGGTGTAAGCAGCTTGACGAAGATGATGCTACGGGATAAAGTACTAGCAACATTGCTTGTTTGGTGAGTGTTTAAAGTTGCTTTTGCTTACCATGGGTAGCTGTTGCATAGCAACAATTTGCGTATCATTGCCAACTATGGCCCTGGCTGATGTTACATAAGCGGGCATGTTAATAACCGAGGCTGTAAATGAAGAGGGATACAGCTGCAACCATGGGCCCATCTAAGGATGACACTACAACTAGTCATCATGCCACAATTTGAAGCAACCCATGATGCTATCCTGGCCGCATGAGTTGCTTGTGATAGATCAATCAACCCACCTTGGAGAATACAAAAATTGCTGTGACAGGCGCGGCGAGACATTCCAATTACCAATTAACTTGACTGGGTGTATTGAGGAGATGACAACTGTGACACTTGTATTCCAAGATAAACAAAAGAATCATGATGCATGTGGCCGCACTGTAAATGAAATACGCATGAATTAAGCCCATCCCCCCTTTAGCATGGATCGTCAACCACATCCATTTTGACTCTCCTTGTGTGCTTCTTTGTGTGTGTGTGTGTGTACACTTTGCAAAAGACTTGACCCCCTTTTCCCGTTCCTTGCTATCTTGTATTCCTTTTCGGGACATGTCTCCTTAATCCAACATATACATGCACACACGCGTCAACCAAAAGTTACCCCTTCATCCTTTTCCTTCTCTTTCTCTCTTTTTCTCATATCGAATCCCTTCCTCTCGCTCTCAACAAGATGGTCCGACAAACTGTATCAGAAGCAAAACTACGAAAGATCCTTGAATTAAACGATAAACTAAAGGAGCAGCTTGAAATCCAACGTATTCCGGTATCGGAAGCAAGTCGGTCGTATGTGTCTTTGTTTTCATGTTCATTCTTTTGATTGCATGCTCATTTATGATGATGTTCATTGTTGTAAAGGCTGATTGATTATTGCCAAACAAATCCTGATATGATGGTGCCATCAGTGTGGGGTAATCGCAATCCAGATCCATTTGCAGAACCCGTGGGCGAGTGTGCATGCCGAGTCATGTGAAGTTGGCGATACATTTATATCATCATCCATCATAGTAGTAGTTGTTAAAAACAGCATCCTCTTCTTCCTCCTCTTCTTTTTAGTCTTAGTCGCATCTTTTATGTATACACACTCACACTCACACTCACATCCACACACCCATTCATCCATGATTCTTTGTTACGAGTTTCATTATCAACTTTATTTTCCAATAACATTCATGGTTTACTACAAGTGGAAAGTGGTATTCATTCTTTAAGGTGATGGGTGGGTGCATGTAGCACAATGAACAACATCGCGAATCGGACTGTATAAGCACGCAGTGCATTTTCTCCTTTCGACGCGCACCACACACTTTTCTTTCTTCTCTACTCACACCTGCATAACCCATTCGCTCTCGTTGTTTGCAACCTACCATGGAAATGAACGATCAGGCGTATAGTGCGCTTCAACAATACCTCCAACAGACCTTGAATCCAACCACGCAAAAGAATGGTACGTTGTCTTCTTGTCCCATTGACAACCCACACACCGGTCGTCTTTTAACAGCGATTGACTTGATATAGCCGAGCGTCAACTTGCCGAGGTCGAGGTCCAACAAGGCTTCCCTATCTTGCTACTCAAGTTGATCAACGACAACAACGTCGAAATGGTGCTTCGATTTGCTGGATCGCTCTACTTTAAAAACTACATCAAGCGTCACTGGGTGCCCGTAAGTCGCTACGCGATGCAGCACATGTACACGCTATTTACACCCATAGCAAACTAGGACAATGAACAAGCCAACAAGATTGCACCCCAAGACCGTCTTGCGATCAAGACCGATATTGTCCAGATCCTAATCAGTGTGCCTGACAAGATCCAGCTCCAGATCAGCGACGCCTTATCTATCATGGCTGCGTCCGATTTCCCAGAGCAGTGGCAGGATCTGCTTCCAGTAAGTTCCTTTTTGGGTGGGTGTGTGTGTAGCTTTCGATCCATATCAACTCATGCATGGAACACGTGTATGTGTGTTCATTGTTTTACAGCAATTGATTAGTCGTCTCAGCCCGACCGATTACAGAGTCAACAATGGTATCCTACAAATTGCTCATTCTATCTTCAAGAGGTAAAGCTCCTACATGCCCCCAATACAACCATCATGGATGTACTCATGTGTGTGTGTGTGTGTTTAGATGGCGATCCCAGTTTGAATCAAATTCATTGTTTTCGGATATCAAATATGTTCTGGAACTTTTCTGTGAGCCTTATCGACAATTGCTTCAGGTAAAGGAGTGGTTTTATTGAATGCGTAGCGATGAAGTACTCATCCTGTATGTGTGTGACATCTCTAGATTACCGACAAGTTGATGCGTGAAAATGAAAACAATCGAGCTGCCCTTGGTCCTTTGTCTCAATCCTTGATTCTCTTGATCAAGATCTTTTACGATTTGAATTGCCAGGATCTTCCCGAGTTTTTCGAGGATAACATGCCTCAGTTCATGGAATTCTTCAAGTACTATCTTGTGTATCACAATCAGCTTTTGGACACTGGGGTATGTATATGGTGACGGTGGCTGTCCATGGACGATCGACATGGCTCATGCTGTTGAAAAATAGGATGAAGAGGAAGCAGGTGCCCTAGAAAAGATCAAGACAAGCATTTGCGAAGTGCTAGAGCTTTATACTCAAAAGTATGAGGAAGACTTTCCCCAATTGGTCGACTTTTTCTCCATTGTCGTCGAGCTGCTTGCCAACCTTGGTCCCGAACCCAAGCATGATACTGTAAGTCCCTCAACGGCATGTCATCAAGAGATGACCGAAGGCTAATGTATGATGATAGCTTGTTTGCAAAGGATTGTCATTGTTGACAAGCATGGTCAAGAACGAACGCACAGCTGGTGTGTTGGGATCCGGTGATACATTCAAGCAAATGTGTGAGCGTATTGCTTTAAAGAACATCCCTATGCGTGGTACGTATCAAAGTTTATGGCGAATGTTGTCAAGGAAAGCTGACCAAAGAAATTACATATAGAGGTGGATGAGGAACTTTTCGAAGACAACCCTATCGAGTATATTCGTCGTGACTTGGAAGGATCAGGTAAATCACTCATGTCATGGATCAATGTGTATCGAGGTGTACAGGAGATGTGACATTGGATTGTATTAGATACGGATACACGTCGTCGTGCTGCTGCTGATTTCATTCGAGGTTTGATGGAGCGTTATGAGAGAGACACTACCGCCATCATGTCGCAATACATTGGCTATTACTTGCAGGTAGGATCATAGGTTGGGATGGGAGTATCATGCATGACTCATCTGTTTTTGTCGTCCAGGAATACAATACCAATCCTCAAGGCAACTGGAAAGCCAAGAATACTGCCATCTTTTTGCTCGTCGCCATTGCATCGCGTACCTCCACCATGCAACTTGGTGTCACCCAAACCAATCAGCTTGTGGATGTCGTTGATTTCTTTACCAAGAACATTTTGGCCGATTTGCAAACCGATGTCAACGCCGGTGTGCCTATTCTCAAAGTGGATGCTATCAAGTACTTGTACACTTTCCGTAGCCAAGTAAGCATGATGGTGTTTTGAGCGAAATGCATGTATCGCTAACATGGTTATCATCATTGTAGCTTACCAAAGACCAACTGTTGACTGTTTTCCCTCTCCTTGTCAAGCACTTGGAATCCAACAACTATGTGGTGTACACCTACTCGGCTATTGCCATTGAGCGTATCTTGTTCTTGCGCAAGGAAAAGATCATGATGTAAGTTGATGAGGGGACATGGATGGATTGTTCATTGCAGGGTATTCATACAATGTTTTTTACAGCTTCTCTGCTGCTGATATTGCACCCTACGCTGAGAACTTGTTGTCGCAGCTTTTCCGACTCATTGAACAAGGCGAGACACCCCAAAAGCTTTCCGAGAACGATTATTTGATGCGTGCTGTGATGCGTGTTATTATTACTTGCCGTCAGGATATGGTGCCTTACGTCAATGTGATCATGGGCAAGCTTACCAGCATTTTGGGCATTATATCGGCCAACCCAAGCAACCCTCGCTTCAACCATTACATTTTTGAAAGCATTGGTGCCTTGATCCGTTTCATTTGTCCTATTTCAGATGGTGCTGTTACCGAGTTTGAAAACATGCTGTTTGGTCCCTTCCAAACCATTTTGGATCAGGATGTACAAGGTAAGAAAAACAACATTGGGATGGCATTTGTGGATGGTTGATTTAATTGGGTAATGATAGAATTCACCCCCTACGTGTTCCAATTGCTCGCACAATTGTTGGAGCATCACAAGAAGCAAGATTTGACTGAGGCATATGTGAGCTTGTTGAATCCTTTATTGAACCCACCGCTCTGGGAGCAAGGCAACATCCCTGCTTTGGTCCGTTTGCTTGAAGCTTACTTGAACAAGGGCATCAACACCATTGTATCCAACAACAAGCTTGAACCTATCCTTGGTATCTTCCAACAAAAGCTCATCAATTCGCGTCAAAACGACCAATACGCCTTGACCTTGTTGAATGCTGTCATTAAGACTGTGCCATTGTAAGTTGACAAGTGGATGTGATCGCTTATGATTTGTTACTTACCTTTTATTATATAGCGAGCTTCTTGCGCAGTATCTTCCAGCTCTTGTTACCTCGGTGCTTACTCGTCTCCAAACCAAGAAAAAGGGTGATCGCATCATTTATGACAAGTTTACTCGCAACTTTACATTGTGGATTTGTTTGTTCTGTCTCCTTGACAAACTTGGTGGTCCTGATACCTTGATTCGTGTATTTGATTCAATGCAGCCTGGGTAAGTGGATGAGGATGTGATGTATCTATGTGAACAATACCTAACGCTATATGCATAGTCTCTTTGGTCAAGTCATTACTATTTTTGTGACACCCGATCTCAACGCATTACGTGACCCAATTGATTACAAGACATGTGCTGCTGGTATCGTTCGTTTGTTGACCCGGAGTGATTTATTGCTGCAACAAGGCTATTTGAATGACGTATGGCCCAAGATCTTTACTGCATTGCTTGCCATGCTTGAATTACCTCCTACAACCACTGATGATGGACCAGACGAATTTTACACATTGGATATTTCCGAGGAAGGAGGATACCAAACAGCCTATGCTAGACTCTCAACAGCAGCACCTGTGCGTGACAATGTAGCAGCATCATTGCCCCCTAGCCACATTTACCTGGTACAACAGCTCGTATCCATGTCACCCGAGAAGCGTTCATTGATCAAGTCGGTGATGCCAGCAGAAGCAAACCAATTTTTGCCAAAGTATTTTGAAGCTGCAGGTGTCCCCATGTCGCAACTCTAGAAGGACCCAAGTTATCTTTTATTTTCTTCTTCTTGTAGCCTTGTAGGCATTTTCTACCCTTGTTTTGATTCTTGTCCCTTCCCCCCAATCACCTTACCCATTCACTCACTTATAACATCCCCCATCCACCACTACCACTACCAATAACAACACTATCACCACTATCACCAATTACACACACAGTCTCACACACATACACAGCACCATTCAAAAAGAAACCTCTTGCATGATTTGAAAGAATAAATAGCTACACGAAGTTGGCTGAAATATATATAGAGATGGATCTTGAAGTGACACTTTTTACATATATCCCATGCTGGAAGATGTAGGATGATGGGTGTAATGATGATGATGTTGATGTCGTTGAGGACCACCAGCATTTGTTGTAGTAGTGGATGGCATACAGGTGGCAGTGGAATGATGTCCGAGACCGTTTGCTGAAGCGTTGGTACTGCTATAACTTGGCGTATACTTGCGAATGATTTTCCTCAATGCATGTGGCAATGTCTTCCAAGAAAACACCTTGACATCCTTTTCGATATTACGTGGTTTAGGATGTGGAAAGCCCATAATCAGCTTGAAGAATTCGGCACAATCGGGTTTGCATTTGGATACGGTCAATGGCCGGAAGCCTTCCAGGTTACGACGAATACGATTCTTTTCTTCAACAGTGAATTGCACCCCAATGAGTCCTTCCAATAAATAAATACAATCGACCGATGTGATAAAGTAATCGTTTCGATCACGCCAATAAATGCATGATACCACCAAGGATGTATTGTTTCCATTACCACCATTCTGTTGGTGGTGGTAGGGAGGTGGATGTGGTGGTGGTGCAGTAGTAGTGGTGGTTGGATAGCCTTGCCCAAGACCTTGATGATGTTGTTGCTGTCCTGCAGCAGCAGCAGCAGCAGCCACAGCAGCCGCTGCTGCTGCCGCTGCCATATTTTCTCGCATGCGTTGTTGATGATGTTCTTGTTGATCCATTGGTTTAAAAGAGCATGCAATTTGTGTATGACCATCCAGAGTTTCCCCATCAGCACGCCGTGTAAATTGAACCAAGCGACGACCTGCTGCCCACTCTTGAGGTGTCCAATTGGTTGTCATTTCATTCAATTCACCACAAATACGCAAATGGGCTTTGTTCAATACACCAGCAATGGATTGTGTCGTGTAGTAGTAATGATGACTGGTTGTAGAGGATGACGACGATGAAGAGGATGGCGTGGCAGGTGGCATACCTTGATGTAATGACATTGCATTGGTGGTGGGGTGATATTGTTGTTGTTGCATAGGATGATGATAGGCGTTGTTGTTCGTACCATGAGCACCACCAGCATTCGTGACAGATGCGGGTGTATGTGGTGGCGTAGGCATTTCTTGAGAGTAAGGTGCAAGTAGCTGCAGCAATTGATAATTATCTATGACAATGTGTATGTTAGCATTGCATAAAGGATCGAGAATGCAAATGCAATTACAAGCATTACCAGCAAATCCCGATGATGAGTTGTTGGCTGCTGTAGCACTCGTGGTACTTGTGGGGCTCGAATCCTTGACAAGATACGTAAATGTACCAAATGCCCATTGTTGCGGCTGTTGATGATTGTCATTGTCATCATAAATGGCAATCGACAACGGCACTTGTCCTGCATCTAATTGCTGCATGGATGCAGAGGGTGGAGGTACACGTGCACACAAAGTGATCCATAAGCGAGGTTCACCATCGTTATCCTCGAATGAAGAAGGTACCCATTGTTGTTGTTGCGTCGTCTCAACCGTTGTCATGCCAAACATCAATTTCATGGTGGGTGGTACACGTGTCATTTTTTGCTCGAGTGTCACTGATAACATGTCATCGGATGAGCCTTGCTGTGGATGCCATTGAATGACACGACGTGCTGGCGGTGCCATAAGCATGTCTTCTGCAAAGTAGTCCTCTATCATTGTGTAATACATGTTAATGGATGGTAGGGTCGTCATCATTGAGAATGTAGTCAAAATTACCAAATGCAAGCGTGTTGGTGCTATTCGAAGTGATATTATTACTATCATCGGTTGTTGTACCACCCGTGGTGGCGGTGGTGGTGTCATGATGATGGCTTTCGAGAGGATCAGGTTCCTTGAGAGCAATGGGACCATCGTTACCAGCACCACCAACACCGGCTTCTTCTTGATTCAATCCGCTGATACCTAGTTCAAATAGATTGAAACACGCCATTGTCTCAAAGATTGGGAGAAAAGAGACAAAAAGAGAGACAACAATTGAAACCTGTCATTTTCAAATCAAAAACATATGCTCATTGTTTTTACGCGCCACGATGTGGAATCAACAAATAGAAACTACTTTTTTTTCATTTAGGGAAATTGCCCTTTGCGGTGCCTTTTGTTTGTTCATGCATGGATGGGTACAATGATTGGCTAGAGTGGCTATGATGCGGGGAAAAAACATGCTGTGATCTCGATCGATATAGTGGTAAGTTACGCCACCCAGGTTGTCATGTCGGTGAATAAGATCTCAAGTTAAAAAGCTACGCGGGGGCTTCCTTATTGAATACAACAATGGGGCACGACGCACGTGGACAAGGAGACAGTCATATTATGCTTAGATCAAAAACGTTACTTAGAATACAGCCTTGTTTTTATTCTACCTACTAGAATGAAGCAAAAAAAGTAGAAGATGGTGTGTGTGTGTGCGTGTGTACGGGAAAAAGAAAAAAAAGTAATGTGCGTGCGTGATTGTGTGTGAGTGAGTGATTGTGTGCGTAAGAGAGAAAGGAAAGGGGGACAAGGAAACAAAAAAAGATGGAAAGAAAGAGAAACGATCGTGCAAGAAAGAAAGGAAAAAACGAGTGATTGCAAAAGAAAAAGGAAAGCATTACATGGGACGATGTTGTTGTATTTGATGATGATGAGAATGATGCGGATGGTGTTGTTGTTGTTGTTGTTGTTGTGCTTGATCTGGATGCGGATGGTGATGGTGGTGGTGCTGAGGATGATGATGATGGGTGGTAGCAGCAGTAGGTGGATATTTAGCAGCAGCGGCAGCGGCAGCGGCAGCGGCTGCAGCAAGACCAAAAGTTGTCATATCCCCATGAGTAGGTGTTGTTGTTGTTGCATGATCTTGCGTAGGGGGAGGAGCACCATTATTATTCGCAGCGGCAGCAGCTACAGCGGCAGCAGCAGCAATTGTAGCAGCATTAGAACGATCCGGTGTAGCTGATGATGGCGATGAGAATTGCTCAGCATGGTATACCCATTCATCCGAAGGTGGTAAAAGCATATTGTCGTAAGGTGTCGTCATTTCTGGTTTTATCCGTACGCCTGGATGAGGAAATAATTGGGTATACAAATCCGTGGTATTGCCATTGGGTGAAGAAGCATGATTGGTGAAGGTATTACTCGCATCCGCTGTCGTCGATGGTCCATGATGATGATCTCCTCCTCCTCCTCCATTATTATTATTGTTGCTGTTGCCATGACCCAAATAGCTCATATCAGTTGATCGTTGTCGTTCTTGTAATTGCTGATTTCGAACAAGCTCGGTCTCTAATACTTGGATACGTCGTCCTTGGACTTCAATGATCTCATATGCATGCTTAATTTGTGCTGCCAATTGATGGTATCCTCGAGTAATCTTGATAATTTGACTTTGCATATCTCGTTCACGACGTGTCATATCATTGTTGGTTGTGGGGATAATACAAGTGGGTGGGGTACCTGCCATCACCGTAACAGCTCCCCCCGTTGCCGTCGTGGTTGCCGTTGGCGACTGATCCTGTAATTGCGGTGGTGGTGGTGGTGGAGCACCTGCTGATCCACCCATGACAACATCATTGCTGTTTGTAGTTGTTGTAGTAGTCGTATGAGGGGTTATTGATGATGCTGGTGGTGCTGGATGAGGTGGTGGTGGATGTGCAACAGTGGGTTGTTGTTGTTGTTGCTGTGATGGAGGTGGTGGTTGTTGTGGGGTTGTTGTTTGTTGTTGACCCATGACTGAAGAAGATGACGATGAACTTGCTTGAGTAGTAGTCATATTTGCACCCATATCATCCATAGGATTGTTGCTATTGTTGTCTTGTTGAGGTTGAGAGATAGCAGCAGAAGAAACGGAGGATGATCTGCAACGATATTTATCATTCATCATTTCAGTATCCGAATCGTCGCCCACGTTGACAATGGTTTCTGGATCTTCCTCAACTTTGACACGCTTTCGACGAGGATAACGAGCGGCCTTGCGCCGAATCAGGTGAAATAGATCACGTCTACCAGGGCGAAAATAAGGATGATACCAACGACAAGATTCTTTATCCCGAGTATCTTTGGTCTTGCGAGCGTCCGTATCACGTTGAAACCCATAAATCTATTTTCCTTCCACTGTCAGATCTAAAATACAATGATACAAAAGGGGGAAGGAAAAGGGAATTTCTGGATAGGTAGATAGATGGGTAGATGGATAGAGAGAGAGAGAGAGAGAGAGGGAGAGAGAGAGGGAGACTATGATGGGGAGGGGATCATGTACTTACGTTGAGTTGACGTACAAAGGAGGCAAACTTGCAATGCTTGAACAATCGAGGAAGTACGACTTCAGTGAATTCTATAGGGAGAGTAATAATAATAAGGTTTTGATCCATTGTGGAAGGAAGATATGGGTTTTAAAAGGAGGCGTTGGATACATACTTGGAATACACTCGATAATAAACATGTCTTTGCCATCGTGTTTGCACCAACGTGCGTACTTTTGTTCGTTGTCAGGGGCTTGAAGGCTCCTATTTTACAATGATGAATACATACATACATACATACATACATACACATACAAGAGGACCCATCCATCCATTGACTTACTGATATAATTTTGACACAAAACCCGCAATACCGCGTTCGGAATGATTGACCTCCACATTATCAAGCTCGTGGACATGAAGGGGATTATCGAGCAATAAGGGTGTTTGCCCGTGCCAATAGTCCTGCATCATGGCTGTCGTGGGATGAGGTGTTAAATGTACATGGCGTGAGTATTCAGTGGTAGAGGATGCTGGTTCTTGATGGTGGAATGGGGTTGTGTCAATAGAGGAGGAAGACGCGGTGAGCAAGTGGAAATGGCGTTCTGCATCCAAGGAGGAGGTTGAAGAGCGTTGTTGTTGTTGAGTAGGAAAAGTGACGTCGTTAGATGGCGGCGATTGTAGAGAAGTAGATGGTGATGAGGAAAAGGTGTTCATGGGTCGTAACCGTTGCGAAAAGGTGTTGTTCTCCGCAGTAGCAGTGGTAGTGGAAGGAGAAGCAATAGTGGAAGAAAAGTGCGGCGATGTGTCCGCGGCATAATCAGGATAATCCATTGGACAACAAGCCGGTAATCTTCGGCAATACACAGCTATGTGGGTTGTGTGGGGGGGGAGGAGAGAGAGAAAATGGTCAATAACAAGAAGCGAACACCCCTTGATCTGATTGCCCTTACTTACTACACAGACTTGCTGTTGACGGAAATTAAGCAAGAAGGGAAAAGGGTAATAATAATAACAATGTTGATGATGTTGATGTTGATAAGATGAATCAGTAGGAGAAATATGAAAAGAGCAAGCAAGAGCGAGAGAGAGAGAGAGAGAGAGAGAGAGAGAGAGAGAGAGAGAGCAAAAGAAAAAGAGACAGAAAGGGAGAAAGAGAGAGAGAGTAAAAAAGAGAGAGAGAGAGAGGGAGAAAAGAAAGAGGAAAAGGGCAACACAAAAGAGAGAGATCTTTCACACACTCATTCACCCACCCACACTTATTCACGTATTCTTGCACACACCCATACACGTGTGGCTTAAAATTCTTCACCTGTTGGGACGAATGGGACAAGGGAAGCCTAGTAGCATACCCTAACTTGGGATTATTTCATAATGGGGTTCCCATCATTATGGATTATCGATCGTCTTTGGTGTGTGTGCACGTCAATGATACCTAATATGCATCTACATATGGGCAAAACAAATACTTCTCCATGATGTGTATATGCACAACAGCCCGCACATCTCCGCATTTACGCGTGGAGGCGTGTGTGTGTGTGTATATGTATGTGCACATTTTGATGGAGGGGGAGAGATACAGAGGGAGGGGAATAGAAGAAGGATGGATCGCTTTGTGTGTTCAGGAGTAAAAAGGTACAATACACCAACACCACCACCACTGCTGCTGGGGAGAAGCAATCCACTCACATAATACATAGACGTACATCATGTCACTCCAATTTTCTGGATAAAGGTGGTGAATCATGAGATGAGTTTGTATATTATTGTATGCATGCTGATGTCTGTGATTTTTCCCATCGCTCATCACACAACCACACACACGCACGCACACACACTTTCTATGATAATATAGGGTTGCAGATAGGAGAATGTCCGCTATATACTTAAACCATGTCGATATCATATATACACACACATGCAGTTCATCTGCAAATGACCCAAAAACCCTACCCTTTCCCCCACCATCTCCTTGATCCTTAGCCGTTCTTATCCCACTTTTACTATTGTCGAGATATCCACAACGCTGGTTGCATTAACAATCTGGACATGATGTGCAAGGTGATTTATAGGTTCCGCTTTCTGTATTTAGCTAAGCTACTTATTCTTGGGCCCGTGCGAGAGAGAAAGAGAGGGAAGAGTATATGTGTAAAACGGAACATGTGTTTTCTTGTGTTGCCGCAATTCAAATTCAAAGCGAGTCGTTGTGTCAACCTTGATTTTGTGTTTCATTGGGGAATATTCGACTGGTTGAGGAAGAAGGTGAGATTGTCGACGACGTTAGGGAAGATGAGATGAGCGTCGGGGCAATTCGCCGTTTCTTGGTCTTGTCCGCTTGTGGTGTCACCGTTGCTATGGCTGCGCGCTTTTCCACTCGTGTGGGTTGAGGAGGTGAGCTGATATCCATCATCACTACATCTTTTTCGGTTGCATGTTGTTGTTGTTGATGATGTTGCTCATATGGAATGTCATTGTCAATGGATGTCGTCATTGTAATCGATTCACGAGCTGGTAACTTGCCAATGACCCCGAGTTCCTCCTCGTCAAATACGACCGTTGAACAATATCCATCAGCGGACGAAAATGCCAACATCGTTCCATCATGCGACCTATTTCCCAAAAGATGCATATGCATGCCTCCGTGTAAATAATAATAACGATCTCATAATGTCGCAGCATTATTGACTTACCAGCTGACATCGGTGATGGGAGCGAAATGCATGCCAGAGACGACACACAATGGTTTGCTTTGTTGGGTATCATAAATGTAAATGGCTTCTTGGCTGGCAACGGCATATAACAATCGATGTGGAAGCGTGAAGAGCTTTGATTTCTTGGTGGGTCGTAATTGATAGGCGTGGCGAGACCAACGTACGGCAATGGTAGGCTTATTGTGATTGCTGGTGTGTGCAATAGGATGCCTAAACGCACAAATTAGATTGTGAATGTGCCTTTTTCGTCATTATAAGATCCTTACTTGCGAATTGTATTCCTGGGGTATATGAATGCACAATGCATAACATTGCTATCCCCATCCTCGGCTCCAGCTGTCATTACTCCTGCAGGTGTAATCAGGAACGTCCCATCTGGACTGAAGGATAATCGCCGAAAGAATGTGACAAGATTTTCGTCATGATAGAATCGAGTGGATGTGCTCTCAGCCGTCTTGTTCATCTTGTAATGTCGTTTTGCCGCTCCAAAATGTAGCCGTCGTTGTGAATCCTGTTTGTAATGGTAAACAGCCACGGATCTACAATAAAGTGTCAACAAGGAATACCCAAGAATAACTCTATTTTCACATGCCATCACACACACACAATGCCAACACACATCCTCGGTGCCCTCCCTTCTTGCTCAGCTCGTGCGTGTGTGTGTGTGTGTATCCCCATCCACCCAATTCAGCTTTACCTATCGCTGCTTTGTGTTGCAACATATTCTCCGAGAGGATCCCATGCTACTCCTTGGACATAATGCGTGTGGTCTGTAAACACGTGGATGGTACTGCCTGTATGCATTCTCCTTTTAGCTTGGGGTTTCTCCCTTTCCACGTATCCAATGATACTTGCGTGCACCAATACTCCATACTCGAGCTGTATTATCGATGCTTGCTGTGATAATGTATTCCCCACATGGCGACCATGCCAAATCGTAAATCTCCTTATTGTGGCCGCTAAGAAGAAAAACGTGAGCAAAAAAAGTCCATGTTCTCGACTACTCCATTGAACTTACTGGAACATATGGACCACACTCCATGACTCCTTTTCAAATTCAGCATTGTCCCTTCCAAAGGCTGATTCACCAACAATGGATCGTTTCCAGATAATCACACACGAATCTACCATGGCCAACATTGAGCTCCTATCTCGTGTCACGTCCAATGCAGCAAACATTATGCTTACCATCTCCTGCAGATGCCAAATACTCGCCTGAAGGAGAAAATCGAACCACGTTGACAGGACCAGAATGTCGCTTGAGCTCTGAGAGAAATTCGATATGTACAGGAAGACCAGTCTTGTTATGGTTGTTGTCTTTGCTATTGTCTGCACGTCGTTTGATGCTCCACAGCTAGGTTCGTTTTATATACATGTTGAGTGTTGGCTGAAGGAAGAAAAGAGAAGCCATCATGACGTCGATTGCCTTACTCGAACAGAGGTGTCTGCACCAGCACTAGCGAACCGAATGCCATCCGATGAATAGTCGACCGAGTAAATAGCGAGGCCGTCGTGCCAATTGATCTCGATGGTCTATTTAGAAGAGTTGTCCTTAGTAAAACATACCTTATTACAATGAAAGAGGCTCTGCATGTGTGCTTGTGATGTTACCTTTGCTTTCATGGGGGTGGAATGGGCAATAATACAGAAAAGAGACTGAAACAAAGCGAGTCAACCGACGCGTCCCTAAAACGCGCCTCGCGTTGATGATGGCAAGTTTTGGATACAGGGCGCGTCACATTGCAGATCCATTATCCACCTTGCGCACGGACACTTTAAAGACATCCATCCATCCTGGATAGCTGTTGGCTAATCAAACATCACAATTCCTCTGTTGATGGCAAATGACAAATCTCAAATGACAAAGCATTGGCTATCATTATACCCGTTTCCTGAATCATTCCTCCTGAAATCATTACTGCCATGCGATCGGTGGAAGCTCTGGTAATAAAAGACATGGCTTCATCATAGGAGAGCTATTTTGACAATAAGAGGCATCATGTCATGGCAATGCTAATAGACGATTCGACATCAAAACATCTTGTTGTTGATGAAAGTTTTACCCCATTTCAATCCAACCCTTGATCCACAAGAGCGCCGAGGTATCATAAACGTGTTGTCTTGTGTACAAAGCACAAGTAATGTTACCCAATAAAAGAGACGCTTTATGTGTGTGTCGATTGATTCATATCAAGGTATCGAGAGAACAACCGTTGAAGCACACAAAAGTCATCGTTAATACACACACGCATACAAATGGTACATGGGTTCTAACATTGCGCTCGGCGAATCCAAGAGCGTCTTCTGACCAAGTCAAGATGAGCCATCCCAAGATCATCGATGTGATTTACGGGTTCATAAATTGCCAGCTAATAACCTTCCTCCCATTCACAATTGTTGACCAAACCAATACATGTGAATGATTCACCTGCTCTAGCCCAATAATTCCATCATTCACCTTTCTTGATCCGAGCTGATTTGGTTGAGCAACCTTGGGTCAACGAGATATCATCCAACCTATTTAACTAATCTTGGCTGTTTGGTGGGTAATCATACGTTCCTGTTATTCCATGATGGAAAATGCCAAAAACATCTCACTTATTACAAATACCCAGGAACAAAGTACAGCCTATTATCCTGTATACGAATCCTCCTTGAATCATTGTCGTGCCACAACATACTTCACGTGCGGAAGGATTGCTTTACTGAATAAAGGATTTGGCCCATGATGAAATGGTTGCCATGGCAATAACGAGACATCAAGTCATCGCAACGACATCAATACCATGTTCGTGAATGATATGGAAGTTAATAATAATGATATGTGTGCTGCACCATCCACCACAAAGATGTCAAGAGGAGCCATTCTCCACGTTTTCATTGTATTAGGTAATGATGCAATAACCTGGGTAACGTATCATTGCGGATCAGTGGATTGAATGCGTCAAGCAAAAGATTGGCACTATACACAAAAGGAAGAAATCAACCGCATATTGAAGCATGTGCCCATGATAGAATGCTTTTGATGGTAACAATCGATCGTTGACATGGCACAAATCTTTTGTTCAGGTTCCCACGTAATGAGAATGACGCTTCTCAATATCATTCATATCCTTGGGATGGCGTGATACAAAGACTAACTGGTGATAGGTTTGACTTTGTCCAAGGTCTAAACATTGCTTGGAAAGCTGTTCCTCCCCTAAGAGTGGCAAGAAAGGGGGTGGCAAAAACGAGTGGACCAATGCATCGTGTAACCCACTTTTTCGCGTGACAATAGCCACAGCAGTGGTAAGCATATTTGTAAGCGGCTGTATGTTTTGCAGCACAGAACCTATGCATGTAGGTTGCTCAGTACATTGCTATGTACAAAACACGTATACACATTAAGCTCGTTGTTTCCAGCACATGATCCTTTTTTTTCTTTCTTTTCCATCTTTCAGTAATACGATTGCGGTTTGGACCAATGCTTGCAAAGAGCGATTTGGTGCTTTTACTAGTAGGATAAATAGATAACCGAACGTCCGCGTCCGAGGGATCACAAAAATGGGCACACACGTACAAACACGCAACCGGTGAATTCGGTCATTTCAATTCAATTCTTGATCCGCAAGAGTAGTAGGGCGGGGACACCTCCGAGAGATCAAACAATGAAAGTTTGGCATGGTATCATCCTGATTTGGTATCCAAAGCATCATGCGCTATGATGGAATGTCCCGGCAAACATTATCCATTAAAGAAGATGCTTCGTGTGTCGAGTGATTCAAAACATAGGCATCATCATTGTTGTATTGGGCATTGTCAAGCATCGGGGTACACCGAAAAGAGTAAAACTTTATTCGATCTATGGGCCTGGGAAAACAACCCAATCGTCTCGGTTGATGGATGACACCAACAAAGGATCATGTTTTTCACACACACGCATGCAAAAGGCTGACACATGGATTCTATCATTGGCTGGAATGGGTAATCTGATGATAATGATAAATGCAGGGGAAGCATTTGCAGCATGTTGGAGTCTTTCATCCCCTTCTTCGTCAATGATGAGACGACCCGTTGCCATACACACATACACACCGGGTTTACTTTTTACTTTGTACATCATGGTGTGAACGACACCATTCTAAAAGATGAAATGCGGGGAAGATTTGATCCAATTGGAATGTGCTGATAAGCGGGCCAGCGTGTGAGATTGGGGTCAATCTTTGTTTCACCAAAGGCGGGAAAAGCATTTTTACTTGTTTTGGGACATTCTCTTCTGCAAGTTGAAGTAGTGAATATCACCAAGTAAGGGATCAAAAGCTCCGCTTAGCGATCCGATCTATTCCACAGGCCACCGGTATTCCGTGGATAAATGTGGCAAATCTTAATTGCGGTCCATGCATTTGGCTTTGGATCAAAAACAAGCCTCCCAGAGCATCTCGCTTATATATAAAAGGGCTTGGTAGTATCATTAGAGTTTAGTCTGCACTTGTACAGCAACGGGCCTTTTTATTACGCTTTTTTCCCTTCGTTGCTCGCTGCTCAACATGGCATCATCATCACCTGAAGATACTACAGACCAACGCAATGCGGTGGCTATTCCAAACGAAGAGGGCAAGTGGTCTAGAAAACTCAAAAAGCACTTTAAAGAGACCTTTGGTACTATCTTTGTCAAACCTGTGGGTCGACCACCCAACCTATGGAAGCAGCTCACTATGCTAAACACTCGTCAACGGTTGACATTCCTTGCTGGTATGTATGCTTTCTGATCTATATCATGAAGCTGATATGGATTCTCTAACACCACCCTAAAAGCTTTCTTGGGATGGCTTTGTGATGCATACGATTTCTTTTGTGTGTCGTTGTCGGCTACCTATATTGGTAAGGAACATGATAGTGGCTATGTTGTAAAATGGATTGGCGATTAAGATGATTGTTGAATTGCCGTCATATAGCCGAAGACTTTGGCGTGCAGGTTTCTGATGTGACATGTAAGTACACATAAATGCAGCCTTTCACAGATTTAATGACGTGAGAATGCTCATACGATGTTGTCTAGCTGCCATTACCACAACACTTGTAAGAATGGACATCCATGTAGGATTATGCAAGATGCTCATGCTTTCTCCTTAAAACTTGTAGATGCTTCGATCCATCGGTGCCTTGCTTTTTGGGTAAGTTCTCCGAACATGCAATGCACCATGTAGACATAGCAGCTGACCGCTATGGATATAGTTTGGCTGCCGACAAGTGGGGACGTAAATGGTTGCTGATTATCGATATTGTGCTGTTCTCTGTCATCAATTTGGCGAGTGGTTTTGCTCCGAATTTGGCTACCTTCATTGGATTGCGAGCCGTCTTTGGTATAGGTAAATCGAATTTTTGAAAAACGTTAGCACTTGAACAACGGCTTACCAAAAAGCTTGTTTATGAAGCAATGGGAGGAGAATGGGGATTGGGTGCTAGTTTGGCACTGGAGACCCTGCCTATTGAAGCACGTGGTTTGTATTCAGGCATCTATCAAGAAGGTAGGACCTATATTTTTGGAGAATGGCTGATGATGGTGGGCGTTTATGCAGCAGTCTCCTTATGAATTTCTTTTTCCCCCCTGACATTTAGGGTATGCTTGTGGCTATCTTTTGGCTACGCTCGTCAACTATGCAGTTCAAATCACGGGTTCTTCATGGCGTATCCTCTTTTGGGCCGGCAGTGCTTTCAGCTTGGTTGGTGTCTTTATCCGTTTTTGGGTCCCAGAATCCGATACCTTTGAAAAAACCAAGGAAGCACGCAAGGTGATGAATCGCTCATTCTTCAAGGATATCTGGTACATGATCAAGAACCATTACCTCAGAGGTAAAGTAGGGAATAGGATATCATTGAATGGGAATACTCATGCATATGGGTGACTTTAGTCATTTACATGGTCATCCTATTGGCGTTCTTCAACTTCTTCAGCCATGGATCGCAGGATCTTTATCCCACTTTCCTTATCAAGCAACTTGGCTACACCACGACTCAGCAAACCGTTACCAGCGTAATCTACAACATTGGAGGTAAATGGGGATGTCTTTTAATGGAGGGGATAGCATTGTTAACAAGCCATTTGCACATTCAAAAGCCATTGTGGGTGGTACATTGATAGGATTTTATTCGAGCTACTTTGGTCGTAAGCTATGTATCATCATCAGCTGCATTGGTGCTGGTGCATTTATTCCGCTTTGGGTGTATGGCCCCAACATTCAGGGTGTACAAGCCGGATCATTCATGCTGCAATTCTTTGTCCAGGTATGGCAATGGCCTACATAGCTCTGCTCCTTGTATGTACATGGCTGACATTTACATCTTTAGGGAGGATGGGGTGTTATTCCCGCTCATATCAACGAATTGTCTCCGCCAGCTTTCAGAGCATTGATGCCAGGTATATTCAAAATTAGATGGGTAATGGATACGAGTGGGTATACTTATCAAGGATGACGGCTATACAGGTCTTGCCTATCAACTTGGTAATTTGATCAGCGCTGCAAGCAGTCAAATCCAAGCAACAATTGGTGAAAGATACCCCATGCGCAATCCAGATGGCAGTCTTTTGTTACGTGATGGTGAACCTGTACCCGATTATGCATATACACAGGCCATTTTCCTCGCTTGCGTCTGTGCTGGTTTATTGATATGTGGTAAGTCCCAATTTCTTAAGGTGTTGGTAATGGTAAACATGCTATGATGTTAACAACTATGGAATAGCTATCGTGGGCAAGGAAGAACGTAATAAGGACTTCATGGCCAACCTTGTTGAAGATGAGCATGGTAATGCCCTTGGTAGCGATGACGTCGAGGTATATCGCCAGGAGCATGGTGAATCATCAGGCGCACGAACACCTGTTATTGAGGAAAAAATCAAGCCATCAACAAGTGACAATGACATTCAAGTGGAGAAGGCGCATGTAGAACATGCTGAACACCACGACAAGCAGCACACTGAAGATAAGCAGTAATCGACCACGCCATCAAGGTTGTTCTTAAACATGATGATACGCCTTTTTGTACATTGCCTTTTCCTTCATGTATAAACCTATTCATATTATTCGTGTATAAAATAATTATAACAATAAAAGAGATTCAGAGTAATTTATATACAACAACAAGCAACCCACCATAGGCACCAACATTGAGGTGTATGCGCGCTTTGGGTATTAACAAGAAGCGGTACCTGAATCGTGAGTGTAGCTGTCATTCCAATTGTGCTACCGTGCACGTTCAAAAAGTGGGTGTAGACATCTTTTGAAATGCGGGGTAACGGCCTCCGTTTGCTTTATACTTAGGATAGGCTCGTGTTTAGTAGCTACATTTTGGCGTCATAGGATGATGGCATAAGTCAAGGAACATGTTGCCCTGATTAGGATGGGATGGCTATATCCATCAGTGATCTCAATATGGTGAGTCAGCGACAAGCAATAAAACGACGCTGCTTTTCAACACCAAAGATACATCAATAATGACTCGGATTCGTTGGTGATTGGATGTAGATAATAATAATGCAGTGTGGGGCTAAACAAAAAGCATGGTAGATCATAAACCAGCCCGAAGGTATCAGCTGGTATGCATAAACAAGTTGCCAATGTCAACAACAATCTCGTTTACACTTGGCTGGGTGTGTGTACTTGTAGCCTTTTGAAAGAGAGAGAAGAACAAGGATTGATAATACACCTGCTAAAATGGATCAACAAAAAGGAGCTTTATGCTATTATGAGTGACTAGACAACAAAAATGACAAGGGATTGTGGAAAGGTTATGCAAGAGAGGGTAGCTGATTCCTGAATTCTGCATGCACATCACGCATGTTACATTTAAGGACAAGCCGAGAACCAACGTTGGAACCTGTTGAGAAGCAACATGTCAGGTGGTGTGGGTGCAAAAAAAAAGCCCGTGTGACAATTGTGGTGTACCCATTGATCTGCACAAATGACAGGCTAAATGCTGACGGAGCCATGGTTATCCATATGTGTGTACAACCAACACTAAAAGGCTGCTGCTCCGCATATACCCCCTTTATTGGAATAAGTAGTGCTGCGTTTTCGGCTCAGCAGCAGCAACCAACATTTGTTACCCACACAATCGAATCTGGATTTGGAACCTCACAAGGAGAGAAATGCCTTTTAGAATAAATGTCAATGTCAGATTGCTTAGATCATGGGGGAAAGACATTGATAATGTGATGATGGATGATCATGGAGCGGAAGGGCCAACAAGAGTGGGGGGTTTAGATGTATGACAAGAATCACATGAGGGAAAAAAGATTAGCTTGGGGTTATGTGAATGGGTAATGACCACTACCATTGCAACCTACACCAACAAAAGATCAGAGGTGATGGGGGAGAATATCGTCTGTTGATGTAAACAATTCTTTTATTCTTTTGTGCTGCTATCATCATCTATGACTTCTCTGAACATGCTAAAGATTCCATCTACTTCCATCATTTCTTCCAAACTATCACCCCTGGAACCTACTGGTAACAATAGCAACCCGTCACCACCGAAACCATGCACTATCAACTAACTTGTCAAAAGACATTCCTCGCATTGTACAATTCGCGCAAAGGAGATGCAACAACGCTTGTCTCGAACGCCATTTACAAACCAATCCTGAAACGGCTCTGATGGCAGTGGGGATATCGAATCAGCACGATCTTCAACGGGTTATGACGGCTCAAGTACCAGTGATTCATATTGAACGTGATTGCGAGGCACTGCAAGGGGCTCATCGACGACAACATCGCGATGCCAAGTATATGCGATTCCTGCACAGCACACTATCATCCGGACTATGGGGTCTATTTTTCACTCTCGGGGCAGGTGTCAGAAATAGTACAAGGCTTTATCCGGCATTGCTGACGGCTTATTCATTATACGTCTTCCGAGCAGCACGCAACGATTATTGTATCCTTGAGGATGAGCAGCATTTTGTATTGATACGCGATGATGCACGACATACACCTATGCAGTTTATTATGCGAACGGTTATCCCTTATTGTGTACAGTGTGCATCCATGTTTTTCCTATTCAAGGGCATTCTCTGGTGCTGGAAACAACAACGGCCGTTACCAACCACGGTGATGGTGGGTCGCAGCAGCTAAAATGGTAAGTCAAGGTGTTACAATCCCATCACGGGGGATATGATCAATGCTGCTGCTGCTGATGTGGATTATCAACTCCGCGCAAAGCACGGCATTAGATCAATGTCAAGGGGAAGGGGAGAGAGAGAGTGAGTGAGATGGTGAATGTTGAATGTTAAATGATAATAACTTGTTATTGCATTAATAGATGCTGTAGATGATGGCGATTCACACACACAATATGCTTTTACGTATGCAAAACAAAGAGACATAATGGTGCAGTTGTCATCTCAAGCTGCATGTCTGATGGTGATGGTGTACACGCTCGTTCTCTCCCCACATGGTGTGTGTGTATATAGTTGCTAATGAGACGGGGGTACTACCATGGTGTATTTCTTTCTGGACGATAGCAAGAGGTGCAAGCCAAATAAACACAGCGATCGTTTGGGTAAAAAAGGAAATCGCAGTTTTTTTTTGGTTTTCACGGACCTAAAAGCAAATGGCTCCAGGACCGGAAGACGGGCGTCTCTCCTGTTCTCTTTCTTTTCTCTTTTCATTATCTTTATCGGAACAATCCGATTTCTTTTTCACCCCCTTTTGTGCACATCACCTTTTTCATCCCCCTTTTGCAGCATCTGACACCTTTCACGCTTACATATTTTCCACCACAACCCCCTTTCTTTCTTCTCTTGTCTGCAACAAAAACAACAACAACAACAACAGCCAGCTTGTAGTGCCATATAACAACTGCAATGGCAACGTTGACGATTAAACGCAGAACACCTTCTCTTGGTACACTGCCTACTATGCCTCCATCCACACCACCATCAGTGATTGATACACCTATGCCATCCACATCGATTACCAATAAGGCTGCATCACAAGGCGCGTCATTATACCACACATGCCGCTCCGTTCTTGATCGACTTGCAGCTGTCGAAGGCATGGCTGAATTTCTCGATGCTGATATCACACCTCCTTCACAACTCAATCCATCCAACTCTTCTTCAACGACATCATCCATCTCATCGTCATCATCTGAACCTTCGACCCCAACAAGTTCTACCAGCAATGATCCATTGAGTAAACTTTGGTCCATTTGTCGACGTGGCAATTCTCTTTGCATCCTCTTCAACGCATTGCAAAAGGACACGCCTATCAAAATTGAAGATCGGGATCCAAACTTGAACCAGCTCAACGCTTGCAAAGCTAGCGTCTATCACTTCTTGGTCGCATGCAGGAACCAGCTTAAATTTTCTGAAGAGGACGTGTTTACCATCACCGATCTTTATCAAGGAGACACCAATGGCTTTGTCAAGGTAAAACAAAACAATGAACCCATCTATTAACATCACACTCAACGTCCATTGTGTGTCCATTTTCGTTAGGTTGTCAACACAATCAACAAAATCCTTCATTTGTTGGAAGAAAGGGGCGTGATTTCTGTGCGCTGTTCCAACCGAAACTCAGATCCTAATGCACCGAAAGATATACGTGGCAAGGTTGTCATGGAATTGCTTGAGACTGAACGCAAGTATGTACAAGATCTTGAGATTCTCCAGGTAACCTACATATACATGTGATTGATGCTTGACCACGTGTGATATTGATAATGCATTGTAGAACTACATGCGTGAATTGCAAAGTCAAAAGGTGCTTTCTCTTGACACCATCCACTACTTGTTTGGCAATCTCAATGCTCTCGTCGACTTTCAACGCCGATTCTTGATCCAAATGGAAGACATGGCTGAAAAGCCTGCTCAAGAACAACGACTAGGCTTGCTCTTTGTTCAAATGGAAGAGGCGTTTTCCGTGTACGAGCCCTACTGCGCCAACTACTACTCCGCACAAGACTTGGTGGTGCAGGAAGCCCCTAAGCTTCAAAAGCTTGCCAACATTTTGAATCCAACCTATGAGTTGCCATCCATGCTTATCAAGCCTGTTCAGCGCATTTGCAAATATCCTTTGCTCATGAGTGAGCTCATCAAGAGCACTGACAAGACATGGTCGCATCTTGCTGAAATGGAACAAGGCCTTGAAGCTATCAAGCGTGTTGCTGAAAAGGTCAACGAGACCCAAAGAAAGCATGAGAACGTTCAAGCCGTTGAAGATCTCAAGAAACGCATTGATGATGGGGTATGTTTCATACATGTATATGGTATTTAGAATGACCCACTCACTGCCTTGTATTGTATAGTCAAGCTCCATTGAATCTTATGGATCGCTCATGTTGCAAGACAAGCTCTCTCTTATGACCAAGGATTCAGCACGAGAAATGTGCCTCTTTCTTTTCGAACGATGTTTATTGATTTGCAAGGAAAACAAGGAAGCTGCCAAGAACCGCCTTACCAAATCCAATACGATTATCAAAAAGAAGCGACGTGGTAGTCTTCAAGAACGCCTCAATGTGGGTGCACATCAAATCCATGGTGTCTATAACCGATCGCTCAATGGTAAAATTCTCTTTTCAGCTGACTAGCACACATGGTTTGTTATTGACACGTACTCACACGCGCACATAATTAGGTACATGGATGCTAGTAGTTGAATATGGTAAACGTGACCTGGAAAGCTTCACGCTTTTATTCCGTAACGAGGAGCAACTCAAGCTGTGGGAAAGCGCTCTCAACAAGATCAAGAGCAACTACACTAGCAGCACTGGTACCAATGTTCCACACAGCTATCATAGCACGATGCACATGTACGCAATGCCTAGTCCAAGTGATTCTGGAGCTTCGTTTATGGATGATGACGACGACGAGGATGAATTTTATGAATATGAATTCTATGATGAGTTACCACAGCCCACTCGCTCACGTAGCAATTCAATTTCGGCACAATTATTCAACAGCATCCGACCTGGTGGCAAAAACGAGGTCAAGAGTCGTCAATACCCACATCACATGCCTGGTATGAACCTGTCACCATTGCCACGCACCAGCGCAAGTACCACAACGGCGTCATCCAACACCATTGATTATGGAATGTACCCTGTATCACCTCCACCTTCTCATCCATCATCACCCACAAGCTCCTCTCGTATGTATGGTGCCAATTCTCCCCTCGCAGCAAAGTATATGGGTAGCATCAATGGTGGCGGTGGCGGTGGTGGTATCATGCTTCCTACCCCTCCCAATGATTTGCCTTTGCCACCTGTTGTCAATCGTACCCAGTCTCAATCGGCTGCTGCTGGTCTTGGCATTGCTACCACAACCAACAAGAGCCATCATCATCATCAACAACGTCTACGTTCTCAAAGTAGCCCCAACATCCACAAGGCTGCTGTTGCCATGTCTCGTGCTCCATATTCACACGACTCGGTAACCAACAATAGCTCAATCCGCCAAATGGCTTCTTCACCACGACTTTCGGATCATCATGATTTGAAGGTCAAGTTGTCATATGATGACAAGATCTACGTGATCAAGACAACAGAAGGAATCAGCTATACGCAGCTCATGGAAAAGGTCGAACGCAAGATCCGTTGTGGTGCTGGTCTTGGAGGCAAGGAATTGTTGCGCCTCAAGTACTTGGATGAAGATGGTGATTTGATTACAATCAACTCTGACGACGATGTTCAAATGGCTTTTGAGAATCGTGGTCGTCACCCATCCGTCAGCCTCTTTGTCAACGCCTAAACCCACCCATTCTCTATCACACACACATATCTTGTATATCCCACCACGCTCGCTTTGTTCTATTTATTGACCTCAGGCTCTCTCCTATATACCGCACAGACAAACAACCCCATTGTATGTTATACCATCAAGCCCTTCCATATGCATGGGCTTTGATACTTGCCATTCCTTTTGTACACTACTTGTATTTTTTTTCTTTCTTCTATACTAGGTTGTATTTCTACAGTTCCATCCCAAGCATACCCAACCAACCTTTTTTGTTCTTTCCAAGCATATCCGAACACACCTTCACACACACACCCATTCCCTCCTTGTTCCGCCAATCCTCTTTGTATATCTTTGTATGATTTCTTATATGTCCTCATTCCTGTTGTCTGTGAGAGAGCCTATCTCAATCCCCATCACTCTCTTTTGTATATACACACACATTCCCATTCCTTTCATGTTGTATTCTGTTCTTTCCACTCGTTTGTTTCGATATATTTATTCTTTTGAAAAATGACCATCATCATAAAAGTTCATTTGCCTTTTACCCCCTCATCATGTATTCGAACGATCTGGAATAGCTAAAAGTGGTAATCCCGTTCTTATAAGGGGGTTGATTGGGGGCAAAGAGAAGGAGGGGGGATTGGATAGCAGCAGCAGCGGGTAATACACTTGTGCTAGTCTCTTCCGCTATCTCCGTTTGATCTTGTGCATGGATGGATGGGCATGAGAAGAAAAAGGCACGCGGGGAAAAACATCTCATTTTGTTTTGTAAACATGGATGATTGATTGTCTAGAACACGCACGTATACAACATCAGCTGGTATAATCATCTGAATTGGCTATCTCTCCAGCACTTTTCTTTATTGGTATCAAGGTTTAATTTGTATCTTGATGGCACCATCTCTTGCTTCCTTGCAATGTTGAAATGCTTCCTTGACTTGATCCAATGGATACGTGTGTGTAATGAGCGACTTGACATTGATAACTCCTGTACTCAGCAATTGAATGGCGCGTGGGTATCTATGGAAACACATGTGGTGAGCATGCGTATACGCGTTGTGAGCGCGCGCGTGTGTGTGCGTGTGCAGTCAAAATGTTCATATGCAGGTAATCCAATGGTCTTTATGCTTACGTCTGCAAGGGTGAAAATGATGCATACATGTATGCCGCGTCAGCGTTGGTATTCTTAATAACACCTTCCACACCACCTATCTTTTGTTCTTGTCCCCGAATTGTTGCAGCAGGATATACATTCGTTTCCCACACAACCACACCCACACACACATGTCCCATCCTCCCCGCAAATACACATGCACTCACATTACAATAACGACGAATACCACGGATGTCCACTTGACGATTCGCAATCTCGGCCACAGGTAGTGCCTGAATGGATGCTCCAAGTCCAACCAGCACTGCAGCACCACCGTTTTTGGTTAGCTGTAAATGCATGATCAACGCATGCCGATTATGAGGAGCATCGTCAGAAAATTTGACCCAGGGATGATATGTAAAGTAATAAAGTACATTACCAAGACAGCGAGTTGTACACATGTTTCAACACCGGTACAGTCAAGCACACAATCTGCATATCCACCATATTCTTTAAGGATCTTGGCAGCAGTACGACGTGCATATTCAATGTTGGGTTCGTTGGGGCTGGGTTTATCCAAAAGGATTTGGCTATCGGTGTAATAGGATGCCGCAAACTTGAGCCGAGAAGGTGAAATGTCTACATAGTAATTGTATTCAGCATAAAAAAGTACCCTTCTTCCATGATCCTTTTTACCTGCAATCATGACACAAGCAGCACCAGCGGCTTTGGCTGCTGCACAACACAAAAGGCCTACTGGCCCAGCGCCAATAACAAGTACACGATCGCCAACCTTGACATTACCACGCTCGATTGAATATAAGCCCACAGATAATGGTTCGATTAAGGCACCTTCTTCATAGCTAACGTTGTCAGGTAATCTATCATATACAACAAGTATTGATGAGCTTCCTATTTGGCATCATCAACGAATGACTTACTTGAAGCACATATCCTCTGGATGTTTGTAGTAATGACACAACGTGCCATGAACAGGTGGTGTGGCGGCACTATAGTAATCATACATTGAATTCATTAACTTGACATTGATGAGGGGTAGTAACTTACAAGGCCACATCAGGGCATAGGTTGTAAAGCCCAGATTTACACATGTCACAGGTACGGCATGTCACGCCAGGTTCCACAGCCACACGATCACCAGGCTTGAGACTTTGCACAGCACTCCCAATGGCCACGACTTCTCCTGCGGACTCATGGCCCATTACCAGTGGGTCCTTGACAACAATGTCGCCACTTTTCCCATGCGTAAAGTAATGCACGTCGGATCCACAAATGCCCGTTGCCTTGATAGCCACCAGCACATCTTGATTATTTTTTCCCTCATGAGTGATGATGTTGTAGGATTGCATAGCTTCTTGTGGCTCTTGAGGCGAATTACATACCTGTTGGGCCTAACTCGGGCACTGATAGATTTTGCTACAAAGTGAAAAAGTAATCATCATCAATCTTACCATCATCGCATGTGCACCTGCATGAATCCACACTCCCTTTTTCGCTTACCACCACGAGTTCACCTGCTTTCAAAAGTACTGCAGAAGGATTGGGCTGATCTTGGAATATGGTCATTTTGCTTTTGAAGCTGTATGTGGATGTCGTTTACGAAAGAAAAGAGCAAGAATGTTGGATTGTGCACCCATGTTTTGTTGTTTTTTTCTCATCAACCAATTGACGTACCACTCGGATAAAATGCATTGCTTGTGTATGGGTGAAACAATTGTATGCCGTGAGAAGCGTATATGTTTGCATAAGAGGAATGGCGATTCTTGGTGCGACAAGGGTGTAGATCAACCGGGACATGTTGCAACTTTATATCTGGTGAGATGCTGTGATACTGCAACTATGCGTTCTACATGGTGGATTTAGCTCGAGTTACCGCAAAGTATGCATTTTACCATGTACCTTGGCTTCAGCTTTGGTCTTTGCTGTATTCTTCTTGCAATGGCATAGCATGCTGATGTAAATATTTGGGGTCGCCGCTTTCACACAATGCAGCGTTGATGGGTCCACATGCTAGTCGAGCGATTTGTGATCATCATAGTAATCGATTGGCTGCTTTGAACAAAGAAGTGAATAAAGAGCACGCCGATGTTGGTGTATTGCGGATTTTGGTTGTCAGGTTCCTCTTCTTCATTTGCTGATTGCTTCTCCGCAACGATAACAAGTTGCTTTCTAGACTGGATGCACCAGCTTGTGTATGTCAAGAGGCAGGTGGATTGTGTATGACTTGGGGATATCTATCATAGTATGAGTGTAAAGTTGATAGCCAACAAGCAAATCCATCCATACCAGTGGAAGATCGGAGTGAAGCCGTCTCCATCCAAAATATTTTGTTTACAGCGTCAACCTGCTCTGCTGCTTCAGGTTTACCACTCGTTCTTGACATCGCCCACACACACGCAACCCTCGCAGAGCTCTCTGGAATGCGCAATGTCACGGGACGAACAACCGATTTGCTGATTCAATCGCTTATACCCAATGTCGCCTCCATCACTACACGGCTCACCACTCGCGTGTCGTCGTCGTCGTCGTCGTCTTCTCCATTGTCTCGTATTGCTCGATGCAGCGGCTGTGGTTGTCCAATACGCACGTCAACAGTAAACCGACCATTTTGGAGCGACATGTCTCGACGATGGATAACGACAAGCCATAGCAACAACCACAGTGTTGTAGCAGCAGCCAAATTGGATCCGATTCAGTACTTGAATGTGTCAATAAGCGAGCTATTACTCAAGGGACGAGCTGCCGATGCGTTATACAGGTACATGCGACTTGTTCAGTATCACAAGAGGATGCCGCCACACGAGACTTTGTATCAACTATGCCATGGATTGTATCGATCACACAATTTGAGGGGACTATACGCCGTTCATGATACCCTTTTGCTTTACTATAAGGAACGACCCATGTCCCGACGACGACGACGCATCATGCTCTATCTCAATACAATGATCATCAACCTCGTCTCCAAATCATCATCACGTCAACTATCACATCGCCATCAAATCGCTGAACCTCCAACGCGTATCATTGAACAGCTATGTCGTGAAATGACGGATCTCAAGCTGACACCAACAAAACATGTGGCCGTATTCAATTCAATTCTCAATATGCTTGTACAACATGGTCAAGTGGATAATGCGTGGATATTATTCGATCACATGCGACAAGATGATATCAATCCAAGTGCACGTACCTATTCCATCATGCTCAAGACAGTTGCACAAACCAAGGATTTACATGCAGCAGATCAATTGTTGGAGGATATGCATCAACGTGGGATTGCTACGGATCAAGCAATTGTGGGTGGGCTGGTCACTGCCCTATGTCGTCGTAATGCATTTACAACCGCTCAACGTCTTGTCGATCAAATGTACTATTACAGCAATGGTGATCCTAGGCTTATGAGCACCGAGACACGAGCACGACTCTTGGCATACATCTCAAAATGGGAGAAACAAAGGCACAAGAAACGTTTGCGATTGAAAGCTTGGTCCAAGAATGCAAAGCGAAGAAAGCAGCAGCATCAGGATAGCACAAACACACATCTCGAGGAGGAAATAAAGGTGTAAATGGTTTATATGTATTTGATGTATGACTTGATCCAAGGCTACTTATGATTGACGCGGATCTATATCTACAATGAAGATTATAAACTACAGCTAGCTTGTACTTTATGGGATAGCGTATTATGGTAGAGGGGATATTAGTATAAGATGAGTGGATGGTAGATGCCGTCTTCAAGACATGTATCTAAAGTCGGGATGCTATGGAAAAGATATGAGTACTTAATAAAACAACACCATGTTGACTATTGCTTACATGATCACAAAGCTCCTCGCCTTGACAAGCCTTGTTGTATTCTTCCTCGGTCATGTTCTCGCGTTTCTTGTTCATGCGGATCAGCAGGAATTTGTAAATGACGGATAGCACAATCGCACAGGCCATCAATGCAGCACAAATAGTATGACCACGTGTGTAATGGGGTGCATCCCACGCTTGATAAACTTGGCCACCCATAGCACCTCCTGTTGGGGGATAGGTTAATTATCACCCTAATATCATCATCTTTGCTTCTTATGTACATACCAATGTTTCCAAGCGACACAATAATAGCAGTTGCCACACCACGTTTTGTTTGGCCACCAAAATTATTGCTGAATGTTTTGTTCAATGAGTATAAATAAAAGTGTTTCAATACATGTAGCTTTTTTGGAATACGAACCTGAACCAACTAAGCATGGGTGCAATGGGACCAAAAACACCAGTTGCAGTGATGCATGCAGCGACATACATGGCAACAGAGCCTTTGTCTTTCAAAGTGACAAGCAACACGTAGCCAACCATACCAACAACTGCAGGAATGGCAATATGCTTCAAGGAAAAAGTTAGCTCACCATGCGACTTGTAATTCATGCACCCTTCCTTTCTCCATGATATGCACTTACCAAGCCTCTTTCACCCTTTCTATCAGCGTGCATGGCAACAGCGATCGTGGCAACACATGCTGGATAAATGTCAAGCCTTAGTATTCCAAAGTAGTCTTTGATACAACGGTCCCACCCCTCATTAAAGGATATCCTTACCGAATGCGTATGGTGGTGCCGACATGGCTTGTGCAGTAAGGGCTGTAAATCCCATACCACTGATGATGCTTGGCATGAACATACTGAGAGAATAAAGCGGTGTCACCTTTTTTCGATATTACATCTGTCAGCTGATCCTTCATTGATTGATCTAATTCAATAACCACTCACCAAGGAAATAAAAATGGCTGCATGCATATACACCTTCCAATCCAGAAAAGCAGCAAGCACTTGCTTCTTGCTAAATTGGGTCTCTGTTGCTGGACCAGCGTCTTTTCGTAGGCGATGCACGATAATTTCACGTTCACGTTCGCTAAGGACTAGGATAATGTGTTAGTTTTACACATGCTATCGATGCACTCTTTTATGCAAACTTACATTTGCTCTTTGTTTCCGGGAAATCAGGAAGGGCAAAGTATGTGCAGCATGCAAGGACCAAAGTTGGAATAGCCTCAATGACTTTTTGGGTACGTTGTTAGTACTCCTCTATTTAGCAAGCAATGAACCAAAATCATCCTTACTAAAGATCCATTGCCAACCATGCATGCCTCGAATGCCATCCATTTGCATGATTCCGTATGCCTGTCGACCTGCGTGTGAGCATGTATATTGCACTTTTTGTATAGCCGATCACTTACCAATACACCGCCAAATGCCTATAGTAGCACAAGTAGAGATCAATTGTTAGTCATTGTAGATCGGTAAAAATGGTTCATCCGTGGACACAAAGGCAATACTTACACCCGCCAAAGTTGAACATCCAAAGAAAAGTGCCAAACGGGTTGCCTGCTCCTTTCTTGTGTACCACAATGTCAGATAGAAAATTACGCCTATGGGAAAGAGATACCGCCATTTAATACCAGCCACTTTTTCCGTACCATACAATCATTCCGAAGCCTCACCTGGGAATAAGCCAGCTTCTGTTATACCGAGAAAAAAGCGACTTGCCAAAAGACCTAATCCGAGGAGATCAGAATACACCTCATACTATGCTAAAAGACGGTACCTGCTGCATTGTGCACGGCTGCCATGCACGCCATTACCTATAAAGTGCTTATGTAAGCATACACATTACAAGTCGCATACCACACTTTTATCACTTACCATGCCCCATGACAGCATCACGATCGATATCCATTTGCTAGGACCGATTTTCTTGAGCATAAGATTAGACGGCACCTCAAAGAGGATCTAAAAACCCCGAATGGATCAGCATGAATGAACAAAAAAGCTCAGCCATCCAACCAGAATGTGCAATTGGGAATGACTCTTTCCACTTACATAGCCAATGAAAAAAATGGTCAATGCCAAATTGTACTCGCTACCGGTCATATTCAAGTCCTCTTGTAACCCGGCAACCTTGGCATTGCCTTTGAAGAGGATCGAGTTGTCTCGTTAGCCATTGGGGGAATCATTATCACTTGTATGCACTCATTTACCAATATTAACACGATCCAAAAATGAACATAGGTAAAGAAGACCGACGTAGGGAATGATCCGCAAATCCAGTTTCCATCGCAATTTAAGCCATTCCTTCTCATCAGGAGGCACGAATCCATCGTCCGTAGTTTCATAGCCATGCTCCAAGTCATCGGTAGTATAAACCTCTGCCTTTTCTTCGACGACAATCGTCTTTTCTTCTTTTCCCTGTATGGTAGCCATGGGATGGGGTTTGGTGGTGGTGTTGGATGAAAAAGGAAGAAAAACAAAGCGGGATCAAAGCATGTGAGGAGTAGATTGCTTTTATACACTAAATGATGCATACATCTCCCATTGTGTGATGTTACTCAGCATCACCATTGTTACCATACAAGATGAGATTCGGATCCCACACACACAACTCAATATCGTGTACGACCCTATAATCGAGTGTGGGGAATGAGGCGATATGACACACTGACCAATCATCCATATCAATCTTTTCTCAAGCCCCTTGCCACAAAAGGATAAAATCGGCCCATAGTAGCTTATCAAAGCGCACTGTGGGTATGTACGTGGGACTTTTTACACCACTGCCATCGGCTTGAGCTTCCACAGTTTCCGTTGTGCGCAGGTTGTAGCTGTCCAAAGACCAGGGATTGTGCAACAAATGGCTCCCATTCACACGATGCATCAGAGGAACCTTCTTGACAGATGCAAACCGCCACCATAGCTATGGATCAACATTTGGGTTGGGTTTTTCTTTGCATGGCAACGCAAGCTCTAAAGAATGAATGATGCTCTTGTAGGTTGATCACATCACCGAGAATAGGCGTCTCCATTGATAAATGCTCAAGTTGCAACATTTTCATTTTCAAAAACGGCCATAATCAAGGGCGACCTCTTTTTGAGTGAGATCGATAAGGCCGTTGTTGCATATTAAACTCCTGTATGCATAATCCATTCGAGGCTATGTTGATGGTGATACCTTTATTAGATAGTAATGGCTGACCATATGCCAACCCATACACTCCCATCGCCAATGTATTATGCTATTAGATTTGAAAAGTGAAAGCTGTTTTAGTGTAATGATGATGCTTGAGCTGATCCACTTGAAATAGATCAAAAGGCATTGCCCCCCCCCCTCAATGAATGTATCTAAAATCCGGATGCTACATACAGGATACAGAATGTGGGTAAACAAGCATCAAGTTTTTAATGAGCATACCTTATCACACAAATCTTTGCCTTCACATGCAGCTGCATGTTCTTGCGGTGTCATTGTATCCCGTTTCTTGTTTTCCCGAGCAAGTCCCATTTTGGTCAAAATTGATAAAATGCAGGCTCCTCCCATCATAGCAACGCATATTGTGTGGCCACGAATGTACTTTGGTGCGTCGTCAGCTCGATAAATTTGGGCGCCTATGATTCCACCGCAGTTGGCCATCCCTGCAACAAATGCGATAGCTACAGCACGCTTAAAGTGACCACCTTGATTGTTACTGTTCCAAGCGACTGTAAGTGAAAGCACAGGGAATATGCCACAAGCTGCAACAATGGATGCCCCATACAAAACAGCATTGCTGTGATCTTGGAGTGTGGCAAGCATGATGTAACCAATCATGCCGATCAAACAACATACGACAGCATGATATCCACGCTCCACGTACTTGTCCGAGGTATACGCACATAACATTGTCAACGTACATGCTATAAAAACAATGATGAGATTTTCATTGTGGATGTAAGCACCACGCATTACCAACTGCGTAAGGGGGAGCTGACATGAGCTGAGCGTGTATGTTATTGTATCCCATGCCAACAATGATCGAGGGGAGAAAAAGGCTGAATGAATACATGCATGTAGCTGAACATAGCTGGATTGATCCAACAGCATACATCTTCCAATCCGTCAATGCCATGGCAACTTGTCTCCAAGAAAAATGTTTCTCTTTGGCTGGCGAATCTTGATCAAGTAGATGAACAAGAGCCTCCTTCTCTGAGGCAGACAAAACTAAATGGGTATTAGTACTTGAAAAGTATATACCTTTTTTTGGTATTGCATTATCATGCATCACTCACAGGACGATGTTTCAGGATAGTCAGGTAAGTAAAAAAAGGTGACAATGGTCAAACACAGAGTGGGTAGTGCTTCCAAAATGAATATCCATTGCCATCCATGTAAACCTTGAAGGCCATCCATGTACATGATACCGTATGCCTATGATGGAACAAGGCAGGGTGGTTAAACACACCAGGTTGCTGGAGAATGCATGATTTTCATTACCGCCAAACCACCAAAGGCCTATCATATGCATAAGATTACAACGAATGAGGATAAGTATTTAGGGAAACACTTGCCCCTGCGATTGTGGATGACGCCCACACCATAGCGATCCGCACCGTCTGATTACGTCGAGGATACCACACCGATAAATAAAAGGCAATTCCCTGTTCACAAACCATATCCTTAGAATCTTGAATAATCCACCCTATCTCCATCGTATACTCTACTGGAAACAAGCCGCTTTCAGCCAAACCCAGAAAGAACCTTGCAGCCAATAAGCTGGGTCCATCTTTGCAGGCAGCCATGGCAGCCATAATGACACCCCACACGAGCATTATTAAGCTAATCCAGTACCTTGGGCCCATAAGCTTTAGGAACAAGTTGGCGGGTACTTCAAAGATGACCTATGCTTGTTGGGTTGGCATTTTACCGAATGCGTGGGTTAAGATGCTTATTCCAATAACGTACGTAACCGATAAAAAAGATTGACATTGCCCAGTTGAACATACTTTCGCTCATACCAAGATCATCAACAATACCATCAATTTTGGCATTGCCGATGTTTACTCGGTCAAGAAACGAGCAAAGATACAAAAGGGCAAGGTAAGGTATTATACGACGATCCAACTTGAAGAAGAGACGTCTTTTCTCGTTTTGATCTAGTATTGATGCGTTATCTACATGCTGTGCTTTGCTTTCTTGTGAGCTGTAAATAGGGTAGACGTTGTCGTCCATGCTGGAAAAGTAAACAACTGCAATTAGGTAAAGAGAGTGATGGTATATATATGCCATGGATATGCCCAACCAACAGGAGCTTCAAGCATGCTGCTGCTCATAATGCAGCTGTTCTCCTTTATGTGGCACTTACATGCATGCTCATCTTAACCATCCTTTGGTTTGATATGCAATTATTCAGTGTCAGTCATCAACAAGCCGATCACACTCATCCTCATTTGTCTTATGCAAAACATCCAAATTGCATAAGTGAATAATGCATGTGGATCTTCGTAACCATAGGAATGATTGATGGATGTCAAAGGTTTCCATGCCAACACGGTACCACGATTCTCAAAGGGATTGCGTCCACAGTTACCTGCTCCTTCCCTTATATATATATTGATCGAAGATGTGTACCTGCATCGTTGGGTGTGCTTACATATCAATCAAGCTTGATTCATGAACAACTCTCTTCCATGGATGCCTTTCACAGCTGCAATTCTCTCCTTCCTCTGTTTGATGATCCATCACCCTTGCCACTTGAAGTACTCGAATACAAATGTAGTACATAGGAACTCTCGATATAATCAAAAAGGACCTTGGCATTGGCATGACACTTCAATGTCTGTGCACGAGGTTATCATTGATATTGGCTCAAATGATGTCAAATGGTGCTAAGTTTTGCATCCTCACTGATATAAAAGCGCCGTTGTCTTCATGAAACATACTGAACTGTTATTGATAATGCTTTGACATGCTAGCTATGAAACATGCTAAAAGATAACGTATGCTGATGGCTGGATCCCTTGTAGGCTTCATGTAACCGAAACGTTGGTGCTTATTGATACACCTGTTTGCCAGCAGAAGCGGTAACACCCCCATTCCTTGATGATAGCTATGTGGATAAGCTCCAGTCATGTGCTTCGAAGAGAGCCTGCTGCTGAATCTCACAGTTGCCTTTGTACTCGTCAATTGCTGAACACGTAGGCGTCGTTGCCGATCCAACCCGCACCTCAATGAGCTGTTGCTATAATTCGCCGTCGCAAGTTGGTGGATCAGAGTCAAGAGTAGCGTTGAATTGGATGTAGTATTGCCATTGTAGTGTGAAGACGTCGGTAGAAGAGGAAGGTAGCAAATGATGTTGCAGCAAGATGGCCGGTAAAATTCATTCTTCCAAAACCTAGTTACGCCGGCAAACCATGATGATACCCTTTTGGTACATGTGTCTTAGTCATTATGCCTTTCTTTGTAGCTAGCGACCTTATGTTGTATGTGTCTCCATGACAATAATAAAACTTTCATTGTCTCTCCTACCATTCCAATCTTGCACAACCCTTTAAAACATGTACTCCCTTTTCTCTCTCTAAAAGTGAGCACGCTTTGTTTCCATCTCAATCCCTGTCACCAAGGAAAGAAATAGAACCACTGCTTATTCATATGGCAATGACTAAAGAACAAAAAAGGGATCCCGGCACTGCTCTATTTCGCCGAAAAGAGAAGCTTTGATATCCGCGGTGAATAGATCACGCATTGTTGTAGGCCTGCATCTTCCATCTGGATCGGCTAGTGACACCAAAGTGGCTGAGGATATCTAGTGGGGGACCTTGTCCTTGGACAAAGATTGATAAAGCTCGAAGGAAAATAATGCTGTGTGAGTAAATGGCTAAGCTCCTATCTATAAAATGGCTATCCCATCCATCCGATTCATGCTACAACGGCTTTGAGATCAACCTACTTCTTTCAAAGTAGCATTCGTTCTTGACTCATGTACCGATACTATGGATTAAATTTTATCTTGTATGTGATGCAAGGCTGAGGAATCGATTATGAGCTTTTTGGATGACCACCACCACACATACCCAACCAACAAGGCTACCGATCTTTTTTTTCCTGTGTGATGAGAAACACCCATTCAGGGTCGTGTAGCGGACAATCAAATGCTAATCGTAGCAACCAGGGCCAATAAGGCACGTGACGATGTTATGGTTTCACGGGCGACAAGTGGACTTTTAACCTTGCCAAACAAATGCTTGTGTGGCAGCTTTGGCCAATGCAACATCTTTCTTTTCGTCCTTTCACCCGTCACTATTACCCACCAGCCCCTGGAAGCAAACATCAGATGGATCATAATAGCGATACCCAGCAACGACCACCACCACCAAACCTATCCGAAGTCAAATCAGGGCACGTGGAGGATGAATCATTGCTGCCAGATCGAAAAGAAGCTCGACGGCTCTTTTTCAAAATCGATCTTCGCATTATACCCTTTATCGCTTTATTGTATATCTGCTCCTTCCTTGACCGAGTTAATATCGCCAATGCCAAAGTGGCTGGATTAGTTGAAGACCTTGGTATGAGCGATGACATGTACAACTGGGCGGTTTCCATCTTCTTTATCAGCTATGTAAGTTGTTGGGATGATTGTTCCTTTTCGGTGGCTTCTCCATCAAGCATTTTACCAACTACCCCGCACTATTTCATTATTCATATACCAGGTCATCGCTGATGTGCCATCAAATTTAATGCTTAAATTTGTTGGCCCAAGACGTTGGATCGCAGCCATCATGATAACGTGGGGCACAATCACTGCAGCCATGGCAGCAGTCAAAAACGGCAGTGGTTTACTTGCCGCAAGATTCTTCCTGGGCCTAGCGGAAGCAGGCCTTTATCCAGTGAGTTATCGGACTTTTTGGTTGATCTGATTACAAATTTAATAACCGAGTGAATAGGCTGTTGTCTACCTGCTATCAGTATGGTACCCTAGAAAAGTACAAGGTCTACGTACAGCATTGGCTACAAGTTCAGCATCCAACCTTGCAGGAGTAAGTCTATTTTCATTCATTTTTGTCTCTCATGCTTGTGTCTAATGGGTCAATGCGAAATTTAGGCTTTTGGTGGCGTATTAGTAAGTGCCAGCACCAAGAGTAACAGCATCAAAGGGAAGCGTTTCAATATAAACTCACGCAACGTTACACAACAGGCATATGGAATCATGCATATGGATGGCCTTCAAGGTTTACATGGATGGCAATGGATCTTCATTATCGAAGCAATCCCTACATTGGTGATAGCGATATGCGTTTACTTCCTCTTGCCCGATTACCCAGAGACATGCAAATGTAAGTCATTCGTCTCAATCAACCCTGATTTGGTGCTTATCATTGTAATAGTCTTAACACCCGACGAGCAAGAAAAAGTTACAAGGCTTATCGAACATGATTCTCCATCAAGAGAAAAGCACTTTTCTTGGAAGCAAGTTCGCATGGCATTCACTGATTGGAAAATGTATGCGTTTGGTAGCATTTATCTCTTGTCAGCTACATGCATGTACGCGTACGCTATGTTTCTGCCCACGATCGTGGTAGGCATGGGCTATAGTAGTCTCAGTGCTCAACTCATGTCTGCACCACCCTATGGCGTTGGTAAGTTGAGAGCAATGATCATGATGATATAGGAGCAAAAGTATTCAAACGATGGTGCCTATAGGTTTTGTTTTGACGGTGATCACAGCATATACCTCGGATAGGTTTTTGGAGCGTGGATTTCATTTGACAGCAATAAGTCTTGTGGGCATGATTGGCTACATCCTGCTAGCGACTTTGGGAGAGGATGTTCCTGTTGTCGGTCACTATATTGCAGCAATCATTGTTGGTTGTGGGATTTTCCCACTAAGCATTAACACTGCTTGGATGAACAATAACCAAGGTGGAAGGACTAAGCGAGCGGTGGTAATTGCCGTATTCACAATGATGGTATGTATGGACATGTACTACGTTGATGAGCTCTTTATTGATACGCATACAATCTCAGGCTAATTTAGGCGGCGTGATTGGAGGTCAACTGTATCGAGCTGACGACGCACCACGATACATTCGAGGACACACAATTTGTGCCGTGTTTATGGGAGTGACATGTCTTTTAATTCTTGGCACAAAGTGGGGTCTTTATCGAGAAAACAAGCGACGCGACGCCATGACCCACGAAGAATACATGGCTGCATGTCAAGGCACTGATCTTTGTGATAACGTAAGTATTGCAATGTCCGGTGATAATACACGCAGGCTATTAACCTATAACTATCACAGCACCCGGATTACAGATACATCCTATAAAAGACATAATACGATAATGTGGCGCATCAATCATGCATATGAAGCCATGCCCCTTGCATAAAACCAGAATCACTTTACCTAATAACGCTTCCCGCTCTTTTCTATTATACACGTTCCCCCAGCTCACTCCTTTTCACATCTGTCACCTTAATCAGCAGCATTTACGCCTCTATTGACAAGTGCAGAACCATACACAGTCTCGATCCCACTTCATGTATGAGTAGATCTCTAAAACTGCCACCTTTCATCATTAAACGAACAAAAACAACCATGTTTTTGCATTGCTTTATTGTATTCCAAAGACACGCGGTGTGATAGCGTTGAAGCTCTTTGGCCGTACTTGCTCTGCAATGGAAGTCTGCAGCTTGTATTGATTGAGGAATGACCAATAGTGCGCTTCATGGACCGTGCGCTGATTTAACATACAAGTCCCATTTTGCGGAATGTGATCCATTATGTGTTGGCTACCTGAGAACCCCGTTATACAGGTTATGAAAACCATAACAATGCTGCACGAATGGATGATGATGATGATTGCCTTTTGTGAAGGTACGTAAGTAAAACAGAATCCAACCATGAAGGTGTATCAAGGTATGTATCACATTTGCATGTAGGAGAAGGTCGAGCTGCGTAAACCAATTTGTATATGTAAAAAGATACGTATACATGTTGATGGGTCACTCATCCTGAAACTCAATGGAGGGATCTCTTCACTTTTTCTCTTCTCAAGGTCATCCCACTTCCCACTCCTCCTTATTGTATTACAAAAGCCATGTACTTCTTGCATGACCGATAACCGAAACCACCTTTATTATTCCATCTTCGAAGCAATAGTATGTAATCCACAAGCTAGCAACCTCCAACAAGCGTGTAATAAATAAACAATGCTTTATTTCATCTCGCTATCTTGCTATGTACTGTACATTGCCACCACCATCCTCGTAGTCGTCCTCCGTCATCATTCCTACTCGTCACCAGTCGTCAATCTCATCCGTCACACCAACATCCAAAAATACACGAGTTGAAAAGAATGGGATCTTGCAGGCTTCCTTTTGAATCTCGTTGTCGTTATCATCGTAATCGCCATTGTTGTGTATGTGGTAATCATCGTAATCGTCGTCTCTATAAATAAGAAAGCAAGCAAGTTAGACCATATGATGCCGGGAATGATGACGATTTGGTATACCGTTAGGCTATCCTCTCAAAGGAAGAAAGCAAATCAGAAGGAATTCACAAACCAAATCACCACCATACGAGCAACGTCGGGCGATCCCTTGTTCTTGAGAAAGCACTGCACGAATCACGCAAGGCCAGTTCGATCCATGGCAAGGAAGGGCTCACTTACGTAGAGTCCAGGCTCATAGTTGTCCTCATTCATCCTCTCCAAAGAAAGAATGATCCCCAATCCTTCCAATCATTTCCCACCTCATGAAAAGAAATCCTCAAGGGAAAGAACGAGCCTGTCACGAGAAGAGCATGTTGGTTCGCACTGATGTCAACACATTCACGGCCGGGGCGACTACAAGCTGTTGCAAATCCCCTTTTACCTCAACACGGTGACCATGCTCTTCCAAAAACCCATCGTCGTCGACCGATCACCTCAACACAGGCCTGTAGAGCCCTGGACGCGTTCCAAGAAGCTTTTCCAGCACACTTGGCTAGTGCAGAGCGACGCAGCGGCCACTTGATACAGGCTGGGACTTGAACCCAAAGAGATGATGATGATGATGCCCCAAGTTGCATTGCCTGACCAAAGAAACCTATACAATTCATTATTAGCACACACACAATGAACACCCTTTTCATTGTTTGTTTCATTGTACTTGCCTTTTCCATAGACATAAAGATCCTTTGTTGCTGGTTGTTAGAGACCGAAAACCATGGTGTAGTGTTGTTGAGCCGAAACAGAACGCCAAACCAGCCAACGCCTTGAAACCAAAGTTGTCCCCTATGCAAGCTAACGCGTCAATGGAACAAGCTTTGCTGCAACATTGGACTCTGAATGTACCTGTTGACACCAAGCATAGAGCGGGAATAGCAACGAACAAGAGGAAGCGACAATATCGCCATGGCAACCACCAACCACCAACCACGCTCATTCCTCAGCACTTGGACACACTCATTCCCTGACAATGCATGTTCAGAACTACATTAACACCTCACAGCCAACAAGAGCACTCTTCTATAATACATTACATAAAAGCAGAGGAGGGAGAAGCGTTGTTTCAAGTCGTGGAGCTGCTGTCCCCCAAGTTTAAATCCCCTACTGCTATTACACTGAGGCCACTCAATGACCCCACACACACCATCCACCCATCGTCATCATCACCCTCGTAATAGACAATAGGTACACGTAAATAAAAGAAATGATCCTCACGTATAGCAAAAGGGTGTGTGCCATTTTACACTTTACATGATAATGATGATCCAACAACAGCCATTACCTTACTACCAGGTTAGCTCGAATCATGAAAGTTAAATGATGGGCATGCTGGGCTGGAGCAAGACAATCGTTCGTATGCATTGGATTGGGCAACAAAGTTGAATGGGAGGAATGGGCTATTAGCTGGCAGTTTACAAATAACTTTGCAAAATGATTTTTCTCATATTGGGCGATACTTACTGTGTTTGAGCGTTTTTCAGTCAAATCCTCTCGGATCATGAAAGTTGAAGGATGGGGATAATGGGCTGGAGCAGGACAATCGTTCGTGTGCATTGGATTGGACAACAAAGGTGAATGGAAGGAATGGTCTATTAGCCGGCAGTTTACAAATAACTTACCAATTTGATTCTTCTGATATTGGATGATGTTTCTGTGTTTGAGCATTCTTCAGTCAAATCTCATCGGATCAAGAAAGTTGAATGATGGGCATGCTGGGCTGGAGCAGGACAATCGTTCGTACGCATTGGATTGGGCAACAATGGAGAATGGGAGGACTAAGGTTATTTGCTGGCATTTTGAACTATTCCAAAATAGTGTACAAGAATCATGCATCGCCTGTGCTGAATGACTCAAGTTACACAAACACGCCCTCTGCATCTTTTGCTCTATTATAGTCATACTACTTTACATTAAACAAAGTCCACTTCTCATATAGCATCACGCTTACAAACATAAAGGAGCCTGTATCTCCGAACTTTACAATGAAACGTGGGGTTTTTATTAGAGCAATGTGCTCGGCTTGGCCAACTACACCTTGGGTGCCAGTTTCATGATCAAACTTGCCAATCCCAGATTTCGCAATGTCGCCTCCAGCCAAACTGGATCTGGGGGTCGACCTCTTCGACGACGACGACCAAAAAATATTTTTTGGGCTAGTTGCGACATTGAACGTGAAACTTTCACACAAGGTGCTGTTGGCCAAGCCGAGCCCATTGCTCCATTAAAAACCCCACGTTCGATTGTAAAGTTTGGAGATACAGGCACGTTTATGTTTGTAAGCTTGATGCTATATGAAGAGTGGTCTTTGTTCATTGTCAAGTAGGTAGACCCTGGCAGAGCAAAAGATGCAGAGGGTCGTGTTGTGTAACACAGCTACGTTTGCATGAATGAAAGGGTCAATGTATAATTACTTTATGGATCATCTAGGAACAGGCATGTATTGCTAGCTAACAGCCACTTTTATCCAATCATCATTGTTGCGAGATCCACTGCATGGGAACGATGCTCCTGCTCTAGACATTCATTTCCATGATTAAAGTAGGTTGATCCGAGCTGATTTGACTGAGCTGCGGTCAAAGAGAGATTACATCACTCTGGACATAGAGTACGCTCGATGTAGCTCAACCGATGTAATCTTGTGTGAGCGTAACTCAACCAAATCAGCTCGGATCAACCTACTTTAATCATGGAAATAATTAATAAAACAGGTGCATCGTCCGCCTACAATAGAATGCACAAAAGTTGGGAATGCAAAAGTGGCTATTAGCTGCCAATGTATGACATAAAGGGAGGGTTGCGTACCTGTCATGCATTGTCTCTGAAGTCCTGACTTTTAGCTGAGGTACCCAAGAGGTCCTTCTGCATCTTTTGCTCTGCCAGGGTCCACCTACTTGACAATGAACGAAGACCACTCTTCATATAGCATCACGCTTACAAACATAAAGGTGCCTGTATCTCCGAACTTTACAATGGAAACGTGGGGTCTTTGATAGAACAGTGTGCTCGGCTTGGCCAACAGCACCTTGTGTGAAAGTTTCATGATCAAGCTTGCCAATCCCAGATTTCGCAATGTCGCCACCAGCCAAACTGGATCTGGGGGTCGACCTCTTCGACGACGACGACCAAAAAATATTTTTTGGGCTGTTTGCGACATTGAACGCGAAACTTTCACACAAGGTGCTGTTGGCCAAGTCAGGCGTTGCTCTATTCAAAACCCCACGTTTCATTGTAAGAGTTCGGAGATACAGGCACCT